TAGTATATATATATATATATATATATATATATATATATATGTGTGTGTGTGGGTGTGTGTATCGAGACGAAGAAAGTGGGAGATGTTAAGGGAGGTGAAAAAGAGAGCGTGAAGGGAGCCAGTTTGAGTAGACAAGACCGTAAAGCGAGGTGAACTGTGGGTGGGCCGGAAAGAACCAAAAAGGAGCGCGCTTGTCGTTGAAGCACAACAAGAAAAATGCTCACCACTAGGCCGAGGAGCCGAAGCATTGGAATCACGAAGCAAACACCGCATCTTGCTCGAAAACTGGCTCGCCGTCAGTTCTGTGCCGCGAGACGTAAACACGAGAACAAGCTGCCCCATCGTGAGTTCTACGCAGTAGTGAAGGTGAGTACAAGTCAAGGTGTCAGGTTGCACATTGTCAGAGGCCGTAGTGTACATAAAGCCTGGTCTCGACGACAAAGAAGCGGCACAGCAGCGGGCTCGTCACGCACCGACGAAGCACATGAATCCTCACAGTAAAAAAAGAAGAGTAATTATAAAGAAGATGACGAACAGTAAACATGTTCCAAAATTGTACATCGTCTGTCGTGGCAACAAGCGAAAAAAAAAGGGAATCACAAAGAGGAAAGTGGCGGTTTCCGGAAAAATGAGAGGCGCGCTTGTCGCCTTACCTAGCTCAGTACGTCGCGGGCGGAGGTCGCGGGAAATACCCGGTGCCGTCGTTCGACGCACGACCCGGCAGCGGAGGTAGCGGGCGTCCACGTGTCCCGCTCACGCTCGCCTGCGTGACGGAGCGCATCAGATCCGTCGGCATCGGCTTCCACCGCAGAAGCCGCTTCAACGTCTCACTCTGCTGTGTCGGGCACTGCACGCTGTCAACGCTGGAGCGCACTGACTGCCTGCCGCGGCCGTCGCCGTGCGCCTTATCCCGAACGTAGAGCGGCCCTTTTGACGCCGTGCGAGCTCTCTCCTCCACCGCAGCCGCCTCCTCCGCCTCTTGCCGCTGCAGTCCGATTTCGGTGATATTCTCCAGCAGGGAGCGCTGCTGCCGGCGCAGCTGATCGATCTGCGTGCGAGCGAGCAGGATCTGCGACTTGTTCTCTTCCATCTCGCGCAGCATCACCTCCATCACCTGGTCATGCGTGGAGAGCAGGATGTGCTCGCGGCGCACATCTACGATTTCCACGTCGATGGCCCGCTCCTCGGCAGCAGTCATCATAAACCGCGACACGGGCCGCCCGCAGCACAGCTCCAGCTGCTGCATCTCGGTGTGGTACGTCTCGAAGCGGAAGGCAACGCGGATGTCAGACAGGTGGGTGCGCAGAGGATCGTTGCCCAGCGAAGACGACAGAAACCAGCGGTCACCGATGGCGCTGCGCTTGAAAGCGTTGTCGAAGCCGCACTGCAGCACGGAATTGCGGGCGATTTCGCAGAGGTCATTGGCGCTTAAACCCCACACTCGCGCCGCGATGCTGTACTCCTCGATGAGCGGCTCCTGCGTCTGGTGGAACATCATCGGGTCGTCCGTGCTCAGCGAGACGTTGAGACCGCGGCGGAAAAAGTCAGGGAAAGGGTTGTTCAAGAAGTACAAGAACAGCGCGTTGTTGCTCAGGGGGGAGACGTGGAGGCCGATCTGGGTGAGGTAATAGAGGTACTGCATCGGCGGGTCGTTGCGGAGGTTGATGCCGTGGCAGATGCTGTTGGCGCACAGGAAGGCGCCGTAGAGGTGCTCCTCGGACCCCGACTCACCGCAGTGTGGACGCAGGGCGAAGGTGGAAAAGCCACGCGAGGCACGGAACTCGTTCAGTGTGCGGATGTTCGCGTAGAGATAGTAGAGGTAGTAATTGTAGGGCGGGTTCTCCACTGAGGTCCACGCCCACGGCGACACTGTGGTGAAGGGCAAGTCGATCGTGGCCTCGTTGTCGACGGAGTCGAAGCCGCTCACGTGGTTCAGAAAATTGTGCAGGGTCGGGTGCTCGCTGGGGTGCAGCGAGGCCTCCCAGAGCGGCTGAAAAATGTTCTGCAGGTACTGCCCAAAGCTACCGATGACGTTCTGCGCCCGAAACACTTTGTAGACACGCGGCACTTGGATGATCCACTTGTTGTGCTTGTTCGCCATGCCGTGGGTGGCAAACCAATTCGCCAGCTTGTCCCACTCCTTGATGTTGATGCCGTAGACTGAAACGCGGTTCTCGGCGTAGGTGTAGCGATCGCGCGAGTACTGCTCGAAGACGTCGTGGATCAGTTCCGCGAAGTAGCGGCCGTTCATGAAGTTGTCCGTCTTGAGCATCAGCGAGCGCAGGTCGCCGTTCTCCATCGGGTTGTACTTGTTATTGAAGTTGTCGAAGCGCTCAAAGAGGGTGTGATCGGCCTGCACGTTGAGCTGGTCCACGGTGAGGTTCGGCGTAATGCCGGCCTTCGAGAAGAGCTGCCCCAAGGTGATGATCTCGTCGCCCTTCTTCATCGCGATGTCGTCGCCGCTCTCCTTTAGCTTGGCGAGCACAAACTGAAGGATTTTCTTTGGGGTCATGCCCGCTGCCATGTGGATGTGCGTGTCCACCTTAGTAGCCTGGTAGAAGTCTCGGTTCGACGACAGCCGGTCCTCCGTCGTGCCGGCTTCGTTTTCGTGGTTGAGGGCGAGGTGGAGGCGAAACTTGTGGTCGAGGTTCTCGAGCCGCTTGTGCGCGTACTCCTTCACCTCCGGGCCACTGCATATCGCACGCAGCTCGCGCAGGTGCTGATGAAAGTCGTCAAGCGTCGGCAGCGAGCGCGGCCAGGCGTGCACGGCGCTCTTCGGGTACGCGATAAAAACGGCGTCGCTCGCTGCGTAGGTCCACTCGTCCTCGTTGAAGGTCGCCGTGCGGCGCTGGAAGTCCGTCTCGACACCGTGCCGCTGCGTCGACTCCCACGGCGGTGGCGGACGCCAGATGTACTGGTGGCGCAGGTCGAGCGCTCGCGCCACCCGCGGTGCCGCCATCGCCGCCTTCAGATCGCTGTGAGGGCCCTTCAGCACCGTGCGTGGGAAGCGTACCCGCGTGTCCATCACGGTGTCGTACTCAACCTCCTGTACGCTGCTCAGGTAGTGCCAGCGACTGAGGCCGGCGCCGACCTCGTGGACGGGTTTGAGGTGCAGGTCGCGCATCATGTTGCGCTCCAGCTGCCACGCCTCCTCACGGAAGGTCAGTCGCGCGTTTGTGACGTGGCTGCGCTCGAAGTTGTTCCCCTCCACGCCCAGTTGGTAGCCGTCGCCGAGCCACTGCCGCTTCACGTCACTAGAGAAGGATGACATGAGGACGCTGTTGTGCGCCATCTCGGTCACGTCGAGCGAGCTCAGGCGAAAGATTTTCTGCGCCGTCGCGTACTCCTCGACGAGCGCGCGGGGGTTGTGGTGGTACCGCAGCGGCGACTCGGTCGAGATCGCGATGTGCAGACACCGGTGCAGGAAGTTCGGAAGGGGATGACTCTTGTAACTCACGGTGCCCTCCATGTGGTCGCAGAGGGGGGATACGGTCAGCCCGACGCGGTGGAGGCCGCACAGGTACTGCAGCACCGGGTAGTCGGTCACCTTCGTCGCGCGGGTGATGACGTCGGCGAGCATGTAGCCACCGATTAAGTCGTCCATCCCGGTGGGCTTGTTGCCCGTACAGCGCAGCTGCAGCGCGTCCTGGCCCTTGCGTCGCCGCAAACTGTTCAGTACGCTGAGATTCGCGTAGAGGTAATAGAGGTAGTACAGCTCCGACTGCTTTGCGGAGACGGGGACTTCGCCCGGCGGCGGTGCGGCCTCGTTGAAGTCGTTCTCGACATCGTCGCGCCCGCATTGCAGCTGTACCCCACCGACCTGGTCGATCAGCCACGCCACGTTGGCGTTCTCCGGGACGTCAGGGGCCAGCGTCGCCTTAAACAGCGGCAGAAAGACGTTGTCGAGTTGATCCTGCACCGTCTCGCAGTTGCTCAACACCTCAAAAGAGGGCGTGGCGGTGAAGGAGACGTTCAAGATGTAGCGCACCCGCGAGTGCGGCCCCTCCACGCGGCGCCGGAGAAACTCCGCCAGCTCGCTCACCTCGTGCGAGTGCACGCCGAAGAGCGGCAGAGTGTACTCGGCGCCCTGCGGTGTTTGCGACGGCTGCTCCACCCGTGCCACAACGCGGCGCAGCACACGCCCCGACAGGGAGCCGCGCAGGTCCGTAAACGTAAAGTGCAGCTCTGCGCCGAGGGCGGCCATCGTCCCGTAGTTAGACGAGCCAATTTGGCCGCTGGGCAGCATATCCTCGCCGCGCTGCCAGCACAGCCCAGCCACCGTGAGGTCATCCGCGTTGACCACGCCGTGTGTGTCAAGCAGCTCGTGCAAGGTCATGTTCGACCCGTCGCGCAGCCGAATTGGCGCCTCGGGCGTACGGCGGTAGACCTCCTTCACCGCGTCCAGCAGCTGCTGCGCGTCCATGGACTCGGCAAACACGACAGCGTTGTCCACCTTCGTGGCGGTGGAGAAGACACCGCCACCTTTGTGGTAGTTCGGCTGTTCCTCCATCTCCGCATTGAGGAGGAAAAACATCCGAGAGCGCTCCTGCATAATGCCGAGGCGGTGATGGCAGGACTTGATGCAGCCGCCGTTGCCGACGGTCAGCCGCACGCGCTGCACATCCAGCGCGTACTCCGTCCAAGACGGAATGGACAGATACAACGACACGTCGTGCTCGGAGACATGGTACATTCCGTTCTCCTGGGAGATGGTAACCCGACTCGGAATCGGGGAGCTCAGGTACGGGTTCACGCGGTCACGTCCACCGAGACGTGCTTCGAAGGGCTGGTAGAGAGATCGGACGCGCAGCGCAGCCTCGATGCGGTCATGCACGCGGTGCATCTCCACCCCGCCATCGTCGCCGTCGATGACGACCTGGAAGAGCTCCGACGCGTCGCGAGGGTGCGTGTCACGGAAGCAGTCGCTGTCGTTCGTGTGACTGTGCCGTGAGGCCGCCGCGTCAGAGAAAGGCACCGTGCCGGTGGACGAAGATCGCGTGAGGAACGGTGCGAGCTTCACGCCGTGCCGCGGCCCGTCGTCACCCGTGGAAGAGGTGAAGCTGCTGTGCATGGTGTTGGTCTTGTGTTTTTCTGTTTCCGCGAGGTACTACCAGATATTTTGAATGAAAGGAGAAAATTTGTTGAAGATGACGAAGTGCGTGGGTGTGAGTTTGGATGTGTTGCTCTTGTGCACAATCACCTCCACCTAAATAACAAAGAGGTGTGTAGCACGTGGTTGAATAGGTTCCGCTAACTGTTAGCAGCATCAACAACCGTGAAAGAGAAGAAGTGCTCGCAAACGTAGACTGGGAGTATTCGCTCCACGAATAACGAACCATGAAATTGAAGAGGTCCCGAGCACAAATGGGAAATGTATGGATTAGTAGAGAAAGTAGACGGAAAGATCAGTCATCGTCACTTAAGACTTCTCCGCGGCTTTCACCTGGACAACGAGTGTACGACGCACCTTCGAGAGAGCCTCCTGCTCGAGAGAAGTCTCAAGAAAAATCCCGTTCGCTGCGTGGTACGTCGCAAAACCAGAAATTAATGGACTGTGCAAGCACCGTTGAGGTCGTGCAGCGCACCATTCATTCCAGAGAGAGAGAAAAACAGGACCAGCTAACTTGATCATCATTACGTTCACTTAGAACGGGCGACTGGTGCGTTTTCGTCAGAAAACAAAAGCAGTAGTCTGCAAAGAAAGCAACATTAATAATAACATTAAACGAAGCAAAAGGTAAGCAACAACGAAGTAGACGATTTCAGAGATCGGTACCTTTCTTCTCTCTTCTTCCTCATCTTCAGATGACAATAAAACACTGTGACGAAGAGGTCTCGCTTTTACGCCGCCACGAAAGCACTATCGAGGGCATAGGTGATGAAGACAAAGAAGAAAAAAAAGAAACACCTCCGCAGACGATAACGCGACCGCCATCAAGCAAACCCGTACGTTGATAACGCTGCCCTGTCATTGATGTGAGTATACAAAACCAGCGACTTGACGCACAGGCTGCACAAAGCAGAAAAGCCAACCACCAAAGACAAGACGTCAAGTACGTACCAAGAGCGCACGCGAAAAAAAAACCGTTATTCAAAAAAAAAAGGCCATTCGAGCATAAAAACAAAGAGAACACGTTGACTCGACTAAACATAGCTGTTCCATAACAACATAAAAGAAAAGGCAGCACTGCATTTGAAAAAAAAAAACAAAGCAACAGTTCGATAAGAAGCGCGCCAACACAGTCGGCGTTTCTCTTTTTCCCCTTATCTTTCAATGCCACACTCACGCTGATTTCTACTGCTTTGAACGTGTTTTTTCTCTTTTTTATACGATAGATTGGGCATAGATGTTTGAGGCCTTCTTCAAAAGCGATGCCGACACAGACCAGTAACGGACAAACATGTAGCCCATCAGCGCTCCGTGGCAGCACCACAGGATGGCGCAAACAAGGATCATAATAAAGCTCGGCATATTGTGGGTCCGGGAAAGTGCATAAATGAAGCCCATCCCGCCAAAGTTGGTGACACCCACGGCCATCCACGCGTCGAAGCAGAAGGCTAAAAAGAGACCGAACAGCGCCACCACCTGCCGCGGGCGCGACAAATACACCGTCGCGCAGTAGACGTTGTAGTACCACAACATCCACGCCCCGGGAAAGCCGAGCAGGTACAAAAACGACAGACCAAACCCTAGCGCACTGCCGCCAAAGACGAAGGCGACAATTGCACACACGATGTTGTAAAGGATGAGAAACATCAAAAATACGTAGCAGCCGGCGAGGATGTACATGAAGCGCTGCTGCGGAATCGGCACTTGCTCGCGGATGTTGTGGTAGATCATCGGCTTCACGCAGCAACATTCCGGTGGGAAGTTCGGGTCCGGCTCGACGGCGTGCGCTACATTTGACCTGCGACTGTTTATCGCCTTGAGCCGGGCTGCGTTCTGTTGCTCCTTGGCGACCACCATATCCTCCGTGACGATCGAGGAGTTCATGTTTGAAGACAAGCGAAGGGAGACACAAGAGAAGAAAATACTAAATGGAAAAAAAAAGCGGTGGCTCGGAATGATATTGTTGTTTTTGGTTGGACAGATGTGTTGTGTGGAGCCGAGTCAAACTGGTGAAAAGAAAAGGGCGTGTAGCTCTGCGAAGGTGAGAAGAAAAAACAGCAAAAGTGAAAGCGAAAAAGGGAGAGGAGCAGCAAACACCACAAGATGGAAAAGGCCACTCAGAACGCTGCCTGTCCACCGTTGTCTTTTCCACCTAAAGTGGAAGTATCGGCGGATGCCCCACCTATGTTTTTGTCAGCTTGCCGCAAACAGTATTGCGACTACGTCGTCAATGGTTAACTATGCGCACAAGCAAGTGACCATCGTAGTGCCCTTGAAGGTGGTACTGAAGAGTAACGACAATAGACAGGTACACGTGCCGATAAATCATTCGTTCACTTTTTGTGTTTGACAAGCGTAGCCGACACGTACACACACACAAACACACACCGTTTTATTTTTGTTCGTTCCTCATTCGATGCAGTTTTGAAGGAGAGCGGGCAGCAGATTACAGAACAGCTGGTGAAGACGAAAGCGACGCATTTTTTTTTTAAAGCAGAGGATAGAAAAAAACAAAAGAGTTCGATGCGATAGACGGAAGAAACAAAGTTGCGGACACAAGAAATGGTACGAGAGCTCTTCTTTTTTAGACTCGCTAGTTCAGCTCCTCGCTCACCGCACGAAGCGATTCACCCAGGGCGATCATCATCGTGGAGACACCACGAAGTACGCAGCGGCCTGCATCCAGAACCGTTTTACCAACGCACAAAATCAGTGGTGCGGACGCCGCAGTAGGTGCGGCGGTCGCGGTGGCGCTGCCGTGTGAAGTCAGGCGAACCGGAAAGCAGCCGACGACAAGGGTGTGCCACCACAGCACAGGCGTGAGACCACCGAAGGAGACGACCATGAGGGGAAACAGCAGCCAAAACGCTGAAGCGGGGGTGTGACGAGGGGCCATGCTGACGCAGGCGCAGAGTACCACCGCTACCAGCGTACGCACCACGGCGATAGCGCACCGCTGAACGACGGAGGCGACACTCAGCAGCGGTACGCCGCTTCTTGTAAAAGGCAGGCCACTCCCTTCCACCGCTAACCAAAGGTACAAAACAGTTAAAAAGAACGTCGTTAGGGGAGGCGACGACCAGTCGCACAGCCCTGTGAGCCGTGCGTTCATCTCGTACAACACGTTTGTGTACGGCGCATTGGGCTCGAAGCTGTAGTTGTCGGGCTTGCCGAAGGATGACGAGGGTACCGTGCGCAGATTTTCGGGTGCGTGGTGCGCCGTGTCATCGTTCTTCGACCGGGCAGCCACAGCCGTTTCCAGTGCGACGTGATGCCTCGTTGGGGAAGAGGAAGGCGAAAGCGGCAGCTGTTGTCCAGCTGCCGTTGAAAGAAAACGCGTCGCGGTGGACCGCACCCTCTGCGTGTCCCTCGCTGTCCGTGAGAACGAGGCCGGCAAGCTGAGTGGTGTCACGCTCGACGCAAGGACGGACCACGACTGTGCGTTTCCCACGAAGACCGTCGCGAACTCCTGCGCGGCATCCACTGCCTCGACAACGCCAATCACAGTGGACGGCTGATTCTCGCTTTTGTTGGCGAAGTTCACCTTCACGACATCACCGAGCTTCATGGGCATGAGATGCGGCTTTGCGACTTATCGTTGCTGTTTATACGCGTGCAAACGAACGACTATAAATACGTCAACTGCGACACCACACAGAAATTCAAAACGCACCAAGAACGAATAGAAAACAATACATATATAAAAGAAAGTCGCTGTGTAAGAGAGAGGAGATAAAGAAAGAAAAGTGTGAAAGTGGTCTGAACGTGCGTTTCACCCCCTGCTGTTGCTGTAAAGATAGGCATAGTTGGAATGGCAAAGCTCGCATCGTCGAAGAGGCTTTCAGATTTGCATCACCTTCGGCTCATTTCTGTTGATACATCACACAGAAAATGTTTTCCTTAAAGCCGACACCTGCTAGTATTTATTTGACATTTCTGTGGTTCCTTCGTCGCTGCTGCGATTCAGAAGTAGCGCCTGTGGTCTGTCGATCTATTCATCGAGACGAACATGCCGTTTCCGTGAACGCGTCTCACTCACCCGTTACCCCTGCGGTGAGTGCCGGACAATGGAGAAAGCGGCAGAACGCAGTGTGAATAAAACGTTAATAAATAGACAAATAAACGAATTTAAAAGAAATAAATGAATTTTTTTTTTTAAAGGCTTTGACGACGTGCTCGGAGCACGCGCATTCAACTTCTGCGCCTGTTCATTCGAAACGCGCACTAGCTATCGAAGACGGCAGCACAAGTAGTGTACACAGGAGGAAGAGCTGCATGCTCTTCTCCCACGGAAGAAAGAGGAGATGAAGAAGCGGGACAACAGTCGTAGAGGAAAAGCATCCACCGCCTGCTGGGCCCACAACTCAGCAGTCTACGAGAACATCTTCTTGAAGTTCGCCGCAAGCTTCGCCTTCTGCGCCTTCACCTTCCCCTTCGCCTCATTCAACTTGGCCGTGATCTCCGCATTATCCGGCTCCATCTGGTGGGCCTGGGTGAGATCCTCCACGGCGCCATCCGCATCACTGCCGTTCAGCGCCGCCATGCCGCGGCGGAACAGGGCCTTCGCGTTCTTGGGGTCTAAATTCAGCACGAGCGAGGCGGCGTGGCGCGCGTCGGCCCACCGCTCCAGCTTGATGGCGCACATGGCCGTGTTGTTGTAGCACGCAATGAGCTTTTCCTTCACCTCGGGGTGCGCCTCCTGGTTCTCCACCTGCACAAGGAAACGCACCGCCTTCTGGTACTTGTCGGTGGCAAGCGCGTAGGCGGCGTTCTTGAAGTACGTGTTGCCGATCTGGCGAATCGCCTCGCCGGCCTCGATGCGCTGCGCATCGTCCATGGCCGGCACCACGTCTTCGGGGTAGTCGGGGTAGGTGTCACCGTCCGCCGCCGGCACCACCTCGGGCAGTGCGTCCAGCTCGCCGCAGTCCGCAATGAGGCAGTCCTCCACTGGTTTGTCGTTAGCCCCGGTCGCGGTCTGCTCGACGGCGCGGACGGCGTTCATGCCACGCACCACACGGCCGAAGACGACGTGACGCCCCGTGAGGTGCGGGGCAGGCGCCGTCGTGATGAAGAACTGCGATCCATTCGTGTTGGCGCCCGCGTTGGCCATCGCGAGCAGCCCGCTCTTATCGCACGGCACCTCAAAGTTTTCGTCCTCGAACTTTTCGCCGTAGATAGAGACGCCGCCGGTGCCGTTGTGGTTCGTGAAGTCGCCGCCCTGAATCATGAAACCCGCAATGACGCGGTGGAAGCTGGAGCCTTTGTACGTCATCGGCACCTCGGTGCCCTCGACGGTCTTGCCTCCGTTGCCAAGACAAAGCTGGCGGAAGTTCTCGCAGGTCTTTGGCGTCACATCGGTGAAGAGCTCCATCACGATACGCTCCTTCAGCGGCTTGCCGCCGATGGTGACATCGAAGTAACAGTACGCATTCGACATTGTGCCGCGTAGACGGGAGGGGAACAAAAAAAGAGAGCGAGAGTTAAGCGTTGGTGTACGTATATGTGTATTATCTTCGATGTTGAGGGTGTGCGATTTGTGTAAAGGTTGTTGGGTAGGCGCGAAAGAGATCCTAAAAACGCATTTTCCCGTGAGTGTTTATGCTCGGTTTGGTTTTTCAAAAGAAGGCCGAATATATTTGTATCACGACACACGCACACACAAGCGTCAGAAAGAGGAGAGGGAAGGAGGGGGAAAAAAACACGGAGGTACGGACATACAAAGCAGACGGCATGACACGCATGGTTGATTTATGAGAAAGGAGACATTTACGGTAGAAGATACGACTGTCAGCTTCTTTTTTGTTGTTCTTCCTGTTGGTGTTGTTTTTCGAACTTCGCACAAGCTTTAGCGAGGTTCACACCTCAGAGAATCGACATCAACGTGCGAGAATACAAGGTGTCATGTCGATGCAACCGAACGTCGCGAACAGCAGACCGGCAATTACTGCAAGCGAAGCCAGAAGTGCCTTTTTAACGTCTTGTCGTTATATACATATATAATGCGATTTAGCTCTACACAAAATGTCTAATATATAGGTACTTGGCTTTCAACGTGCCAACCATCACCGACCCTCCACTCTTGCTCGCTGTACACTTGATGAGCGCATTTGAATACAGGCATTGAAAAAGAAACGGCGGCTTTTCAGCGAGAAGAAAGGGAACGTAACGTCTTGATAATCCATGTAATTTCCTTCCGCACTCGACGAATATCTATGATCTTCTTTCACACATCTCTCGCAGAATGTAGACATTGACGCAGAGTGCATTCAGGAAAAAAAAGGAACAGTTGTTCTTATTACTGGATCCATGCGAGAGAAGAAGGGGAAAAAGACCTCAGTGGTGAAGCAACGGAGGCCGTCATTGTCGGCACGATGCACCGCAGACGTGATGCCGAATGCGGCAACGACCACCGCCATCTCGGTACACAAGTAAACGAAAAAGAAAAGAAGAACACCGCTCGTTGAAACCTTCTTGCGAGCAGAAGAACGAAGAGGTAACGCGTCGAGGCTGCTGCAGAAGAAAACTGAGTGAAGCAGTGACAAGAAACCCAGTTGCCAAGGGCTACCATCGGGTTCCCGTTTCAGTCCGCACATCCACATCCTTCTGTCACCTTTAGTTTGCTCTGCCACTTCCCCCACACCTCTTCACCTCGTTTTCCATCCATGTATTCAAGTTCACATCCATCCAACGGCCAATGGGAAAAAAATACACTTTCTTTCCTCTATGGAAATTTCATTTTTTTTTTCCCCCTCATCCGTTGTAGCACAAAAATATATAAAAGACATATGCAGCATAAAAGAAACGCAACCGCATGAACCGCGTGCATCTATTTGGGATATGTAAAGGCGAAAACAACTAAACAAGTACAAATACGAGTGCTCTAGAAAGGGGGGAGAGATCATACTAAAAAGAGAAAAGAAAAGAATTAAAACTTGTACGCCTTCATGGAGTAGCTGATCACAGCGGCAGTCATGGCCGCCGCCACCTCATAACCGGTCTCCGTGATGAAGAGTTGAATGGGGCGCTGGCAGGAAAAGAGGCGGCTCACGCGTGGCATGCCAAGCGCCACCGTCACCATGGCAGCTGTCTGGTACTCGGTCAGCGTTTGGAAGTGGAAAACGCTCACCAGAGCGAGCAGGATAATCGTGCGCAGCACGGAGCACAGGAAGTTTGTGGCGGACACCATGAAGCCCGAGTAGCGCTGGACCACGTGCTCAAAGCGGCGCACACCCTTATCCGCGGCGAGGTAGTAGCGGTCTATGTGGCGCACAATGCAGCCGTACCACGCCATCGCCAGCACCTGCTGCGCAACCGCGCTCGCCACCACGTAAAGTGGGTTGATGCCGTACACAATAGCCATGATTGCGCTCATTGGGGATGTGCGGGTGTGAATGTCTGCGAATGTTGACTTAACGAGTGTGGATGCACGTGATCAACAGTAGGCGTGAAGTCGTAGAAGAAAATGATTCAGTCAAAAGCGTTTTTCCTAGAGAAATTGCAGTAAAAAGAGGAGAAGTCAATGTGATGGAGCAAAGCACATCAGCGATGTCAGCAAGACGCCCAGTGGCAACCAACGCGATCGACGGAGAGTATTGAAAAGAGAAGGATACGGAAAAAAAAAAGAGAAATATAAAACGCAGTTACTTTTTCATGTCCGCTATCGCGGTGAGACTCCCGCAAAAACAATGAGACAGGTCTCAACAGCGATGTTCCGGTGGGCCGTGAAAATGCCCTTCCAATTCTTATTTGGGAGCGCAGCGATCTCCCTCGAATTGATTGAAAAAATTAAGGAGAAGTGTTCGTTTCCTTGTTGTAATTATTTTTCTTTTTTCAAAGAGGTGATCGTAAAGTAGAGCAGAAGAAATGATACGTCAAGATGACCATGGGATGTAATAGAGTTCAAGAACATATACCTGTATGTATATACGCGAATGTCATCAATTCGACTTCTCATCGGCCTGCGACAGCAACGCCTGACGCTCCTCCAGCTCTCGTTGTAGCTGTGTCAGCGTGCGACGGAGCAGCTCTGTCGAGTGCAGCTTGCGATGCCTCAGTGCGTCCAAGCGAGCGAGCAGCTGCGTTTCGCGCTCCCGCAGCGCGTCAAATCGCGCACGGGCCTCCGCCTCGCGCTGGAGAGAACGTTGCTTTGTCCACTGAAGCGCCCGCATTTTGTCCGCGTGTGCTGCGTCGTCCTCCTGCGTTGCGCGTTCCAATTCTCGCCACGCAGCATCGATGCGGCGTGTCTCCTCCTCGGCTGCTTGCTGCTGCTTGCCTGCCTCCGTGGCAGCTAGGATCTCCTGCTGCTTCTGTGCTACCTCGTCGTGACGCAGCTGGGTGTGCCGCACAGACAAGGCGCGACGGCGCTCCTCGAGCACCAGCGCGGCGGCAACGTTTTCGTTGTCCAGCTCTCTCAAGGAGGCCTCTAGCAGCATCTGCCTTTCTCGAAGTTGCTCAGCATTCCGGCGCCGCACCTGCAGCTGTGACCACCTAGCTTCTACTTCCGCTTCCCAGGACAGCAGCTGATCTGCCTCCGAAACGCGCGGGATGGAGGGCACTTTCAAGGCCATGTGCAAATCAGGTGCATCTATAGTATTTTTTCGTAAATGACATGCAGTGGCGGATATACAATGAAAAGTTTTTATTATTATTCACGAGCCGTCCGAAGCACGTTCGGTGCGCGAGAGAGGGGAAACGTCCGTGACGGAGGCGGTGTGGAAATATATATGTATTGAGGCATCTAACAACAACAAAAAAAAGAAGAGGGTTGAGTTGGTTGCGGTCAAGTAAAACTTTGCACAGCGAAAACACTTGCGCCGGTGTCGAAGATCCACCGTGCCTGCCAACAGTATCGCACACAGGCATAGCGCAAAAGGAGAAGTATTATGACTTTCCATAAAAAGATGAATACAAGTAGTACTACTTGACACCTCAGCATTCTTTCTGAAGTTTAACTCCGACAACACGAGCCGTCAATGACAGCGGTGCCCAAACACGGCACGCGCACGCGAAGACGAAAAAAAGTGCTCGCATAGCCGAATAGGAGACTAAATTCATTTCAAACCTCGCGCGGGAATTCCAATGGCGTTGAACCATCGTCGGATAATTTGCGACCGTTTTTCTTTTATATTTTCTTCATTCTGTCAGTTGGGGTGTTTATGGGTCTCCTCTGTTAGCCTTCGCCCTCTCCTCTCTCCATATTTGGGCGGCACGAGGACGTGACAGTGAAATCGCTAGCGCTATCAGAAAGGGAAAAGAAGAACAAAACAAAACAGGGTAAAGAAGTTAGGGAAAGCGCCCCGTTCAACTTGGAAACACAAGTTGAAAAAGAAAACACACACACGCACGCATTGCTGCGCTAATAAAAAGTGGAGGGCGCAAGAAGACAAAGAGGCACAAAACGCAGAAACACAAAAGAAAAAAGAGAGAGCGAAGCAGGGTGAATAGGAAAAAAAACAGCAGCATTTCACCCACGCTTGCCTTCGCACGAAAAAAAAAAAATACGATCGAGAGGCTTCTTCTGGGCGACACGAGAGTGTTCAAAGTAACACGTCGGCAAGACTGTAGAAGTAAGCAAGATGTTGCGCAAACGCTTTCACGAGTGCTACAAAAGAGCTTATAAAACTCAGCCGCACATCATGCAGAAAGAAAGGGTAAGAGAGAAAGCTTTCTTAAAAAGGTAAGGGGGATAAAAGTTGCTTGTTTTCGGTACAACAAGAAGTCCGCATGAAAACTTCTTAAGTCCACTGCTCGAGGCAGCAGAAAACAAGTACTTCCTCACATCTTCACCACATTTTACCATTTCTGAGCGCACCACCTTCAGACTCGAAGTCGAGTGGAAGAAAACGCATGTATATATTGCTCGCGAATTCCAGTTGCTCTTTGGACACTTTGCTGCCAGCCAGAAAAAGGGGAAAATCTCGAAAAGCAAATGTAATCGGATACGTGATTCGTTGCCGCTAAACTTACATAAAGAAGCAATGTGCTTTTCGCAGCACCGTCAGACCTACGCCGTCCTCATTTTCTTCGCTCTTAGTTGTGCTTCTTTTTCGCTATTTCCATCAGCCCCTTTGTGTGTTTTTTTTTTGTCTCTAACGTGAAGTCATGAAAAGCAAAAGGGAAAACAAACTCCGCAAAATGAAGGGTTTTCTTTTCCTCATCTATTCAAGGAACTTCTTGTACTCCTCGGCGTCCATAAGACCCTTGGGGATCTCCGAGCACTTGACCTTCACCAGCCAACCCTTCTCCTCAGCGGACTGGTTGATGAGACCGGGCTCATCCTTCAGCTTCTCGTTGACAGCCGAAACGGTGCCGTCCACGGGTGAGTAGACGTTGCTGGTGGCTTTCACGCTCTCCACTTCGCCTACCACATCCTTCGCGGACACCTTGTCGCCGACTTGAGGAAGAGAGACGTACACCACATCGCCCAAGTTCTCCTGGGCATAGGTCGAAATGCCGATGATGACTTCGCCGTCTGCCTGCTCAACCCACTCGTGGCTGTCGGTGTAGTGCTTCGTCGCGTAGCAGCGCAGCGACGCGACCGCAGCAACGGAGACAGAAGTGAGCGCCCTGCGCATTTTTTTTTTTTCTCGCGTGTGTGTGTCTGTGCCTGGTAGTGAAGAACTGTGAAGGAGATACGATGTATCTCTATGTAGAACAGAAGCTGTGGACAGCTGTTAAAAAAAGGGGGTCCCGAACAACAACAAAAAGAATAAATTAATATATGTAATAAATGTGATACCTAGAGAGACGAAAAATAGTTGTTTGAGCTACGTCTCGCGAGAAAACGAATGCGCCAATAAAAACACCAAAGGAAGAAAAACAAGAAGTCAACCACAGAGATAAAAGCGTTGAGGAAGAGTGTTGGGGTCAAACAAATTGGAGCGCCTTCACTGCCAGAAAGAAAAAGAAAGGAGTCACGCTTACCCTTCTCGCCACTGTTCCGCAGTGCCGTGTGAGGCAAAGACAATGACACAAGTAGCAGCACTGTGAGAAGGTTCTCAACGGTCACATAGCGCGAAGACGTTTTAGGATGGGAAGACGAAAACTAGCATTTGTGTCTGTCCATAATCACGCTATTTTTTCTTTGTCAAATGTATCAAGACGAAGCACACGGCCGTAAAATCTCCCATTCGAACCTGTTCACGCGGAAGGCATCCCCCATTTGCTCTGTACTTTGTGATTTTCACCAAAGAAAAAAACAAATGCACAAGGAATTGTAGTGTTATCTGTTATCGCATCAAAACGAAGAAAGAGTGCAAAAAAAAGAAGGATTAAAGTGCGATCAAGTAGCAGCAGCACAGCGCATATCATCGCATTTCATACAAAGCCCATAGCGACGTTCTCACACGGATGGAACAAAAACAGGTCAAAAGAAGGAAATCGGCGTTCAACCGTGATGCGTCAACTCTTCAAGAAGAACGTCGCTGACGCTTTATCTGACGAAATTGCAAACGTTGGTTGCTGTTGTTGTTTTACAGATCGCCTTCAGCGCCATCGTCACCTTCATTCGACGCAGCACCGCCTACACCGTTGTTAGAAGCGTCGTGCGACGACTCCGATTCCGGCTCTTTTGTCAGCTCGTAGACAAGCCTCTCTAGCTCTGCATGACGTGCGTCGTACTCATCAGCCGAGCAGTGATCGGAACTGCCAGGGCCGTCTTCGAGCCAGTCTTGAATCTTCGCCACTTCATCCAGGACATGGTGCACCGCCGCGTCACCGACAGCAGCGGCAAGCGTCTCATTGCCGCCAACTCCGTCGTATTTGACCCAGAAAATGTAGGTTTCCAGGTTGTTCTTTGCGGTCGCACGTACATGCTTCGCGTGCTCAGCTTTCCAAATGTCCGCCAGTTTCTTCTCACTAGCGCTCGACTCCTGCAGTGTGAGCGCATCGGGGTTCTTCCAAATCAGCGCAGCTGGCACGACCGCTGTCTTGTGGCGCATCCGGATCACGGTGTGCGTCTTATCCACCTCTTTGACCTCTCCAGTCGTCGAATCAGTCACGTTTTCTTTTGTCTTCTCCGTCACCTGTGCCGCGTAGCGGACAAGCGCTTCCGTGTGCTCGAGCTGAACCAGTCCCGTTTCATTCATAATCACCTGCATGCGAATCATGTGGCTGTTGTTGGGATGCTGTACAGTGGGAGAGAGAGCCCCCAAGTTTGTCAATGCTTTCTTCACATCGGTAACCTCAATCGTCGCGATCGGCAACTTCGCGTCGGTGCCAGCGAATAGGTCCACAGAAAAATCGTCGGTTCGATTGAAAGTTAGACTCACCGCGTCACCCAACAGCACGCCATCAGTGCCGAACAGCGGCCGGCGCGTCAACGGTTTCTTCTTGTTCAGCCGAGGATGAACCTCGAACTCTACGCTATAAGGAATCGTCTCATCAAGTTTCAGAGACTTGGCATGATAAAGAGGCGAAAGCTTCGCCGCGTAGTAGCCAGCGCCCATCGCAGCGGCTTCGTCCATGTTCATCGTTCGATCCACATCTCTGCCGAGGAATGCCGAAAGGTCCGCAATAATCTTAGGAGTGCGAGAAATTCCACCCATCATTTCAAAAGCGGTCAAATCGGACAGGGAAATATTGACTGACTTGGTCACGTTGACAGCCAAATCCTTCACACGGTCGAAAATATCGGAACATCCCGACTCAAAGGTGGCCCGCGTCATACTGGAGTGAAAATCTCTGTCCGGAACAATACCTTCTACCGTGTACGGTGTAACGCTATTCACCGAAAGTGTTTCACGCACCTTGTTGGCCGCACGCAGCAGGGAAAACTGCGATTTCAGTTGCGCAGGTGTCTTGCCACCGAGAACAGATCCGATGTTCAGTTTTTCACGTGCCTCGTTCTCAATAATGCCTGCAACGCACAGATCAAAGGCACGGCCGCCAAGAGAGCGGTCCTCTACGACGCCGAGAGTTCTCAGCGTCCCAAACGCATTTTCCAGCGGCGGCCGGCGAGGGGCTGGTGAAATTTCGTACACGCCGACCTCCGTGTGCGTTGCGCCGAGATCAAAAACAAGCAGCTTTACCGTGTTATTGCCAAAGCCCCGATGCCGCACACCGTAATAGAAAGCCGCGGCTGTTGTAGAATGCATCAGCCCAAGAACCTTGAGGCCGGAGAACCGCGCAGCATCGAGAATCGACCTCCGCTCCACAGGCGATGTGTGGAATGGAATCGTTACCACGACTCCGGTGGGGGTTACAACGTCGTCATGCTCAGCGGCGGCTTTGCAATACGATAAGATGAGTGAAAAAAGCTCTTCAGCTGTGAACGGCTCCTCAACGTTGCAAATGTTCACCGTCGCAGAACCATGATTATTGAAATTTACGTGATATTCGTACTGAAAATCTTGGAAAACAGCGTGCAGCTCGGAATCCTTGCGAATACTGACGAGTTGATTGATGGCACTCGCGGTGCACAAAGGAAAACGGGCGGCCAAACCTTTTGCCGTATCTCCGATGTAAATGTCACCGTTTCGGAAACCAATAAAGTTCTCTGTTTTTCGCATAGACAGCTCGTTTAGCACGATATCCAGCCCCTTGTCACCATGTGGACCAGAGACTTTAATATACTCGGAACCGAAATCAACACCGATCACATGAGCAGAAGACGTCGAAGACAGAATAGCAAAAACAGCCACCATAAGCGCCGCCAGCAGCAGATTTTTGCACGCCATTTCAGCTCCTTAATTACCGCCTTAGGTGTAAAGCAAATGCGAACGCCTCGTTCGGAGGAAAAACACGCACAGATAATAATAATAAACAATACGTAGACGAGCAAAATCTATATACTTAACGGCTTAGTGTGAGAGAGACAGGTTCAGCCAAACGAGATAAGAGCAGAGGTGACAACTAGCCTACAATATTTGTCTCAATGCCACAACGCAGAAACAGAGAAAGAGGGAAACAAAGAGAGAGTCGAAGATTCCAATTTTAGACAAACGCATGTGTGTAAACGGTGAAAAGCCCGTCGTTTTGCTTTGAGTGTGGGAGCGCGACGAAGAGCCTTTAGCATTAAGCTTTGCAAGGCCGCGTAAATACCAGAAGCTCAGCTTGTGCTAAGGAAAAAAGAAAAGAAAAAGGCAACATTGGAATCATGATCTGTGAATTCCAACAAGGTACCACTGTGCAATAAACAAGAACGATACATTTACGTGCAATTAAAATCGTTTTCGTTTAACGTGATTAATTTCAACAGTATAAAAAAAAGGACAAAAAAACATACATAGTGGCGATAAGCAAATTGAGCGAAACGCGGGCAATAAAAACCATAACTTTGCTTTCCAATTTCGCATTTTTGTAGAATAGCAGATCGGTCATCCGAGAGGCAGGAAAATGACAGGAAGAGTAAATCTGCGGCACGTGAACCGTGGCAAAACAGGAAAAAAAGAAGAAAGAAGTTAACAGGAAAATGCGAAAACAATCAGAAAGAGTGTTTGCTTCACAATAACAAGCAGCCTCGAACGAGAACAAAATGAGAAAAGAATAACATCCATTTCATCCGTTGGAGGGCATCATAACAATAATAAAGGAAAACAAATACTCTAAAAACAAGAAGGAGGAAAAGAGAAAAACAATCTAAAAATCTCAATAATTAGGAAGAAAAAGAATTTATGAACAGCAGAACAAGAAGTGCTGATTATCTTTACCCTCTGTCCACAGTAATAACAATAAATGTTTGTTTGCTTTATGCAGCACAGCGAGGAGCTTTGATGTGCCGTTTTGCGTCAATCATTTGCTTCCTGTTCTTGGTACGCGCGTCAACAATACGTTTCCAAACCGCCGTATAAATCATCTTTGCCTTCTTTTCAGCGATGTGCGGGTGACTTTCCACCACGCGTCGGATGAACTCAGCTTCTGGGATGTGTACAAGCGTCCGACCGTCGCCTTCAGGAAGGATAAACTCTGGAAATTGAATATTTCCTTGCGAGACCTTTGAAATAAACTCAAGTGCTTGTGTGCGAGTGAAATTATTCGGATCATTAGGATCAGCAGCGACAACTTTCGCGGGCGGGGTCACAGCCAGCAGAGAGGCGTACCGAAGAGTGTTGATCGTATGACGAGCGTCGCGCAAAAGCGGTGAAACACACGCAATCATGACTGTTTTGGTGGGACGACGCACCGCAATTTCGAAACAGTCGCGCAAAAGCAGCGTTAGAGGAGAACGTCTGTAAGGGATGTGCAGATGTTGCGTACTCGACGCGGCAAGGGCGCGAGAACGAATGCAGTCTTTGAGTGTCATGAGGGAAGTGTTGATGAACTTTGTTTCGGCCTGGCGGCTCTTATCGTGTGTCGCGCTGTCGGCTGTGTTTTCGCTACCGGCGAGATCGACAATAAACAAGTCGCCAGGCTTCGCCCACTTCGTTTCTTTGGAAACGATCGAAATACGGGCGATCATGTGCGAGCGCGAGGATGTTTCGTTTCGTTCCGTTGAACGAGTCGTACGTTGAGACGCGCCTTCCTCAAACGCAGCAACAAGCATTTCCGCGTTCGAGCACTCGAAGGCCTCCGTACCCAACAGCTTCAGCTCCCCAGAAATATCTTCCACCACTTGGACATCGGTTCCGGTGAGCAGGTCCATGTTTTTTAGAGCCTGAATTTCCAAAACTGTCAAGAGAATGTCATGCGTGTCAAAAAAGGGTGCCATATCTTTGGCGATGAAGCGAAAAATGCCAGTGGTCGTGTACGTCTTGCCGCTTCCGGTCTGACCGTAGCACAAAATGCAAGTGGAAGCGCCGTCGACAGAGAGTGAGACAAGCGGTGCGCACGATTGAACGTATACACGCTCTGTGTCGTCTCGTGCACCAACAAACGCGCCGTCCAAATTGACAATGCACGGATCAATGGTGCACTGACCAGAAAGCGAAATTTTGGGCGTCATAACAACCAGATCTCTGTCTCCCTCAATCTTCTGAATCATACTCTGGTTGTTTGGATTTTCGTTGTCGTGTGGCACGTATGGGCGTGCACGGACGAAAATGCGAGAATCTTGAAAAGTGAAGAGCTCTTCGGGATCCATTACGGGGCGCAATTTCTGCGTTACAGTACCGGGGATTTTTGACACGTTGAGTAGCTGCTGAAATTCGTCCGCCTTCGCTCCCAGCTCTGCAACTAACGGTATGCTAGGCATTGGGAGTTAGATGATGCTTCGCTTTTTGTTCGCGTTCACAGGGCACTGAGGTTCTCGTCTATTCAATTTATAATGCCGAATAGTTGCTTCCACGGGTGCGAGAGAAAAAGAACAATCTGTTTCGGTTTCGTAAAAGCGAAAAATAAAAATGCGATTCGCGAGAGAAAGAGAGAAGAGGAAGACAGGTACGTTGTAATGCAGTGCAGAATATACGTAATTATGGTAAAACATCAAGTTTCCCATAAAGCAAGAAATACCACGATTATTATCCCCTGTGCGACGCTGAAAAAGGGCGTTTGCTTAAAAGAACTGCCCACACTCAACGGGAGAAGAACATTTCTTTCATTGTAGGTTACTCCATTAAACAGGATTATTCATTGAAGGTCGTAACGATGAGGTATAGAACGGAGAAAAAAAAGCGACGGGCGTGTGCTACGAACTGGTACAGTTCTTGTATTTCTGAACGGCTTTACAACGACCTTCCTTATTTGATTTCTTGTCGCGCAGACGCCACGACAGGTTCACAAACAAGTAAAGTCTTGCAGTGATGCTGTGCTTGAGTGCGTTTCCCTCTTTTTATCGCGCACCGTGGGGGGGGGGGTTAGACTTGGGGTTCGCCGTGGACCACCGAGCGTGTCTGCACTTTGTGTTTCAATGATGTGCTGATCTTTGAGCGAGATTCTGTCATGGTGGTGCGGGGGTGGCTGTTTGCGATGTTGGTTGGGTTCGGTCTGTTGCTGCGGGGCGGTGTTTCTTGGCGTCGGCGTTGCGTGTGGGGTTTGGGGGGGGGGGGGGCCGCCCGGCGGGGCCGCCCTCGGCCGCGGGGCGCAGCGCCAAAACCCCGCCCCAAACCAGAAACGCCCGCCCGCCCAACCCCGCGCCGCATCTCTGGTTTTCATTTTCTCGTTGAGAGCTAAAAGTATCCTGTCTTTCGCCTTTCTTTTTCCTGTATTTTCTGCTGCCTTTGGTGCGGGTGCTTACTTCCACTGGTCATTTTTGTTTCAACGTAATCTCTATTATTTCTGTTCTGCGGTTAATTTTCTTTGTTTTCCAGTAAGCCATATGCCGCCGGCATGCGGGGCTGCGGGTGCCCCACTTCCACGGCTGCATCCCGTTTTCGCTCGGAACATTACGTTCAGGCCGCGACCGTGCATGCGCCGCTTTGGGTTTTGTTTTCCGTTTTCTTTTCTCCGGGCATCACATCTCTTCGCTTTTCTTCTCTTTAAGCCCCTCCAGCGCCCCTCACGAAGGCTGGTTGCTGGCACACCGGACACCTCTCCGATGGAAGGGAGGGTGGGCTTGTCCCTGCCGCGCTTGTGTGCCGGGACGGTGTGCGTTTTTCCTTGTTTGGGTACCTCGACCCGCTGTACCCATTCCGGCTGAGCTCTTCGCTGCCGGCCCGGTTGTCGCCTTCGGTCGCGCGCTGACATGCCCGCGATAGTGACTCTCGTTGAACGAGCCCTGCGCCTCCGGTGTCTTTCTTGTGATAACCCGTGTGTTTTCCATTGAGTCTGATTTGACCCGAAGCTCGGCCGCGTCCTCCGGGGGAAGGCGGTCGGCTTCTTAAAGCCACAGTGAATTGCAACGACGCAACACCAGCGAATAAAATGAGCGACAGTGATGCGGAGCCAATGTGGGCCCGCGAGTGTGCACAGCGTCCAGCATGCGAACTACGAGTGCTTGACAGCTTACATTCTTCTTCTCCCTCCTCCTTTGGCTTTATCTTTGATAACGACACAGCACACTCACGGTGCTGTGACAAAACCTCACCGAAGAAAGCGCATAGAAAGCAACTGGAGAGCGCATAGAAAAAGTGCAAGAACGCGAGCAGAGAGGGAGGGGAAAAAGGTAGAAAGAAAAAGAAGAAAAAGAGAACGAGAAACGCAGTTAGCGGTGGCTGCGCAGTGGGGGCAAAACAGGTGTGAACCATTTGTTTCGTTTCTTAGCCCCCCCCCCCAAAAAAAAAAACCCGCGACGAGGTCTTCACTTGATTCGAGTATTCGGCTTGCATTCCCTTTGCATATATGTTGGGAGCATTTGAAATGAGCTTTTGTTTCCATTCACTTTATTCTAGATTTATCAACGGCGGGAGTCTCGTTGCCGGGAAAGTGTACATCCAACGAAGAAGCCTTACGGCTTCTGTCTCACATTTGCAGAAAAAAAAAGAAGAAGAACCGAAATGAAAAGACACGCAACGGCACTCACACGGCTGTAGTTATACATCTGAGGAGTCAACTGCTTTGCTTCCTAGACAAAAAGACCACGTTGGAAACATAGCGCGAACTACACACACGACTCGTACGTCGGAATCATGTACTTGATGTTAATGTAGGCGTCCGGGCCGCCGTAGCGCTCCAGCAAGTACAGCGTGTCGTTGATGAGGCTGCTGAGGTCTTGGCTGTTGCGCTGGCCGTAGTCCATGCGGTCACCCATGTTTTTGGTGCGGTTCTTGAAGAGGTTGAAAACCGGCAGCAGCTGGCGGTAGTACGGCACGAGCGCCTCACCAACGTGGTCGCCGCTGACGACCAGCTTCTGAATGACGTGGAACACCTTTCGCAGCACGTCCGGGTGACGCGTGTTCAACGCGGTTTTCAGTGGCATGATGATCTGCGGCACGGTTGGCAGAATCTTTGCCCCGCCGTTCTCGAGCAGGTCGAGGCTGCCCTGGTGCGCCACAAAGCTGAACGGTTCCTCCAGCTCGCGCAGTCCGTCGAAAAAGATGGGAAGGTAGTGGTGGTAGTCCAGCTTGGACACGTCTACCTTCCACATCAGCGTCCGCTTCGCCGCGTGCTGAACGGAAAGGGGAAGGTCGCCGCGTTCATAGTGATGGCGGAACTCCGTGGGCGGGATGCGCTGCTTCGCGTACGCGCCCGCCACGCCTGGACCTGCTGGGTCGCCGAAGCGGCCATCGTTGCACGCCGTCTTCGCCGCGCCGGTGCCTTTGAAGGTGCTCACTGACATCCCTCCGGTCCCGGTGTGGCCAATGAGAACGTCCCCTGGCGCGCGCTTTGGTGCCGCCGCTGCTTCCGTTGCTGCGGCTGCAGCTGCTGACCGACCCGTCGCCTTCTTCTTGGTCGAGGTGGTTGGCGCGCCGCCGTGCACCGTCGTTTTGGCGGTGTCGCGGCCCGACGTGTGGAAGTTCGCCGGAAAAGGGCCGAACGGGCCGTCGCTCAGCGGCGGCAGGATGTCGCGATCTTTGCGGAGCTTCTCCCGCTCCGACTGCGAGAAGGTCTTGGACATGATGAAAGGGAGGTGGCACAGCAGAAGAGTAGATACGTAGGGTGAGTATCGGGGTACACAAACACCAAACTCTTTTTTGTGGTTGTTTTTATTAAGGAAGACCAACGATTTTGCGCTGACTGAAACATTCGAAGTGGGGAGAGAGGGAAATGCTAACAATGGGATGTTGAGGGAGGAGGCCGAAAAGGTAAAGCGGGAGCGGTTCCGAAGTGATTTGACACACAGGCGCATGTATATACGCTGGTGACATTCGTTCCCCTTAATGCACGCACGGACGTCTTCCTTTCGTGGACCAGGAAAACGGTAACAGTGCCAACGTGCGTTGCTCTCTCTCTCTCTTTGGATATGCGTATTCACGCGCTTCTTTTTTTTTATTCGTTTCTCTCGCAGTCGTTGTAGGGGCGCGATACTGGTATCACGCGAGCAGCAGCTCTTCGAAATCAATCCATAACATTGCTTCATGCGAAAACTTATGTAGCAGCTCTACGTGTCCATACCACCGGGGTATCATCTTCGTCGTCCGTTGCATGAAAAGCGACAGCGGGAACACCTGGCAGTAGGTGTTTTTGCAGTCTACTCACTTCCTGTCGCCGCTCTGCATTTTCATTTTTCAGCTCACTCATTTGCTTTACGATGGCGTCCATCAAAGAATAGTGCTGCTGCCGCCAGCGTGTGAGTTCTACATGCTGCTCTTCCACGCGCTCGTGCATCGCGGCAAGGGCTGCCGTCACATGCTGCAGCACGGACACGTTCACCACCTCCGACGGTGTACGCGTCGACGCACGTCGCGGAGTGTCGTCGTCCTGCCGCGCACCGTTCGGGAGAGCGACCACCACAGCACGCATCTCCGCCTCCACCCGCTCGTGCACGATTGAGGTTAGCTGCTTCTGGCGCGCCGCCTCGCGCTGCGACTGCGTCACCACATCGGACATCAAAGCGTTCAACTTCGATTCCAACTGCCCTAGCCGCTGATCCATCGTGGTACTCCGCGTGCGTTGCGCTTCCAGCTGCAGTTCGATCTTTCGCCCAAGCAGCACTGCGGCCGTCGGTGCATTCGAATCTATGTGTCTCTCTTCAGCGGCGACGCGGCCGCTGGCGGTCTCCTCGCGCACTCGGCGAATGATGAAAGACTCAAAAGCACACAAATGCTCGTGCAATGCGTCCTCACCCAGGCCTTGCGATCGTCCTTGCTGCTGCTGCTGCTGCTGCTGCTGTACGCGCTTGAGAGCTTTGTGTGCGATTTGGACCGCACCTGCGACTGCGCTGCGCAGCTCCGCCACATCCTCACGGATATCTTTGCTCTGTGAAGCGCTCAAAGGCAGAGGCATGGCTACCATAAAAATCCAAGAGTTGCCTCCTCTGCGATCGCACCAAACTCTGATTCTCGGTGGCAGCACACAGGTACACACATGACCACTTTCTGTAGCCTACACCAGATGGTGCTTTTGTTTTCTTAGTACTGTGAAAGAACAGTATGAAGAAGACTGTGGAAACGGGAGAAAACAAAAGGATGAGATTGGGGATCACCAGAATGGCAAGCCGGATTTTAAAAAAAAACCCAAAGTCATTACGATGATGATTCCTCCGTAGCCGCGTGGGGAGAAAGAAAAACTGCAAAGGAAAGGCATTGAATCCGTGAAACTCACAACAGCGTTTGAACAGGCTGTTGTGGAAAGCTGGCGCAGCGCACGTCCGCGCTCGTGGTCGTCATCTAAAGGGCAAACACCGCTGACGAGTATAAACTCTTTTTCTTTTGGAACTGAACAGAGGAAACAGAATAAAACAAACAAAAAAATGTTGTGTATTCTAAAAAAAAGAGAAAAGGAAAAGAAACCGAAGGAGCTGAACGTTGCCCGAGCAGCGTGTAGAAACAGAACCAAACAGCACGCGATACAGCCCACGTACAAGGGGCGTCATGAGGTATAACACAGAAACATACGGCGTGAATGCAATCTAACGTACGGTACGCGCTTTCACAAAGCACAACCAGTGAGAACAAAAAGGATATATATTTGTAGGCAAGAAATCAATCACACCAACAACACGTGAAGTGGGCGCTTCGGCCATCACACAAAACAACAACCGCCGCGACACAAATTGTACATGCAAAGAAATACAAAGAAAGAAAAAAGGACGAAGCAAAAGGCGGCAAAACCACATCTGCAATAATTCAACGTCGAGGAGATATTACGCTGCCGCACTGGATGGCTGCGACGGCAAGTCCGCGACAACCGACCGCGCCTCCTCGCCCACAGCGTCTCGCCGCTGTGACAGGCTCAACACGCCCTCCGTGCACGCCGCGAGCTTCTCCATGATGCGTTGGTGCTGCGCCATTCCTAGCGGGTCATTATGGCCGGTGCTCTGCGACGAGCGGGCGCGCCGCCGGGCCTCCTCCACGCGCACGCGGAACCGCGTCACCGTACTACGCAGCGTGCGCAACCCGAGCAGCACAAGCGGCTCGTAGTCGGTGCTCAGCGCAATCTGCACCAGCTCCACTATCCCTGCCAACGCGTCGGTCGACAGCTTCTCCTTCATGCGCTGCTGCTGCATGACCGTGAGAAAGTCAAAGAGGGGACCAAACTCCTGCCCATCGTCGTAGAGCCGCGTGAGCTGCGCAATCGCCGCCGGCTGGTTATCAGCCCAGAGGGTGCGGATGTCGTGCATCACGGTGAGTCGTTGCTGCAGTGTGAGGGAGGTGGTGCCACTTTCGCGGGACAGCTGATCGACCAGCTGCAACTCCGAGGCGTGGTGTCCGAACGAGGACGGCGCGGCGTCGGGGAAGGAGGGGCCGCTCGTGCTCCACTGTGGCCGTGGCGGGGACGGCGTAGGTGGCGGCGTGGGCTGTCGCGACGTCTTGCCTGGTGTGTTGTGGGTGTTCTCCACCGCACCTTTCGTCGGAGTTGTCGGGGGAAGGCGAATAGCATACGGCGTCTTTCGCTTCACCTCGCCGAAGAGCGGATTGTTGTTGTTGTTCAGCGTAGCGACGGGCACGCGCTGCAACGGCTTGAGTGACGTCGGCGCAGGGGCGGTCTCCTTCGTCGCGGGCGCGTCTGCCGTGCGCTGCAGCTCCCGCAGCGACAGCTTGCACTTCGTTGCGGTGGAGCCGGCGGTCTCGACGAACCACGCCTCGTCTGCCGCGGCGGCGTAGGCGACGTCGCCAATCATCATCCACGGCGCGTCGAGTGACACGGCGGTGCGGTCGCTGAGGTTGCGCATGTCAAAGATGCGCACGTTGTGGTCCGAGGTGGCGAGCAGGTGAACGCCGCAGAACCGCACCGCGTCGACGGGCGTGTGCTGGCTGTCGCTGCGGAACTTCGGCTCGAAGGAGTCCAGGTCCCACATCGACACCGTGCCGTCACCGCTCGCCACCGTCAAGTAGTAGAGATCCGGGTGGAAGTGGAGACTGGTGATGGCCCCGGTGTGCAGCTCCAACTTGTGCAGGAGGCGGCCCGCGGCGAGGTCGTAGAGGCGCACCACACCACGCGCGCAGCCCGTCGCGATCCACTTGCCGTTCGGCGAGAACTGCACGGCGCAGAGGGGGGCGGTGGCGTCCTTGTACGACTGCCGCCCCGACGACTTGCGGACGTCCCACACGCGCAACACCTTGTTCGTCGAGACGGTGGCGAAGAACTGGCCACTGCGGAAGACGTCGATGTCCGTCACGGTGGAGTCGTGACCACGGGTGAAAGACCGGGCCACCTCCTCGGAGTTTAGGTCCCACATCTGCAACTTTCCGCCATCGCTGCCGCCGACCACGAAGGTCTGGTCGGGGTCAAACGCCAGCGCCGTGACAGGCTCCGTTAGCCCTTGCAGCCAGGCGGAGCGTGTGTAGCCGCTGAAGGGGTACACGTGAATCGACGCATCTCGCCCGCCAAACCCGACGAGGGGCTTGGCGCGGTTGTCACTAATACGACAGCAGTAGGCGTCGCATGGCAGCAGGTGCTCAGACGTGACAAACATGGCAGCAAAGGGTGTGTGTCAGCTGTGCGTAACTAAATTGAAAGAAGTAAACAACAGCAAAGAATATGGTTGCCTGGGAAAAGGGAAAAAGACGTTTAACGTCTGAGGAAGAAACACAGTAAAGAGTCTAAAGAAAAGCAATTAAAGAAGAAGAAAAAAGTGTTAGCTCTGAGTGTATAAGAAGACTTTAGCAATGCACCGATCCATCAAATATTTGAGATTGGTTGTTTTTTTTTCTTTTTATTGCTATTATTCTCAAGGAAGTTTCGCGAGCCCTTCTGTAGGCAATCGGGCTACAAAGAGAGGACGATGCGACGACAACAGAAACCAGGATAGCTACAAACTCCAAGAAAAGTAAAGGAACGCGCGGCGGCGATTAACAAGAGTCCGATGTGAACTCTGTGGCTCTGCTACCATGCGCTTTTCTTGTTGCACTATTGTTTGCGAAGAGAAAGAAAGGGGAAGAGAAAGCGTGAGAAGTGAAGAAAGATTTTTTGCTCCATAACAGCGTATGATCGAATGAATCACTGCTGTGTACAGAAGAGAACGGGGAGTAGTTCTTTTGAGCAGAGATGGGCCTGCGTGATTCGGTTGGCGCGAGGTTGTGCAAACATGTCGGAGAAAACAACAACAACAGGTCCACAGGTTTCTGTTACATGTAACTGTTCAAATAAGAACGTAACTTTCATAAATAGCGAAGTGCCTTTTCCCTTCTTCTTCTACGCCGCTTTGAAGTACGTCTCCCCGAAATCCTTGGCGTCTCGTCGCTGGTACTGTGCTGCCTCTTCAGGGGTGTCATTTGCGTGCAGCACGTCAAAGCACACGGCACAGTAGTAAGCGGGACTCTCCGGAGACAGAGGATCCTCGTAGACGACCACCGTTGACGGAAACAGGCGACACAGCAGACAGCGCCGCGCTTGGTCACGCACTTTGGCTACGCGGTGCGGGAACTCAGCGCGCTCCTTCCGTGGGTAGCCGCGAAGGCTGCGCACGTGTGACAGATAAAAGTAGTGATCGCAGCCACCGCAGTGGCGCAGGAGGCAGTACTCGCCCATCTTCACCTCCAGCTCTTTGAACGTGGTGGTGGCCGCGCTCTTCACCGGACACCGCCCAAAGCCCTGGTGCTCCGCCGCTTCGAATGTCAACGGGTCCTGCAGGGGGTCATTCGTGCAAATCACTTTGCTCAAATCCTGAAAGTCGTGCGCGTCGCGGTGGCGGTCGTCGATGTAAAAGGCGCCGTGGATGAAGAAGAGCGCGTTGCGGGAGGTGTGCAGGGGATCGCGCACGGTGGCGCAGTCCACGGCGTCGAGGAGCGCTGTTAGCGGCTGGCACGACAGCACCGCCCACGTCTCGCGCGGCTCCTTTGAGCGGATGCCGTGCATCGTGAACTCCCACCGGTGCGTGTGCTCCACACAGAAATCGTCACCAGAGTCACACCTGGTCTGTAGAGACGCGGGGGCAAGACAGTTCGAGCTCAGCGGCGACGGCCCAGGACGCGTCACCTTCTCGTTCTCCGATTTGAAAGTTTCCAGGCCAGCAACGGCGCGCTGAAACGCCTCTTCGAGTTGCTTCTCTGCCTCTTTAATGGAGGCCACTTCGACCAGGTAAGGAAGACGGGTGTCTTTGTTGCCGAGCTTTTGCAGCTTCGCCGCGATCTCTGGCAGCTGCCGTGCAGCCTCCTTGCGCACCTGCGTCAAGATCGCCTCCGTTTGGGAGCACACCGTGCGTGGCGGCAGCGCGGTGAGGCTGTGGGTGCCGTACTCCCCTTCCCAGGTCGTCGCCACCGAGTCCAAGAGCGCATCGCAGTCCTGCAGCTGCTGCTCTGTTTGACCAAGCGAGAAGGACAGGCCATACGGGTTGCCACGCATGCCGAGAACCACGGGAAGTCGCACCGCTGTCCCGGGTTCGAGCGGGGCGTCCGCGGGCATGCTGGCTAGCGGCTCCGCATTCACCGCACGAAGGTCCTCCAGTGAGGTGGCTGCCTCTTCGTAGGCGATGCGGCGCAGCGTCATGGGCAGCACAATCTGCTGCGCGGAGGCGGAGAGGGAGGAGGAAGAAAGCGGCACAACAGACGCCTCGTCATGGCTTCCTGGCACGATGAAGGTGAATGGGTCGACGCGGAAGGAGCGCCGACGTTTATTGGAAGCGTGCATGAGAGCTCGAGTCCCCGCCGTGTGGATTATTTTCTTCGCAGAGGGGAAAAAAAAACGTCTGCCCAAGCGCCTAAAAGCGTTATCGTATGCTCCTGTTTTTCGAAAAAAGATGGCTTTTGGGGGAGGAAGGGGAGGAGGTGAAAGGCAAAGTAGAGGTGAGGTTAAAGGAAGACTGCTTCGCTGAGGTGGCCAAAGCTAATACGCGATCTGCACAACCTACACAGCAGAAACAGGATAGAGCTGCGAGATTCACACATACCTGTAAACCTATCAGCTGTCGAAGGTTTCTCCGTTTCACAAGCGGTCATCTCACACCACATTTTCTTCTCTAATAGCGGTCGTGAAGCGTCTGCTAGGCCGCACTGCATCGCAGCATGAAAACACGCACGAGAAATTTAAAGTCAATACAATTTTCTTGATATTTCTGTATTTGTTCTGTTCACATTAACGTTGAAGTCAGAGCTTTCTCGCGGCAGATGTAAGTCGTTGACTTGGCCGTGGGAACAACAACAACAAAAACAACTTGCATCTTACGCGAATAACAAGCCAAAAGGAAGCGCACACACGCACACACACACACACACACACACGACGCCGTCTGCACAAACAGGGGATAAAATGCAGAAGGTTTAACGAGAGATCTAAAAAAAGAAAAGAACGAGCGTATTAACACGCATTGCATGCGGATGTGTGAGCTGTGTCGAGACAAGGGAAACGTAAGGGTGATGTTGCTGCTGGAAAGATAAAAGATGAACAACAAACAGAGAAAACGATTCTGCTTGGTCGGAAGAGTGAAAAAGAATGGCACGAGAATACACTACAGTGGCCGGAGCGACGCAGTACCACGCATGCGCCCCCTATTTTGGTACACTTCTTCACTCTGGGGAGAAAAGAAACAGAAATGCGTGAATGCTTTGTACACAGTGAATTACAGTAAGAGTAACATATATATATCTAACAGCTAATCAAAAAAGCCGCTTCTCTTATTGAAGGCTACTGCCTTCGAAGGAAAAACAAATGGAAGCACCACCGGACACCTAGAACGGATTTGAGCGTAACAATTACTCAACAGCTTTATATCAGGTATGACTGATGACTCAACCACACGCAGCATTGACAAAAGAGATTGGAAGCACGTGGAAGTAAACAAGGGAAAACAGAATAAAGTCTTCGAAGGGCGGCTTCCGTAGTTGAGCGATGCGGCTACGTGTGATCCTCGCATATCTTAAGTGTACCCGAGAGGTGAGTTTGTTTTAGCCGCTTACCCGCTTCAGTGAAGTCCCGGCTCTGCCATTCGCGGCTCAACACTCTGGAGGTAGTGGTCTACCAGTTGGTGGCGGAAGCCTTTGTTGTCAAGAAGACGCATGCGCCCGTTGCCACGGAAAACACGCACCGCCTCCACTGGGGAAAGCGCGAAGCGGTCCATGAGGTACGCCGCGCACAGCGTGGCGCTGCGGTTCACGCCGGCAATGCAATGCACAAACACCCTCTCCCCACGCGCCAGCAAATCAGACAGCAACGCAGCAAAAATATCGTAGTCGTGATGTAAGATTAAGTAGTCCTCCACGTCAAAGGCCTGCAGGTTGTGCACGTGAAACGCACCCGACACTGCCGGACAAGTCACGACGTCCTGCGCACAGCAGTTGATGATGTGGTGCACGCCGATGGACTGCAGCAGCGGCACCGTCTCGGCATCAGGGAAGCCGCCAATGTACAGCATGCCTTCCATCAGCGTGGTCACGGGCGGGAGTTGATCGGCAGGGTGCTGCGCGTTGACTGGGTCGAGCTCTGCGTCCAGGTTTGCCCGCCACGCCAGGCACACTTGTGGCGTCTGCGGGGTGTAGAGCAGGTGGGACATGGCGTTGGGCGCGATGCTCACCGTGCTCACGCGCTGCACCTCGGGGGTGTCGAGGTACGACATGCCCATCGACCTGGAGGCGGATGCAGCGGTGGTCATGTCGTACGTGGTTGAGGTGATGTTGGTTGCGGTAGAGGGCCACCATGGCGTGCTGGTCGCACCAGTGGTGCTCATGCCGTCCATTGACAAACCCTGGAAAGCCGTGCGACCGAAGCAATGCTCGCTTGGCAGGTTCAACGGGATAGGCTGAAAAGCCCGACGGGGAGAGTGGAGGCCGCGGGGAGGGGACGGCAGGTGTACGCTCGCGTCGAGCGCGTCACTCGGCCGCGATTCGCCGGAGGTGCGTGGGCCGGACTGGCGCAGGAAGCTGTCGGACGGCCGCATGGCCATACTCTTGTTCAACATCGCTGCCCCGTCGTCGCGGTTCTCCTCCTCCTCGTTCGGGAAGAAGAGGTGGCGGCTGGAGGAGAACATGTCATCGCCGCTGCCCACCGGGGGTGGGGTGCAGCACCGCATCACAGTTTTATGCGACATGAATCCCACACTCTACGACAAAATTACCGGCAACCAGGAAAGAACGGAAAGGAACAAAAAATGAGGAGTTGGGTGAAGTGAGGAGCAAGCAAGCAAAACAAACCCCAACACAACAGAAGCAGAAACGGTGTGTTCCAGCCAGGCGAGCGGGAATTCCCCACCTCCACAAGGATAATCTAAGTCGCAACAATAAAGATAGAGGTCTTTGCAAACGGCGAAAAAATGGGAAAGCACGAAGGCCAGGTTTTCTTCCACGTGCTTCGATGAAACAGTGGTGAATAGGCGGTTGATGAGTATATAAATGTGTATATAAAACAACCGAGGCAACAACGTACGCGTGGGCACCTGTGAGATGGCCAGCGCAAAACCTGTGAAGCGAAGAACGCTGTATGCTTGTGTATGGTGAATCTATCCTACTTCACTAACGCATGAAAGAACAACACTCGTAAAGTGAAGAAAAAGAAGAGCAGCAGAGACTGAAGCGTCTTGTCTGGCGAGTTGCGGGTGCTGGTGGGACAAGGAAATGTATATGTGGAGAAGCAAACAATAATAATACTCACACACAAACACACGCAGTCTAGTGCATGCAGGCGAAACACAAAACTAGAATGATCCTACTTCGCTACTGAAGAAACACACAAACCAAAATCAAGTGAAGAGGTAATGGGAGGAGGAAAAACGAAAAGAGGATTCAATCGTTAAAGAGTGTTGAGGCGACGCATCGCGTGCGGCGAGAAAGACAGCAAAGCGATATGAAGCCACCAGAACAATTGCTGCTGTCTAGCGGTAATAGCGAAACTACAGTTACATGCGCCAACGCTAACGCGTACAGTTTTTACATCAGAGGTGACTACACGTCGTAGTACGCTGTTGAATTGACAGAAGAACGTTACTCATAGGGTGCCTCTTCTACGTAGTTTGAAAGAACAGAGTGCTTCGTTCATTTAAATGTGTTACACAAACAGAAGACATTAAACGTGAATTCACCATTATCGAAGCCTTCAACAACAACTTCACATCAGCACAGATTGACCCGTTTCTCAAGCAGCCAGCCTTGCAGGCAGTGACGGAAGAGAGAAATTAGTTGAGCTCGTGGAGCATGTAAATGCGAGCCGCGCGGCGGTGCTTAGGACTCAGCTTACGAATCGCCTTTTCGTTCTTGATCGTCTGCACCACCATGTTCTTCTTCTCGTTCTCGACCTTGCGCTGATGGTTGGCCTTGCGTGCCTCCGCGGCGCGCTTCTGCTCAGCGTTGATGTCATCCTTCAGCTTCTGCGAGAGGTTGCGCACGCGCTGGACGCGCTCCTTCTCTTGCATCTTCTTCTCCCACTTCTTCTTACCGCTCGACTTCACCTTGAGGGAGTCTAGCTTGTGCTTCGGCTCACCCCGCGGCTTTTGGAGTTTGCGCTGTTCTAACTTGGCCATCGTGGATGCGTGAACTGCCGTTCTCTTCCCTTTAGAGGTGGTGTGCTGGATACTAGTGAAAACGAGGGGGAAAGCGGGGGAAGATGAGAAGGGCGAGACAGCAAGAGAGTATTCAATTGAAGAGAAACATACATGTGTGGTCTTCCTTCTCCAGGAAGAAACATCTAGATAGAAAGACCTTCTACAGTTGTGATGCATGTGACGATGATTCGTTAGCTCAGAAGTTTGAGTTTTTTTTGCGGAAGAGTACTTCGTCGGCTCAAAGCGGATCATGGGAGGTTTAGTGGAAGGCGGTGGTGGTGTTTTTACAAACAAAGTAGTGGCGGAGCCACAACAGCAACACAACCTCGAAGAAAAGAGAAAAGGCCCGGCTCTCGTGTGAAGGAGGGGGGTGGGTGGGTGGGTGGGGCCGCATTCACCTCATGTCAACAACGAAAAGAAAGCACAGTCATTTTCATTGGTCACGGGGGAAAAAAAACCAAGCCATGGAAGAAAAGAAAGGGTGAAAAACAGAGCGCATCAACACCACGACATCCCCGAGCTCAACGGTCATGAGCAGCGCCAGCAGCACCTTTTCCACCGTAGAAAGCTGGGCTCCCATTAAACTGCTTATAGCAGAGACAGTATACACATCTTACCGGTTCGCGACTCCTACGTCAGCCCCCACCACCATCACCACATCTTTTTTTTTTGAAAAACGCGCACGTTACAAGAATTGCCGATGTAAAACACACAAAACAATCGGCTGTCTCAACCCGCTACTTTCGGACCCAATCATGAATCCGTGTATATTACCATTAGAGAGCAGCAGCGCAACTTATATATATGACTCTTACAGTGAAAACAGTTTCACTTGGCGGCTCTTTAACGCTGATTGGCGTGACCAGCACGTGCGGCGCGCTGCTGCTGCTGGATCTGGGTCACGTAGTTCTTGTAGTAGCGGTGGTACACCAGCTGCATCTCCGGCTCAATCGCGTCTACGATGTCCGACACACGTTGCGGCATCGCGATGAGCTTCAGCACCAGCTGCTTGTTCGCCTTGTCGTTTCGCAGGTACACCATATCCAACAGATCGTAAATCTCGGCGTGGATGTTGAGTAGCTTCTTGGCACTCGGCAGGTTGCCGCCCATGGCCACCTGCAGCTCCGCCAAGGCGCCGTCCACTTGTACGGTGTGCTGCTGAAAGAGGTAACGTGTGGCGCGATACGCGGAAAGCGGGATGCGCTGGAAGTCGTCCGCCTTCGGGTCGTCGTTCATGTGCGGGTTCGCCGCCTCGTACTCGTCGACCAGCGCCACGCCGTTCACCGCCATGTACGCCTGCAGGGCAGCCACTGCCTTCTCGTCGAGGCCCAGGTTGCGGAAAAGTGTCGCGTTCCGCTCCGCCTCGACGCAGCGCTGCACGAAATCCGGGAGGGGCGGGAAGGCGCTCACCACGTCCTCCCGCACATTCGGCGGCACGATGTTGAGTGCGATCAGGGTGCGCAGGATGGCGTGACGAGACGCGCGGCGTGCGGCGTACTTGCCGTCGACCGGGACGCCGAAGTGCTGCATGAAGTGCTCGACGCGCTCCTTGTCGAAGCGCACGTGCCACAGCAGCCGCGGCACCTTCTTGTCGTTTGTAAACTTGTACCAAACGAAGATGGGAGTGGCGATGAGGAGGGCCAGCAGACTGAAGAGGACGAGGCTGTCGTGCTCGCGCGAGGTCAAGAATCGTGGCAGGGCTACACCGACGGAGAACTCCTGTACATTCTTCAGTTCCTCCTCCTCAAAGGCCTGACGGTCCACGAGGGCCCGGTAGGCGCGGCGCATCTGCATGTACAGCTCGCGCGCGCCCTCCGTCTTGTTGTGGTCGGGGTGGAAGCGTTTGGAGAGGGCGCGGTAGGTTTTCTTCACCTCGGCGGTGGAGGCGGAGGAGGGCAGCCCCAGCACCGCGTAGGGGTCGAAGGTGAGGGAGGCGTACATGGCGGAGGTGAGCAGCACAAACCACAGGATGGGTACGAGGATGCGGGGACGGATGACGAACTTCAAAAACTTGGGCATCACGCAGCGCAGGAAGAACACCTTTTCCGCGACGCACACCTTTGCACCGGCTACAATAGCGGCGGGGTCCTTCCACATGGTGTACAGCACTCGGGGAATGTAGGCGACCGAGTCGTACATCTCATTCAGGGGGTTGCTCGTGGATGCCTGCTCCTTCTTGGTAGATTGGTAGTAGAGCATCACGCGACGACCCGTGCCGACCATCCAAGGGATGTAAAGTGCAATCAGGATGACCGAAGTCACGGCGAACGCGAAGGAGATGAAGCTCTCATCGCTGCCGCCAACGCCGCCTTCCGCTGCCATCTTCGAGTTCGAATAACGAAAAAAATGGAAAGAGTCGTGTAATTCGTACCAGGATCGCAGACCAAAGTGCAAGTCCGCTCCACTCCGCGGTGAAGAAAAGCCGGAAAGGAAGCAAAGGAGAATTCGGAAAAAAATATAGAGGCGAGTTCCGTGGACAACTGAGGAGAAATCAAAGAACAAATGGTCGTGGATGCCAACAGGAAGGGGAAAGGAGAAGAAGAAGGATGAGTGTGAGCGAGAGGAGCTCTGAGTGATTATTACTGTTTTATTCTTGGTCGTTGCACAGAAGATGGCCTCGGCAGCTTTACGACATGCGAATATCTCCTCGCAACAACAACAACAACAAAACGCAGATTCGTACCTGTCCGACAACCTATGGGTTGAGAGAAAAAGACCAGAAGAGTTTTTGTTCTTTTGAGCTGCGTTCTACGCGTATTGTCTCTTCTTCGTTTTCGAGTACGCGCAGAAAGGGTGGTTTTCTTCTTGGCGTTATCCGTAACACCACAGAAAGAGTATGAAGCCGGACAACGTTAGCAGCAGCGCAGTGTGTCGCACCTCCGCAACGGTCATGCCCGTGTACCGTCGTATCACCATCATCGGTGTTTGCTCAGAGCGCAGCTGATGAGGCCTCGCAGGGACGTCGACGAAGATGCAAGAGGCATCGTCCATCGTGTGCGGCCTTCGGTCGAGGTGGTCCACCGCACGTCCAACAGAGCGAGGACAGAGCAGCGGACGAGCAGTGTCTAATCGACGTGTAGACGTATCCACCGAGGTGTCCAGATCAACGCGGTGATATAGGCAACTTCATCACCTCCAGCATCTTACCGCACGTATGCTTTCCTCTTTTCTTCTGTAGACTGCCAGATTGATGTTCTAAGGAAAAGAGAAAACCACATGCGGGGCATAAATTGAAAGCGGATGAAGAGCAAGGATGCGGGGAACCGACCGCGACAGCGGAAGGGAGAGAGGTGACAGCGACGAAGACGAAGAAGGCCGGAAAAGAGAGGAAAGCCGCCGCAGCGGTGGACGCAACGTCGCAGTCGATGAAGATCCACGTGAAAACCTGCGAATCAATGTAGAGTACACAGCGCGTTTGGTTCAAAACGCAAATCATGTTCGCACTTTTTCCAGCAGATGCACTCCGCGCCTTTTTGTTGAATAGAGATGAATTTTTGATTGTGGACCCCAGTGCGATCCATCATGGCGCGTGCGCTAACATCTGTAGAAGAACAAGAAAAAAAGTATAAAGAAGAGAGAAGGTGATGTTTCACAGGTGATGCCCGGAAGAAAACGCAGAGGCGCGTCGAAGCGGCGGGGCATACCCATTCAAAATGAATCACCAGACGTACTCTCCTCGTCGCTTTCATCATCGGTATCCGCTTCCACTTCGGTACTGCTGCTGCTGCTGTTTTGTGGGCTGCGGCCCGTCGTGTCCGTCACGCCCGCCATCTCCATCTCGCGAAACGAGGCCAAAAAAGGGTGCTGCATGACATTCCACAGTAGCGGCCGCGCTGACGAGTCCCCCTTCAAACACGGCAACACGAAACTCAACGCTTGCGGACTCAGCGTGGAAAGGAATGGCGAGAGCAGATCGGAGTCCACCAGATCGGCCGTCGAGCACGTCTTTGCTTGCTCCGACAGCAGCTGAAGAAGGAGAACCCCCAAACCCCACACATCCGCGGCTCCACCGTACGGAGCACCGCGCAGAATCTCCGGTGCCGCGCAGCGTCGCGCCTCTGCGCCGACGACTCCCTGCGGCACCAACGCACTCATCGGCAGCTCTGCCTCGAGCAGGACCACACGCCGCGGGTCCGCCACATGACGGCGCACCACATCGACGTGTACGTGACCATGAACGACGCCGCGGGCGTGAAGGCGGGAGAGCGTCTCGGCGACAGCTAATACCACCGCCGACGCCTCCTCATCGGGGATCGTCGGAGACGCAGCAGAGGAAGAAAACGGCACGAACTGCTCGCGGGCACCGAGTTGCTCTACTGCTACTTGCTCATCCACGTCGACACACAGGTACAGTGGCGAGCAGTAGGCGCGGATTACCGGAAGCACACCCGCGTTCGGTTGCGCCGACAGCGGACGCAGAGCGGCGACGCGATCGTTGATGGCGTCGAGAGATGTGGGGTATACGCTGCTCTTTGCGATTTTGTACGTCCATTGCCGCTTCTCGGAGGCTTTCACCTCTGCTGATGTTGTCGCCATTTGTTCGTCTTGACAGCAGTGAAGGAGAAAAAAAAAACCTCCTTCTTCGACACTGACTGTGCCTTTTAGCGGAGGAGGCCTCGGGAGCGTCTTTTGAAGAGGCAGCGAAGACACGCTTTTTCTGCTTCCTTGCGCGTAAGCTGATCGTTTTCTGTTTCTGTTTTCGTGGAAGTGAAGAACCGAAAGACGCTTGAACGCGTCCCAGCCAATGGTAAGACATAACGACGGTGAAGAGGAGGATCAAGGTAAGCAAACATCGTGCACAACAACACAGAGAAACGTAGCTAAGTGAAACAGGAAATCCAAAAGGACTCGCGAAGCTCTCCGTTTGCCTCTTCGTTGCTCCAAGAACAAACGGCAAATCAAAAAGAGTGGGTGATAGGGAAGGTGCGATACGCTTCACTATTGAATTTCCGCTTGAGAGTAGATTGCGCGGCAAAGCAGGTTGCATGTTTTATTTTCTAGTTTTTTGTGTGTGTCTGTATGCATTGTGACGAGACCAACTCAGTTCACACAACGGCATGCAGGAGGGCGAGAGGGAGCAAAATAATCACACGCACAGCGGAATTGCACTGCCTCACTTTTTCTACCTTTTTCAAGAGAACCTTCACCAGACAACGTTCAGTTCTTGAAGAAAACGACCGGCTCTTCGAGCGTCGTCGCGCCGAGAAAGGGAATGTCGTGGGCAAAGTCCTGCGGTACGTAGCGCGACGGCGAAGGCACGTCGCGGTCGAGGAGGCCGTAGGTGGCAAAAAACGAAGCCACCAACGAACCGTTAAAGAGGTGGAATGAAGTTACGGGCGCCACGAACTTCGCTAAGTGCAGCCGCATCACATCCATCTCCTTCAACGTTTCCCGCTGCGCCTCGATCGCCTGTCTCGATTGCTTCCGTTCCAGCATGGACCGGATCTTACACCGCTGCTCGTGCATGCCGACGCAGAACTCGTAATAACGGTGCTCCGTGTTGGCGCGCATGCTCGCCGAGAACAGGTACCACGGCTCCACCGGCAGCTTCCCCACCTCCTTCTTGAAGAGTTCCGCGATGTTGGGGCTGAGCGGGGGAACGCCGACGTCCCTATGCAGCTTGCGCACCGCTGCTCCGCGCGGGCACCGTACCTCCAGAAAGGCGTCGAGCGGCATCTCGTGTACGCCGGTGAAGTCCGCGTAGAGGACGTTCGGCTTGCCGTCCTTCACGCTCGACACCACCGCCACGTCATCCCAGCAGGATTTCAGCAACACCTTTGAGATCCAACTGTACACGAGGTGGCCCCAGGTGGGCAGCGTGTACCACCGATTGCACAGAGCCACTACATCCCCCACCTCGAACTTGGCCGGTGGGATCGGCGTGACGTCCCAGGTGGCACGGTAGTACAAATCACGCGCTTCCACTACGATAAGAAAAGACAGCGGCAGGGCCTGACAAATTGCCTTGCCGTGCAGCCGCAGCCATGTTTTGAAGGGTATTTTGGGGGTAACGGTGGTCATTGCACACCGAGAGCCACATAGGCAGTTCTAGAGCCGCGCACCACCAGACACAGAAAAGGAAAGAAAAGAGACGTTCGCCCCCTGTTCAAGACAGAAGCCCTTTACTTTCGCCTCTCACTCTCTCTTCCTCTTCGGGCTACTAGGCCATTAAAAAAAAAAAACAAGCAGAAAGCACGGAGGCACGTGAATCGAATAATAAACAAAGCGCATGAACGGAAAGAGAAGGGATCAGAAAACTCAGAGTAATAGCGTCACACGTTGATCAAGAGCGCATAGAATGAAAGAGGTGTCGAGCACCCCAAGACTTCAGACTCAACTTTCATTACTTTCTTTTTGTCACTTGCGGGACGAGAGAAGCCCGTGCGGTGTTGGCAGCCATCGTCAGTGAAGCGGAAAGTGGAGAACAATTCATTTCCCTCTTCCCCACATTAAAAAACACCTCAGTTACGTGAGCCTTCCGTTCTTCTTTTTTCCTTTCCGCAGCCGAGCTGTTGGGGGCTGTGGCGAACGCTTTCGGTACGTAAAAGAAAGAAAGAGAAATAGTGGCAATAGTGGTACAAAGGAGAACACGGAGACAAAACATTGGAAAAGGGATCCACCTCGACGGGGTGTAAAGCAGTCCATACCGGGAGAAAAGGGGGAGGAGAGAAGGGAACGAGCGTAAGGAGCTTTGTCGAGAACCGCACGCTACTTGTCCGTAATACGTCGTTGCGCAACAGTTTTTTTCTTCTTTTCTAATAAATGAGGTTTCCGTTTAGAAGGAAGCACTGGTGATGGCTGGAACACCAGCGTCTGCGCGAGACAGCTTTTGCAGCTCATGCGACATCGCGTCGATGATCGCCTGGCACTCGTTTCTCTCACGTCGAAGTCGCTCTCTTTCCTGCTCGTGGGCCGCGAGGAGGCGCCGCCGCTCCGCCTCTCGCTCGTCCTGCACAATCGACATGCGCATCTCCATGATTTGCAGATCCGCTTTCATCGCTGCGACAGTCGCCTCCAGCTGCCCAATTTTTCGCTCGCTGGACGGGCCTGCGGGGTAGCGCGGTGACTCCGCCGCGGCTCCTTTCGCCGAGGTAGACGGAGGAGAGTGCGGTGCAAGACTGCGTGCCGTTCCTGCAACTGCCGCTGCTTCCTCGATTCGATGCTGCAACGCCTCGACTTCTTTGACGAGACTTTCTTCTTTGGTCTTCCACGCAGCCTTGGCGGTGTGATAGTCCGCTGCCTTTCTTTTGAGTTCTGCTCGGGTTTTTTCGCAGTTGGCGCAGAGGGTTGAGTGAGCTGCTGAGGGTGGAGGGGGCGGAATCGGAGACGTCGCCGCGATTTGCTCGAGCTGCGCCACCTGCTTCTTCAATTCACGACACCGTGCTTGTTCCTCCAGCGCGCGCTGCTGTGCGAAGGCGAGTTCCTGCTTCAAGTGCACCCGTTCCTTCCCCCACGCCTCCTTCTCTGCATGTGCTGCTGCGCTGCTCCCCCGGGGGTCCGCGACGGTCTCGCGCTCCCGCAGCTGCCTCTGGAGGGAATCGCGCTCCTCCTCCACGCTGCGCAGCGCCGCCTCAATCTCGCGTGCGCGGTCACTGTGCTGGTACAAGTTTGCCAACCGAAACGCAGCGACAGGGGTGCGCACGCCATTCGAGTCCTCTCGCCGCGGCGCGGGGCTGCCAGCAGCTGCGTTTCCATCCTTTGACCAGCGTTCCAGCATATCTTCTGCTTGGTCCTGTATACTGCGCAGGAGCTGCGCGAGTTTCTCTTGGTTTTGCAGGAGGGAGTCGCTCAAAACGATGGCGCGGTGGGTGGCACGTCGCGCTACCTTATTTGCTTCCGCAGGTGCCCGACCTCCTTCGAATGGGCCGGCCACCGCTGAAGTCGAGAGGAGCGGAGTAGCTGGTTGAGGTGTGGGCGTCACCGCGCTGCGGCCGTTCCGTTGTTGCATCACAGCCTGTAACAACTGCTTCGTTTCCCGTGAGAGCTGTGGGTCGTTGAGCAGGTCGTTGAGGAAATCGTTTGACGGTGTTGCGGTGCCCGACCCATCATCGGTGTCATTATTCTCCTCTCCTTTCGCTTCTCCATTTAGCAGACGTGAAGTCGATGTGCGTCGTCCTTTCGCGCCATTTACTTGTTCAGATGCCACCAACGCGGGCAGCAGTACTTCTTTGTGCATCGTAATGTGATATTGTAGCAGCTTGTCGAAGGCGTTTTCTAAGTTGTTGGCCAACTCGCGCACACTGTGGGCCTCCTGCACGGCCTTGAAGCGCTCCTGCTCCGCAAACACCACCTCATCAATGAGCTCCGCCAGGTGATACTCGCGCTTCTGCAGCAGGTCCTGGAGAAGGGCAACATTGCGCTGATCTTCTGGATTCGTTGCCGTGAGCGACATGGCAGTAAAATGAACGCCCTTTTGTGTGTGGCAGCGTCGCAAGAGAAGGGGAAGCGGAATACGAAAGGCGCTAAAAAAAAAAAGCAGTCTTTTTGGGAGTCGTCGCGATGAAATTCCCCTCCCAAAAGAAAGCTATAAGTGATGTACAAATATATATAGGCTCAGATTACAATGAAGAAAGTCCGAAAAAGTATGCAATGATCATGGCCAGGTTCTGCCCTCTCTTTCACAGCGCTGTGTGCAGAAGTGAGAGCGAGAGCAGCTGCAAATAGAATGCGTTGAGAGGGGAGACGAAGCCAGGAAAAGCGCCGACTGCAGAGATCGTAGGGCAGAGAGGAATGCAACACACCCACCTATAATAAGAACATGAGCACTCAAAGCAACAACAACAAAAAACCCTTCTCCTCCATTTTGTTTGCCACGACACCTCAGCGGTACCGGAAGACGAGGAAACTGGCGAAGAAACGAGCGAGCAACGCCGAGGCCAAGAGGATTGAGGTGCGATTCAAGTTGAATTACTACCCTTATTTGTGGAGGCGGCCGTACCACAGTATTTTTTTTTGAAAGACGCGTCGCGATCGACTCTGTGAAACAGCAAAACAACAGACGCAATCAAAGAAGCCACTCCAGCGAGAGCGATGAGAGCACCATAAAGTAGTGGCATCCGTCGTCAGAGGAGTGCGCACTTCGAAGAAACCCCCCCAAAAAACCAACACCTCACCAGCTTCGCTCAAGTGCCCCATCGACGCTAACACTGGATGAGCGCCTCACCCGCCTTCACCTCCTCACCAGCGCGCTTCAGCACGGCGCAGTCCTTCGGAACATCCACCAGCAACACAACGGAGGAGCCCCAGTTGAAAGTGGCAACGCGCTCACCTTTTGCGAGCAGCGGCTTGGACGCGTACGTGTTGTGCAGCGCGTACTCCGGCGGCTCCAGGTAATTAGTGCGAACTCGCTGATCGAGATAAAATTTGATGCGCCCCGTCAAGGTGCTGCCGACAAGCGCCATGTACACCGGCAGCTTATTCCTGTCCGCGGAAGTGCCACACAGCACCAAACGCTCGTTGATCGTCAGCACGGAGGGAATCCAGTGAAATCCGGCCGCCGTCACCGGAAAGAGGGCACCCGGTACGTACACGCTCTTTTCGCAGCGAAAAGAAAGAGGAGCAACGACGTGGTGGAAGTCTTTGTTGCGCATGTGGATCACCGCGGCGACGCGACGGTACCTCTCCGCGTCCAGCGGTGGCGGCGTCTCCTGCAGGAGGACACGAATGCCGTATGAGAGACCTTTCACCTGCACCAGCGTCATGTCTCGCACGTTGGAGTGCACGGAGAGCAAAACGCCATCGCAGGGAGCCACGACAGCCGCGCCGGCGCTCACCGACCGCGCCTCGGGCGTCCAGTCGCGGGTGTAAAACTGCTGGAACGTTTCCACATCCCTCACCTGCTGGACGGACTCAGACATGTCCACCTTGCACCAGCGAATAAGCGCGTCCGCCGCAGCGTGGTGCATCCAGGTGGGCAGGTAAAGGTTCTCCGCGAGGCGGCCGACGCTGTTGGACAAGGTGTTGAAGGGCAGGAAAAAGAGAGCGTCCACCATTTCAGAGGAGCAGAGGCAGTTACCGTCCTCTGGGTGTGTGGCGGCCTCCCAGCCGGCACGGGCGTAGCGGAAGCCCTGGTAGCCGCCGAAGCCGCCGAGGACGCCAAAAAAGATGTAGTGGTAGACCCAGCGCCGCATTGGGTTCGACATGCGATTCGTCTTGCCGCTTTTGTAAAAGCGCAGGAGAGGTGTCGGTCGCAATAATCCCATTTTCTGTAGCTACAAATTCGTTTTCTTCTTCTTCTTTTTTAGAACGCCCCGCCTCTGAGCCCGTTTCTTTACCTTCAGTGTTTTGCGCCAATCGAACGCATAAAACCGAGAGGATAAATGAGGGAAGGTATGCGGGAGTAAAAGTTGTGAGCAGGTCATCTGCACAGTTGTGTCTCACAGCAGAAACAGAGAAAACATACTCGCACATCGCTTGCTAATCTGCGGAGGATGGTGCAAACATACGTACTTGTAAATACAGATACTGGAGGTGGTTCGCTACCTATTCCGCTCTACCTTCTCAGCTGCTGCAGAGGTGTTGACGCAGCGCTACTGGCAGGACTACGATCGAGGGTCCTCCAAAGACCATCGCCCCTCTTCTCTTCCACACCCCAACCGTCTTCTGGTTCTTACACAACAGCTTTCTTTCTTTATCCCTTTTCTTCAACGCATCACATATTAGTCAAGACAAACAGTACACCGAAAAAGGTCTGTGAAGAAAGATCCTGCGGATGCAGTCAAGGTGGGCCTTTGCAAGGGAGAGGCGGAAGCGGCGCAGAGACGCACCCGCCCAGAAAAAAAAAAGAACAGCTGCGCTTGTTTTTTTTTCCCTTTCTGCTCACCTGCGCTTTGTTGGGGGCGAAGAAGCATCCTTGTCATCGTAGGTGGGAATAAAATCGCTCTCGTCAAAGGTGAGCTGCGAACTTTTCCACCCACTCGAGGCAAACGACGAACCTTTGCTCTTCGGGGTGCTACGAGCTGCACTGCCCGCGACGTTCGATGCTGCTGTGCGGTGATGGCTGACTTCTCCATGATAAGACGTGCTCCGACTTGGCCCACTGCTGGCAGTAGCCGTAGCATCCAAACCTGCACCGTCCTGGCGACGAACTGGCGTTTCGCGCATGAGCGGGTTCGTTCCTCGTGCGTAGCGACTGGCTGCCGGTGAAGAGGGAGAAGGCGAGGTGATGGGGCCTCTCCGGCCAACGTCCGCCTTTGATTGCTTATTTCGCGCTTTGGCAAAAATCTCCTCGTTTTCGTCGACCTGCGGGCTCAACAGGTGACTCAGATACGGGAATTGCAGCGTCATGCTGGCTTGCAGCACATCTTGCGTGGGGCCGGTCGGGTTCACCGCGGCTGCGACGCGTTCACGCAGCGACGTGGCACGATTGAAGCCGCTTTGCTTTGGCGACAGCTTCGTCGCGCTTACTGAACTCCCTGGAGTGTGCGAGGACTGGGTGGCCGACGGCCCCACTGCGGTGAGCTCCTCTGCGGCGGGGAAGCCGAACCACCTGCGGAACGCCACCGAGCGCAGCAGCAGCGGCTGCAGAAGACCCACCACGTTCATGCCAATAAAGTACAGGCACACGCCTGAGCGAAAGGAAGTGAAGACCGGGATGATGCAAAGGCAGCCGAGGCGGGCCCCCCAGATAATGTTCTTCATCCACCCTTTCTTGATTTCCTTCGATATCGACAACTCGAAGTTGAGCAGCGTAACAGCGCACGTGGTGATCGGGAGGATCATAAAAGGGTCGGGCAGCGTCAGGGCACCGCACCAGAGAAAGGAGGAGCTGCCCACATCGAACGCTGCGTTCTCGCACAGGGCGGACACCTGATAAAGACCCGTCATGATCACCGGCGCCATGGCAAGCGAGGCGGCACATTTCCACACCGATGTGTTGTATTTGCGAAAGATGGCGCGGCGGTGGCTCTTCAACTCACTCGCCGCCACCTGCACCTCCATGGCAGAGGCAAGATCGTTGTAGTAGATGCGATTAAAGTCTTCTTGCGGTTTCTTGAGTTCCGGCAGCGCCAAGCGCATCCGTTCGCCTGCGCGTTCGCCGTAGAGCGAGACGAAGAGCGTGCCCAGGCGTGTGGCGGCTCCCACAAGGAAAATGAGTACTCCGGCTTCCATGCCGAGAGCATGCTGACACGCGGTGAAGGCATGTGCGAACCACGACGGGTCGCTGACGGCGGCGTGCGTGGTGGCCGCGGCAAGGGTGTGCTCATCCACCGTGCCGAACCACTTTGCGTTCCACATGCGGTCCAGGTACTCGAAGTAGGTCTGCGGAGGTGCCTCACTTGGCATCCCAGAAAGTGAGGGTCCGTTCACGGAGGCAGCCGCCGTGGACACGGTTGTGTCCGTTGCTGGAATGGTGCGGTAGAAGCGTGTGTTGGAACCGGAGTGGGTAGAGAGGAGAAGCGACGACGCGCGCAGCTTCAATGCCGTCGCTGGCCGCGCTGCACGGTAATACCTCAGCATCGTGTGAGTACCTGTGATGCTCACGTGGCCGAAATACGAATACAAAAGAAGATATCTGCACGTTAAGGCGGTGAAACGATCGACGAGAAAGCGAGAGGAACGTGAGGAGCCCCATCGGTTGGCCACAACCCACAGGGTGACAAAATGCGGAACGAGCTGCTACAGTGGGGGAAAAACAGCAATATGCTCTTCCGTTCTCTTTCCTACCGTTTTCATTGGCATCGCAGAAGTTGGTCGCATTAAAAACGGAAAAGAAGTCGCGTAGGGGCCCGACGTAGATGCCCGCATTGGCTTCAAAGACGTGTGCCTGTTCGGTTGAGCAGCGTTCGACACAATAAAACAAGTAGAAAGGACTCGCGTAATGAAGGGGAATGTGTCGTCCAACGGGTATACTCGCGCGCTCTCACACACACACGCAATCAAAAAGTCCACGCACAAATAAAAGCATCATACCTTCAAAAAGCAAACAGACAACCGTAAGAAGCAAGTTGAAAAAGCAGGACATCACACGTCATGATCAGCGAAAGAAGAGAAAAAAGCTTCAACTTTTGCGTTCGCATCTCATTCCACCACGACGGGTCGGAGAAGGCGATCCAGTTTGCGTTGCAGGGCAGCCGTTTTGAGTTTCAGGAATCCCTCCGTTACGGCGTCGTCCAGCGACACCAGCGAGACCACCGCCGTATCCGCTACCGACATGGCACATATTTTCTTGTCGGGAAACACCACAATCATCTGCTCGAGTGATTCCGTCTCTAGCTCTAGGTTCAGCGTATTCGTCGCCAAGCTGCTTCGCGCGTAGGCACGCCACATGTTCGCCGTGGCGGCGACGACGGCAGCGTATATAACCTCCTTCTCCGCCGCCGTGCCGCTGAAGGCGGTGGCGATGGCGTTGCCGGAGGCGTCCAATACCAGCGCCATGATGACACCGTTGCCCACGGCGCTGCCCACGACAGCGTTGAACTCGGAAGCGTTCAACATTGGCAGCTCTTTTGAAGATTCTTTTTTACGTATGTATACTCCGCTGCTTCTGTGGTGCACAACAAGTGAGCAGAATCTCTTTCTTTGTTCATGCAACGGAAGCTGCGAGAATGTGGGTGTTAAAACAAACAAAAAAGAAATAGGAGGTGTGGAAAAAGAATGCGCCAAGGTGCTTGAGAGAAGTTGTATGCGAGAGCTCAGCTGTCATTCAGTTTCGAGTCTGTCCGCCTGTGTGGAGACGCAAACGTGGAGGGGAGGCAAGTCACGACAGCACACTTAATAAAAAAAAAAGAAAAGTGAGCCATTCTAACTCGACGCAGCTCGGCATTGAGGGAAGGCGGGGGTGCTCAGCACGCACTTGTGGAACGACTTTTTCTTGATGGGCGTCTTGCGCAAACAAAAAAAAAACACGCGAAGTCCAGGTGAAGGTGGAAAATCCTCCGGCCCCGCGTGGGAGAGCGAAAACGCACGAAGCTGTCAACAACAACGAAAAAAATAATAATCTGGGAAGGGCCACTCATTGCAGCCGTGTCCGCTTCGTTTGTTGACTGCGTTTCGCGTGTTCTCCCTCGCGTTCCTTTCTTGGCCCTATTGCATTGCCCTCACCTTTGTGAGCCGGGCACCGCAGCACAAATTGCTCCGTGTTCATCAAAGCCCCTGCTTTGACGGCGCACGGCAGGTGATAGCTCAGCGGACAGATCGAGATCGCACATCCCACAGCAGCGCCCGGCTGACGGCATAGCGCGCACTTGATGTGACGCGCACGCTGCACCGCCGCGGCAACACCGCGCAGTGACTGCGACGCCTCCTCCACGTACACTTCTGGACACCAGAGAGCGCAGGTAAGGTGGTAGGAGTAGCCGTCCGAGGATACCAGAGGCGGGGCCCGCCGCCGATGCCGCTGTGCCTCTACAGAATTGCCACAGAAGACACACTCCGCACCTCTATTCTCATGAAGGTTGTGCGGCCAGTCCTGCTGGTGTGCCAGTAGCACTGTAAAAGCAGCAGGTGAGTCGTGGACGTGCGAAAGGTTCGTCAAGACGTTGGAGCCATCGTGTGCATCGTCACGCACAGCTTGCCGACTGCGGAGGCGATGCTCCTCAGAACTCGAGTCTTCTGCATCTCCACACAGCTGTGATGATTTTGTTAAGGCAGACGTCTCCGTCTCCGTGGCCTCTCCGTTCCCGTTTGTAGTTGGCGGTCTGCTCTGGAGCGAACTGTCAAGTGACGAGGAGCCACCGCGCACGTTGTGCATCGCGTGCTGCTGCGAGCACCCGAGAATGTCGTCCACCGCCGATACCAGCTGTGAAAAAGTCGCCGACTGCTCCGCGTCGTGGATGGCAGGGGAGAAGGCGCGGCACGCGGTGTCGAGGAGAGGAAGATGGGCTTTGTCGCCTTTGTCTGGTTTGCTTCTCTGTGTTACGGCGGGGCTGACTTGAATGCTTTCCTGCGTCACCATGGGCTCGTGCTCTGCCTCGCTGTCCAGCGTGTGATCCTCTTCTTCGTCCTCCGCGGTAATGGAGTCGTGCGAGAGAGAAGAGTCGAGCTGGGTGTCCACAGCGGCGGAAACGGCTGCAAGAACAGGAGCCAGCGACAGCCGTGGCTGCTGAGTGCTGAATGTGCAGGTGCACCTGTCCTCCTGCTGACTCGCGTGAAAAGGTTCCGATAGAGCCGTCGGTGCTTTTGCATTACCGTCTGCGCGTCTTGCATCATCCCCGAGGAGCAGCGACTCTTCTTGATGTTCTTCTCGGAGGCCGTCCGACGCCGCAGAAAGCAAGTTGGGATCCATCGTGCCTAAAATCGGAAGAGTTTGCTTCACACAGGTGCGGAGATAGGAAGAGATGGCTTGACTGTTGACAAGCGAGCTGCTTTGCGAGTCACTGGCAACGGGAAGGTGAACAACGGTGACGGCCCCGAAGCGCACACGCTTTTGCCTTTTAAGGGGCCGCCCCATTCTTCTTCTTTTGGTGTACCGCACGACTAAAAAGAAATATTTGAGCAGCAACAAGTACTGTCTTGTTGTTTTAACGGGATCGGATGTGTGTGTGTGTGTGTGGGTGGGGGGTGCGTGCGTGTTGCGTCGTTCTATGGAATATGAAGGAAGAGCGAAGTCGTACCGTGATCGCTTCGGCGCTTCCATATGGATGTGTGTGCGTGCAAAAGAAAAAAAATTGTGATGCTGCCTGAACGATGAAAAGAGGAACCAAATAAATAAACGGTGGCTTGGAGTAAAGAAGAATATATATATTTTTTGAGCTCGTTTGACGCCTTTGTGAGTATCATCAAGGGAATGGACATCAAGGGGGGGGGGGGGAGGGAGAGATGCAGAAAAGAAAGGATGGTAGATCAAAGGGAAGCTAAACGTCCAAAAAGTCCTGCGAGGTTCAAAGGATGATCGTTTTGCGAAAAAAAGAAAACCTCGAACAATTTGTTTGATGGAGAATGGAGTGTTGTGAAGGTCAGTGCAACTCAAGAGTGAGCGTCAAGAAACACAAAAATACATATGCACGCGCTGGCTCTCTTTGTATGATTGCTGTTTTGTTGCTTTGCGTTGAAATAAGTGGCATCTTTTTACCTCCTTTCCCAGCACCAAAAACACTCGGAGGGGGGAACCCGGCAGAGCACACCGCCCTCCAAAAAATAAAACAAAACAGTGAAGAAGTTTTTCCTTTTGATGGACTGCGTGCTCATCGAGCGAACAGTAACAAAATAAACAATAATACTAATAAAGAACTCTGTTCCTCTTTCGCGTCTTGATGGTGCTGACAGCACTTCTGACGTCCCCTGTTCTGCTTCGCTCTCCCCTGGATCAGAAAAAAGGCACCTTCGAGTGCGGCAGAGGTGATGCGAACAAGAACATCGTCGGTCAGCCGTTCTTGCACCACGCGGCGCAGATAAATAATTCCTTTCAACACAACAGAGTCACAAAAGAAGAGAAAAAAAGGAGGAAGAAAAGAACACCCATGGCACGAAAGAGAAGAGGAAAACACACACAGTGCACGCAACCATCGCCCGAATAATAATAATAATAATAATAATAATAATAATAATAATAACATGCACGTTTGATACCTCCATGACACGCAGCAGAAGTTCGGTTTCTCGCCGATCCATCGCGCGCAGGTGCTAAAAAGAAGGAAAAAAAGGGACGACGGGGCCGGTGTGATGGTGGCAATCGTAGCACAACTCTTCACTGCAGCGGCTGCGCTCAGAGGCTTCTATCATCTTGGGCTCTCCCGTCACCACGCTAGTCATGGCGTGTGAAGTTCGGCAGCTGCGCCTTGTTCACATCGGAGGTGATGGGCCACAGACGCTGTTGATCGGTCGGCTTGAGGTGCTTGAAGCCCTGCATGGTGCCCGCACACGTCGGCGATCCGCAGAGACACACAAACGGCGTGTTCATGTCCCACTCCGTCGTCGCGTAGTTGAAGGTCACCATCTCGCCCTCCGCGATGTCGCGAATCGTCGCAAAGTCGAAGGAGTCGGCTCCCGACACGCCGAGTCGCACCGCCACGTTCGGGTCGCAGTGGTGCGCGATGCACTCCGCCGCATCGCCAAAGAGCAGGTGCCGGTGCGGGCCGACGCAGATGGTGTACATGGTAGGGAAGGGCACGACGAGGCCGGTGCAGTGGAACAGCGTCGTACCAGCCGGGATGTCCCGCGTGGCGTAGGCGGTCTGACCCATCTCCCCATTGGGTCGCACCACCAGCAGCGGGTTGGTGCTCTTCACTGTCCACCCGTCGCGCATCGCCTGCGCCCGCACCGGCGGCTCGCATAGGTACAGGCATCGCTGCTTCACCGCCTCCTCCATGTACTTGAACCCCTTGCAGGAGTCCGTGAGGGAGCGGGGGAACAGCGCCGTCATGTCGTACACAAAGAAGTTCATGTTCACCCGCAGCGGGTCGCCGGCCTCCAGGGCACGGCAGGCGACGAGACGGCTCTCGACGAGGACGCAGTTGAAGTCCGTCGCGTCGTGCGGCACGACGTAGTGCCGCCCCACGCAGATCTGATTCGGCTGAATGTCCAGGTACATCACCTCGAGCAGAATATCCCCCTTCGCGGCGGCGCGGGCAGACTCGAGCCGGCCGTCGGGCGCCGCACGCAGCACCGACGACGGCAGCTGCACCCCTGCGTAGGCGGCGGCCAACGACTTGATGGCGAACGTCGCCTGCCACTGCAAAGCCCCCCGCTGGGCCCGCGTCAGGTGCTTGAAGCCGCGGATCTCGTACACGCAGTTCGGCGACTTGCACAGGCAGTGGAACGGCGTGTTCATGTCCCACTCCGTCGTGTTGTAGTTGAAGGCGATCAGCTCCCCTTCCGCAATGTCGCGCAACGCCTGGCACTCGAGCATGTTATTTGTCGCATCCACGCGCACACGAACGTTGGGGTCGCAGCTGTGCGCCAAACACTGCGCGCCGTCCGCGAAGAGGAGGTGCCGGCCCTCGTCCAGCATGATCGTGTAGACGGTCGGAAAAGGGATGCAGAGACCCTTCACCTGGAGGAAGCGGGTGCCGGCCGCGATGTTCATCGCCGCAAAGGTGGCCTGGCCCATCTCGCCGTTGGCGTGCACCGTCACCAGCGGACAGCTGCAGGGGACTCGGTAGCCGTCTCGCAAGGCCGCCATGCGTACGGCCGCCTCGGCAAAAATAAGGCGATCCGCCTGCGCGGCGGCGCTGCGCCCACCGAAGCCGCGCACTTCATGCGGCGAAGGAAACGCCGGGCAGGCGCAGGTGAAGGGCGTCTCCAGCGCATAGGCGAGGCAGGTAAGATCGAGTGTGATTTCCGTGCTGGCGCACACCGTCTCGAGCAGTACGACGCGCCGCTCAATCACCGCAGCCGTTGGCACACAGCTGTGGGGCAGTAGAACGCCGTCCACCAACGCGCCACCCGCTCGCAGTCGCACCTGCGTCGCGTGAAGAACCGGGTGCCCCTCCTTCAACTCCTTCGCCGCCAGCACACGGCCCTCCTCGTTGGTGGTCAGCTCCGCCCCCGCAAGGGCCTTCCAGTTGTCGTTTAGCTGCGCCAGTTGACGCATCGCCGGGGTCAGCATCCACCAAAGCCGCTGCCGCTCCTCCTCCGGTTGGTACTTCAAGCCGTGGATGCGACGGTAGCAGGACTTCTCATCCCCGCAGAGGCAGCAGAACGGCGTGCTCATGTTCCACTCCGTCGTGAGGTAGTTGAAGGCGATCACCTCCCCTTCGTGGATGTCGCGCAGGGCGAGGCAGTCGAGGGAGCGACTCTCCGCGTCGATCATAATGCGCACGTTCGGCACGCAGCTGTGCGCCAGGCACTGGGCCCCGTCCGCGAACTGCAGGTGGCGGTTGCGGTCCAGCTGAATCGTGTACACGGTGGGGAAGGGCAAAACGAGTCCGCTGACCCTGAGGAAGCGCGTCCCTTTCGGAATGGTGCGCGCCGCAAACGTCGCCTGCCCCATCGCCCCATTCGCTCGCACCTCCACCAGTGGATGGGGGCACGGAATTTGGAAGCCATCGGCCGTTGCCGCCGCGCGCACCTCCGGCGCGGTGCACAGCAACACGCGGGCCTTGTCCGCGTCGGACAGCGCGTGGAAGCCGGCCACCGTGTGGCAGCAGTCCGCCCCGCCGCAGACGCACGTGAACGGTGCCGCCAGGCGGTAACGCAGCTGGTTCATGTTGAGGGTAATGGGGGTGCCGGCGGTGCACGCCTCGCTCAGCACGACGCGGCCCTCCAAGAACACCGCCGACGGGTTGCAGGAGTGGGGGATGAGAACGTCGCCGAAGCACACGCGGCCGCCCTGGAAGGTGACACTGGCAGCCGTCTCAAATAGCACCGTCCCAGAGAAGGAGTCCTCGCAGAGGCACAGGCCACCGTTGTAGCCACCCGGCGCCACCAACGCGCTGTTCAGCGTCGCCAGCGTGCTCGTCGTCTGCCGGATGCTCTGGGCGAACAAGGAGCGCACGGCCTGCGTGGCCGTCGACCACAGCCGCAGCTGCGTCTCGCGGTTCAGGTGACGGAAGCCGGCGATGCGGCCGTAGCAGTCTGCGCTGCCGCACGCGCACGTGAAGGGTTCACTCATGTCCCACTCCGTCGTGAGGTAGTTGAAGGAGACGAGCGCGTCGGCGGCGATGTCGCACAAGGCGAAGCAGTCCACACAGCCCGTATCTGGGTCGACGACGATGCGAGTGTTCGGCGCACAACTGTGGGCCAGACACTGCGCACCGTCCGCGAACAGGAGGTGCTTCCCCTCGCCGAGGTAAATCGTGTACACCGTCGGGAAGGGCAAGACGAGACCGTGCACGTGGAAGATGCGGGTGCCGGCGGCGATGTTGCGCGGGGCGAATGTGGCGTTGCCGAGCGCCGGCGTGCGACGCACCGCCGCAAACGCGCTCGAGGAGACGATCTCGTAGCGGTCGTCCAGCGCCGCGGCGCGTACCGCGTCAGCGGCCACGCTCCACCACCGCGCCTTCGTCTCCGCAGGCAGTCCTTTGAAGCCGTGGACGTGGCCCGAGCAGCCGCCGGCGCCGCACGAACAGGGCTGCGCAGGTGTGATGGAGTAGTAGAGAAGGTTCAGATTGCACGTGACGGCGTCGCCGGCGGCGAGGGGGCGCGAGGTCACTATGCGACCGTTCACCAAGACGGTGTTCGCGTCGCATGAGTGCGACAGACGCAGCCGCTCCAGCACCAGTTCGTTCTTCTCCAGCTGTGGCGCCCCGCACGCTTTGAAGAGGACAACGCCGGCCTCAATCTCGCGCTGCGCGGTCAGACGACCCTCCGCGGTGGTGTAGAGCGCCGTGCAGCCGGCCAAGGCCCCGAGTGTGGCACTGGTCAGCAGCGGCGAGCGGTACTTCTCCTTTACGGCGGGGCTGCAGTCGGGCAGCAGATGCTCCTGCTGCTCGCGGTCCAGGAAGCGGAATCCCTTGATGAGCCCGTAGCAGCAGTACACGTTGCACGAGCAGTGGAAGACCTTGCTGATCTCCCACTCCGTCGTCAGGTAGTTGTACGTGAGTTTCTCGCCGGTCTCGATCGTGCGCAGCGCAACGCCGCGAATCCGCGTGCCGTCGATCTCAAGACGCAGGTTTGGTAGACAGGAGTGCATGAGGAACTCCGAGCCGCCCGTCAGGCGCAGGTGGCGATCACCCGGCAGCTCCACCGTGCTGCGAATTGGAAAAGGTAGCGGCACACCGGTGGCCTCGAAGACCACACCGCCCTCCTCGTGCTCCTTGCTGCTGATGACGGTGGGCTCGCCCTTCAGATCCACCACATCGAGGCCGCCGCCCTCGTTGCTGCCGCGGGGCAAAAAGCCGTGCGCAATGGCCTGCTGGCGAACGTGCTCATCCGCAAACCGGTACAGCTCTTGCTTCGTCTCCTCGTCCAGGTAGCGGAAGCCGGCGACGACGGGGTGCTCAATCGTAACGCCAGCCATCGACGCGTCCGCCGAGTCTGCCGAGTCTGGGGTGGTCACCGCCTTCATCAGGTCGTAGAAGCAGAGGTTGAAATTCACGACGATCTCCGCATCCGCGCCGCACGGCTTCATCGCGACGAGGAAGCGGCTGATGATGGTGGCGTTGAAATCCAGGCCGTGGCGGACGGTGACTCCATCAGGCAAAATGAGTGTGTCGTCGCGCACGGAGAAGCTTTGAGGAAGAGGCACTACAATATCCCCCACAGCGAGCGCGGTGGTGGTCTTCATCGTGTCTCTCTGCGTGAGTATGTGTGTGTAAGCCGGACTTGGTATGTGTGTTACGTACGACAAATAAACTTTTTTGGAGAAACAAGACGATTTCCTTCAACTTTGTTTTTTAAAGAGGTAGGAATAAAATAGAATAAAAATCGTTGATACAGCGTCAACGAGTTATCGTTTTCGTTCTTGTTCTTTGAAATTGCCTGAAAATAGAGGTATAAGCGAACGAATACTAATAGGAACAGCAAACCGTATCGTTAGCTGAAGAGCGTAATCTATGGTATGTTTTTTCTTCGTTTTTTTTCGTTTTAGAGAGAGAGAGAGAGTTAAGTGCGTGATTTGAGGCGTAACGAAAATCAAACGCGAAACGGATTCAAACACATGCCGTACAGTTTGCTGTTTCCGTTTTCTTTGTTTTCTCGCCTTCTGTCTTAAAGGGTCTATCAGTAGAATTGGAGTGGGAAAAGGGAAACAAAGAAAGGCCACTTTGCTTTGAGAGGCGAAAACCAAAGAAAAAAAGGGCTGATGTGATCCGAATCCACCACGAGAAAGTGCCGGAGCACAAAGGAAAGATGGCTTGTTAGAGAAAGAAAAAGATGTTTATGGGAAGTCAAAACGGAGGCACAGAAATGCTGCGAAGATGACAAAGAAGAAATATGTGGCGTGACGTGAATTTAGTAAAACAAACAAAGGAAAGACAGCAGGTAGTTTACAACAGAGAGAGAGAGAGGGTTTGTGCACAGCTCGTTAACGTACGAAGCACAACAAAGAAAAAAAACAGTTTGTTCCTGCTCGGTCTTGCGGTGATGAACCGAGGTTCCAGCAAAGATATGACATTGCCATTTGTTCCGGCATTGAAGGAACGCGCCACATGATGGGCTTTCTCGAGGGTTTTATTACGGCGGAACCTGCGAGCTTCGTTTGTTCTTCAACATTCATCTGTAAGTCCATTGGTGCGAAGTAACGGGAAAGGACGCAAAGGTATTCAACCACCACGAAACCCAGCCATAACCGTTTTAGCAGCTCACGCGACGAAGAAGAACAACACAAGAAACACCACTCCATGCACGTGGAAACCTTCATATCAGGCGCACCCGCTCCACGCCTTAATCCAAAAGCGCACTTCGGTAGTTCATAATACCAAAGCAAAACGATGCACCGCGTGCGCGGCACTCATTCGCCGCCTTCTCCACCTCCAGCACCACCGTCTTCGCCGTGGCAGCGTCGCACAGGACCACATGCAGCAGCATCGCACGCCCGGCCATCTGATACGAAATAACAACCTTGAACGAGTACTTGGGGTGCAGAGCGATGCCCACGAAGGGCAGATCCAGACTCAACAAGACCCGCCGCTTGCACTCCCCGCTGTTCAACTCTAGCGCACGAATCTGCGGCGGTGCGTTGTCGCGCGCGTCGAGCAGAAGAAGCTCCCGCCCGCCCTCCCCGGTGAGGGCGGATGGAAGGACAAGACAGAGCGGGGTGCCCAGCGCGGCAAAGCTTGCCTCGTTGGCGTTGCCGTGCCACTCGCTCGTCAGCTCGCAGCGCACGGAAAGGCTCACCGCCGACGGCGAAAGTGTGAAGTAGTGCGACGGGCCCCGCTGTGGACACAGCCGGCGCAGCGTTTGGCGGAGAATGTCCACCTTCCGCACATTAGGATTCGATTCATTGTGGGGGCTGCTGTAGTCGGCCAACGCACACGACTCAAAGAAGTGCTTCGCCAGGAGGAACATCACATATAGGTTGAGCTCGCACTCGGACACAGCCACAGGAGAGCGCTGCGAAAGAGGAAAGGCGCGCGTCACGCTGACCTGCACGTCGCGATACGCATTTGCGAGTTCGTGGCGAAAAGGTTGTGGCTGGCCGTGGTAGTGTTGCAGCGGCTGTAGTGGTGGCCACACATTCAGCACCAGGTCGCACGTTTCTTCATCGAGGGTGGGGTACGCCGGGTAGAACAGGTACACATCGTCTTTGGTGTGGGTAGCGGATAAGATGGCCCTGCGATCCGGCACGTCGGCGTCCAACCACTGTGCTGCCTCGCGAAGCTTAAGGAACATCACTGCGTAGGGGTCGCGAATGGGCAAAGGAGCCTCCTCGCCGGTTGTGTCCTGGAGGTCCTCGAAGGTGATGCGGGATAGCGGCACCTCGCCATCTGCGTTCTGCTGCGCGCGGACGATATTTTGTATCGCAGACGCGTACTGCTTCACACCCTCTAACAAAACTCGTTGAATGAGCTTCATCAGTTCTAAAAAGGCTGTCTCTAGCACCTTCGCACACGTCACCCGTCGCTCTGCGCGTTCCTCAACTGGGAGAAGTTTCACGAGCAGGGAGAGTGTGCTGGAGAAGCAGCTGAGGCGCGTGACGTGGAAGTATCGAAGCTGCGTGTGAAGGGCGGCGAAGATGTTTGGGATGAGCACGGAGAGCACCTCCGGCGGGGCGGCTGCGGAAGAAGGACGTCGCATGTTGGCATCACCACCACCACTCCCACCTATCCACGCCTTTTGCACAAACTTCTCTTTCGGCGGCGGCAGCGTGCTATTGGGACCGCCGACGAGCACCTGCCCCGTCAGCTGGTAGGGCGTCTCGGCGTAGAAAAACTGCGAGAGTGAGGTGGGAAAGCGTAGCGGGGAAGGCAGTACAGTAGCGCGCATCGCCTCGACGTGCGCCGGTGACGGCGCGATGGCGCACTGCACCAAGGCGTGCCCAAAAATGGCGGTGACCGCCTCGTGCAAGTCGACGCGTGCGGATTGCAGGACGAGCCCTGCGATAGAGGTGGAGACGTCCGGTGCGGCAGAAGCGGGTGTCGCTTCTATGGGATGCACGAGAAACCCCATCAGCGCTGCACATACCTGCAAATCGGTGTTGATTTGGATCCAGTAAAGGAGGAAGGCGAGCACGACGGAGGCCGGGATATCGCTGGCGCTGGAGGCGAAGGCGGCGATGGACGTCGTCAGCGGTCTCTTCTCTCCTGTTGGCGCTGCGGACGGCGAGTACGCAGAGGCCGCCGCCGCAGCCCTCGTCTCTTGCACGATAATGCGCTGAAAGCGAGACAGAAAGAGGCGCTGCGCTACTGTCGCTGCCTGACTCCCCGCATTTGCTACCGGCGTGCGGCACACGTCGTTGAGATACAGAAGCTCGTCCTCGATCACCTCCAGCCGCAGCGTCAGCACACGCGTCTTGACGGCTGGCGCTTGCGTTTGCTGCGGGTGCGCTGACAACGAAAGGGGTGGAGATGAAGGGGAGTGTGAGAGCTGAGGGCCGCCTCCGGATGCTGCTGCTGCTGTTGCATGTGCGTTGCACGTGTGCGCAGAGTGGACGAACCTCTGGAGAGAAGCGTGGGCAGGGATGTCAGCCGCCAGCTGCGTCAGCTGCTGATCAACATTACGCATGACACTCAGAAAGACGTCGGCGATGGAGTGCTGCACAAAGCCCGAGACGGCGCTGTCCTGCAGCTGGGCGATGGTAACGATGATCTGCTTGGCGGCAGTGCGCACCATCGCGTCGTCTGATCCAAGCAGACGCAGCGCGCGGTCCCACAAAGGGAAGGCATTGTCTTGCAGGTCGAAGAAAAATTGGACCGTGTCTGGTGTGCACCGCAGGGCAAGGGTTTTGAGAAAGGACACGTAAAGCGACACAAACTCGTCGTCGTGCATGTCGAACTCGACGGCAACCATGCGGTTAATGTGATTGTTGCTGCACACATAGTAAATGGAGGAGGTGCGAGATAGATTCTGCAGCATCACCGTGATGCTCTGCAGACTTTGGAGTTTGATGGCGGACGGCATAAGACCGTTGGTGACGAGACGCTCCAATATGTTGATTACATCTCGCTCCATGACGCGCTCGAACCAGTCCTCCTTGTTGCGGTCCATCCACACGAGCACCTCGGTGAGGGATCGAATCGACTGCAATGAAGCCTCTAGCACTTTCGACTCGCGCTGCCCCGCCTCGTCGCCCAGAGCGAGCTCCTCTATGCGCTCCACCTCATCGCACAGGTACTGCGCATTCTCTAGGGAGAACTTCTCGCGTATTCCAAGCGTTTCCTTCAGCTTGTCCATGCTGTATGATGTTGGCCCTTTTTTCTTTTCTTTTGAGGAGAGCAAAATGATATGCCTTGTACTGTGAGATACTCATTCAAACATGAGAAGACAAACAAACCCGATGCGTACACACGTACGTTGTATACAAAAGGAAGAAGAAAAAAGCTGTGCAAAAGGGTGTTGCGAACTATCTCGTCGGCTTTCCTCTCACGGTGGTCACCTACTATAAAAATATACTTCCACGAAACTTTGAAAAGTGCAGACGGAGCTGTAAAGTGTAAAGCTTGTCGAAAAGAGAAAGAAGAGAAAACTATGCAGTAATGAATGAAAAGCAACGAAAACAACCAAACAAAGGATACTGAGGGGTTCTGAAGAGGAAGAAGAAGCGGAGCAGGTAGAGGGCCACCAAGGATGCTTGATGCTGAGGAGCTATTCAATGACCGTTGTGTCAACGGCCATTAGACGTTCAGAGAGGATAATATTGGCAAAAGAGACACGCTGCTAAGAACGTGATGGTTAGAGAACAGGAAAGGAAAAGGTGCTGAAGAAAAGAAAGAAAGAGGGAGTGAAAGAGGGGCAATACGTGTCAAGTCGGTCGGAAGGCAAAATAAGTAATTACAATAGTAATAGGCTTCGTAGTCTCGCGTGCTCTTCAATAATTCTTCCTTTTGATGATCGCTTGTACCTTTTTTCTTTGGTAGGACTCTGGAGCTAACTCACAACAACAAGTGTTTCATGGAATATAGTGGGCAGCACTGGCGATAGTGTCTGGACTCAAAGATTTAGACGATAATCGAAGCAGAGCTGCCTGTAAGACATTCGCAGAAGAATAACACACAGTACCTTTCAAGCCCTCTTTTTAAAAGCTGTACAACTACAATGCCATCGGTCGTGGATGAATCTTTCCCTTGTATGCAACCGAGGGTACTACCCCTCCACACCGTCGTCGCTGTCGGAGTGGCGCCGCTCCAACTCCTTTTTGCTGAGGAGACGCAGCAGCAGCTGCGCCCGCTCGCGGAGGGTCGACGGAGGCCGGCTGGCAACCAGCACGTTCTTCAGCCCCGCCATCACCAGCGTTGGATTGCCGTCCGCGAAAAAGTCGACGAAGCCGACGTAGAACATCGGGGCCGGCGTCACGGTGAACCCTGCAATCCGAAAGCAGCCCTCTGTGGGGTTAAACGGAACCGACACAATCACCTGCCCCATCGTGCTCACGACCAACTCGCTCCCGCCCTTACCGCTCTCGATGTTCGCCACGCACAGCAGACCGCGACTCAGGATGTGGCCTGACAGGATCGGCTCGTCCTCGCTGCTGGCGGCAAAGCTCTGATTTACCGGTGTCGCGGTGAGACTGCTCGAGGCGAGTGGGGCGTTGCTCGGGGAGGTGCTACGACCGGCCTTGCGGGGCGGTGCGGCGCGGCTGCGACCGATAAAATGACGCAGCGAACTCAGGTCCAGAAAGTTTTTGGAGCTGACCTGCGGCGCCTCTTCCAGGTTCGCCATGGAGGGGCTGACAAACGTGAGCGTCTGCTTCTGGCCGTTGGCCAGTGTAATGATTTGCGGCAGGTCCGGCACTGTCTGAGTGATGGCGGCACCGCTGTTCACCGCACGCAGCACAAGCAGGTGCCCCGCACTGTCGAGGACCACCAACGCCACAAAGGCGCTCTCATCACGCCGTGCAAACTCGGCGTCGGCCGCGCTTGTAAAGCTGACGTTCTTGAGTGCGTCTTCGGAGACGGCGTCCTCGATGATTTCGTCCACGACGGCGTTGCGCGACGCCGTGTCCGCCTTGGACGGTCTCGTGCGCACGAAGGTCATGTCCGCCACCGGGCCACTTACGCGGCGCACGAGGCGGTGCGATGTGGGCCCGAGCAGAAACACACGACCGTCTGTCGTGCCCGCTGCGGCGATGACGCGGGTGCTGGCGGACTGCACCGTGAAGGCACAGACAACGCGATCGACTTGAAACGCCAGCAGCCATGGCGCGACATCGCTGAGCGACGACGGCGTCGCTGTCACCGTTAGCGCCTCGTCCCCGTCGGTGTCCGGTGCGGTCGCATTGTGCGACACCGCAACGGACACGGTAATGAAGCGCAGCTGTCCCAGGCGACGAGGATTGGCGGCTGTTGCAGTTGTTTTGCCGGGGGATGCGCTGGAAGTCGGCGACTCCGCTGCGCCACCCCCGCCGGTGCCGTTTAAAACAGCGACGTTCGATTTCTTTACGACATTGCCGACTGTACCACCCGACGGTCCGGCACCTCCAGCATTATTAGTATTACTGTCCGCATGGCTGGGCTGACCGGCGACCGAGAAGCCGGTCCATGAGGAGAAGAGCGAGCACATCATCACGTGCTTCGACGGCGCGGACACCTCCGCAGCATCTGTGGCAGCCTGCGAAGGGGGTGCGGTCATCGCGGGGTGGTAGAAGAGCCGCAGGACGGATTGCGCCGGCGGCAGCGGGAGAGCATCGTGCGCCACTACCCGCACAAGGGAGCCGTCCGCCTCTCCGGCCCACGACGGAGACAGGACGTGTTTCAGGTGGAGAACAAGCACCGCCACGTGATGCTGCATCGCAACGTCTGCCCACGCCACCGCGACGGCAACGGCGTCGCTCACGGCGCTTTTCTTTTGCCGCTGCTGCTCTTGATGGGTGGTTCTGTTTGAAGAAGTGTCGGTCGGTGGCAGTGGAAGTGACGGCGACAAGGAGCACGCAGTCAGGGCAATGATGTTCACGCCACTGCCATCGGCGTGGGAGAGCATGCGAGCCGTGGTGGCAGCGGTCAGCGGAGAAGAGGGTGGGGAGGATATGGACGCGCTGCCGGCTGCAACAACGCTCTGCCCACCTGCCGCCGCGGACTCCACGAGAGAGGCTGGGCGCCAGAGGTGTCGGGTGAACAGGCAGTGACGGCCATAACGGCGCTGATCGAGGTCAGGGCCGAGGATGGCGACGCTGTCGGCGGTGGCGATGATGGACGCCGCGAAGCCGAAGAGTGCGTCGGGTTTGTAGGAGACGGCGGCCACGCAGCCGACGCGCGGCACGCCGGGAAGGTCCGTCTCCTCACCGCAGGTGGTGGGCAACATCGTGGGGATGGCGGGCGCCGCGGTGGCACTCGCGCTGTCCTTCGCCGTCGTCATGCTGTGGTGCTGTTTGCTCTAGAGAAAGTGGCGCCGAATGCATCCATACATGTACGCCGCCTGGCTTGGAAGTGGAGAAGCAAAAGAAACCGAAAGGAAGATGTAATTCAGCGGAGGCTGACGGAGTGCACCACATCGCGTCACATAAAAGGTCTTCGGAGGGTGCTGCCTCTTACTTCGAATAATGCTTCTTCTTTTTTTGCGGCAGAGAACAGACAAAACCACACTCGCAAAACGGCGAATCCCTCGGAGTCAAGCTCCGGTGACTGTCGCCAGTAAGTGTCAGTGATTTCTTCCACTTAATAAATCGTCTAGGTATTTTGGTTCTTTGCTGCCCGTCAATTCTGTGGGACGAGGTACTCACGCAGCTACAGAAATAGACGAATCAACAGTTATACAAGCAGCAAAACGCGACCGCAACAGCAAGAAAGGTTTAAGAACTTAGAGCAAAAGCAAAAAAGGCTAGCATTAGCGATTGCAAGCTCAGGTGTTTAAGTAACTAAAGCGTTAAAGATTGTGATTGGGTAGAGAGAGAGAATATATATATATATATAACGTGTCTTGTATCTTTTGGCAATATAAATAGTGAATTGTACATACGTAGGAAACAATCCAAACGGCAAAGCTTCACAGTCGTACCAAGGCGGCGCCGATAGACGACAGCAATGGAAGCATCCTCTGGAGCCTATTTTTTCGCACCATAAACTTCTTTTCGTGCTCTTAGTCTCATTGGATTAGCCTACCTTTTTGGCAGCCGCACTCGCGGCGGTGTCTGCCACCGTCTTAGCGGCGTCCTCCGCATTCATCTTGGCAATTCGCGCCTTCACCAGCTTTCCCAGCTCTTCCTTCTCCGACGGGCGATAACCCAGGTAGAACAGAAGCTCCAGCCACACAAAAAACACGGCAGCGTGAATGGCCTGAAACGGGTCTTCCGTAAACGCCGGCTGGCGACCTTCCGCGTATGTGTGTGCGAATATCTGCGCTGTCCAGCCAAGAAGATGCACGGCAATACTGCCGGGGACGTGGTGGATGAGCACCTGCGAGCCGAGGTACTCCATGGCGCCGATGACCGGTGCGTAGAGCGCTCCGGCGACGGGCTCCATCTTCAAGAACGAAATCGCATAGAACGCGGCGACAACGTGTGAAAGGTTGACCTTGTCCGTAATCGGAATGCGCGCAACGAAGCTCATGGCGGTGGTGAAGATGGCCGGGACGAAGATGACGTGCACCAGCTGGTTTATCGGTGTGTGGTGGTAGGACCCGTAGAAGACAAAGCTCTTCTTGAGGTTGAAGTAGTTGTCGAGGTAGGCGAGCATTGCTGGAGAAGAAAAAACGATAACTAGTAAAACGTTCTGCGATATTTGTTGAGGGGTGAGCCGAAGGGTTTTGAGGATCGACCTTGTTGCTGAGTGCTCTCAGTAGTAGCTGCGAGGGAATTACCGCGACGATGAAGCACCAAAAGGTATAAAAAAAAACAGTAGAGAAAAAAATAGAAGTGTACAACAATCATGAGAGGAGGCGTGTCAACACAAGTGCTCAGCATGCACGTCTGCAGAAAGCGGCAATTCGATTCGACGTACACTCCACCGTAACGCATAGAGCCACTGAGAGAAAACAAACTTCTTCATTGCTTTTCACACTGTATATTTAAATGCCAGTACTGCACCTTCGTGTTGATGTTTTTTGTTACCGTTGATTCGTGTTGTGGAGTATCATGGCCCGTGACGACGTGAATAGACGAGTAGCTAATAACGAGGTGGGCTGACGGCGTTAGAACGGGGATGAAAAACTGTTCCACTATACAGCACGGATTGTGACAGATGATGTTGCTACGAAGAAAAAGGAAAAAGATAAGGAGTACGCAAAAAGGAAGCGAAAGCTAACGCTACAACCAGCACCGACATGCACACACATACACAGGCACGAAAATGGCTCTCATACCTGCAAGATACAAGTCACCGAGAAAGTCGATTAAGTCGTTGAATCACACACGTTCAACCTTCTTCAAGTCCATCAGCTTGTAGCCGCTGCATCGCAGGGTGGTCTTAATGTTTGCTTCTGCCTGTGCCTCCTTTCGGCGCAGCTGCGCGTTCGCAAAAGCGTCGGTGGCGGCTTGGATGTTGCGCAGACACCTGTTCCACCACATCCGCAAGTGAAACATCGTCTCCGTGTGCAGCGTGCTGCGCGACTGCGCCAACTGCGACTCCACCTCCTTGTCTCGCTCAATCATCTTCGCATAGAGCTCGTCGTACGAGTTCGGTGCCGTAAAGTTCGGCACAACAGACATGCGGTCCTGCATCGCGAGCCGGTTCCGCTCCGTAATTCGATCCAGTTGCGTCTGCTCCTCCTCCACGCGGGTGCTGATGCTCTTGCTAAGAAAGAAGTACACGAGGGACACGCTGAAGGCACCGACGCCCATGGAAACTGTGAAGACTTGCAGACGACGGGCGCTGATAAACGGCTTCGGCTCCACGTAGCTCTGCAGCAGCTCCGGTGCCTCCGAGGCCGATGGAATAAACGTCGACGCCGGTGGGTTGACGGTGTGGACGTGCTTGTACGTTGGCTGCTGCGTTGCCGGCGTGGCGGTGGTGGGGTCCGCCGTGGGGACGGCTTCCACGTCTTTTTCGACTGGTTGAATGTCGTGAGTGCCGGCAGCCGCGGATGCAGCCGCGACTGCAAGACGCACAGCGCCTCGACGCATCATCATTTTGGGTATGTGTGCGTTTGTAAGGGGGGTTCTCTCTTATTCTTTTTAATAAGTTTGAATTGCGGATGTACCACCAAAGCAATGCTGTGAAAACTGGAAGGTGAGAAAAACAAGAAAACAACAAAAAAGAAGGGAGAAAAAAGTTGGTGTGATTTCATCCGCTGCGTTGTACACTTCACGTGCATCCCCCCACCCCACCCCCCAAAAAAGAAGGCACGAGAACCTGAAAGCAATTCGAGAGAGACGGTTTTTTGGGGTAGCATCCAATGAAAACAACAAAAGAACTACTTTATTTGGGGGACTTTTAAAGCACTTCCGTTTTCATTCTACTGGCGAGCAACTCCCGCTGAGGCTCACTAGGAGAACAAGTCGATAAGAGAGCATACGATGCACAGAAGAAAAAGAAAGAAGAATCCAAATCTACTACAGGTCTGAAAAGCGAGAGAGCGAGAGGAAGAGCAGCGTTTGCATTGAAGCAGACACAAATCTTTTTTCACCGTCAGATGTTCCACGGCGCGCGACACGTCGGACACTCCTGCTGACCTTCCTCCTTCTCGAGAGCGCGAGTGATGCAATGCAGGTGAAAGGTGTGGTGACACGGACTCGTCAGCACGGGACAGTCGTCACCGGGAACGCGGCAGGCAGGACAGGCTGCCTCGTACTCCTGGCGGCAGATGCCACACGTTTCGCCCTTGCAGTCCCACATCCATTTGGCAACGAGGTGGACGCTCTTTACCTTCACGTCCATCCTTTCTTGGACACCGCTAAGGTGTATCAACGGACTCTAAATGTGCGATTGCACGCTGCAGATGGGGGCTGAAGTAGCAAAAAAGTAAGGTGAAGAGAGAGAGAAGACCAGACTGGACGAGACGAGGGAGAAAAAGAAGACAACACACATCATTGCCTCAGAGCGCATCAGATGTATTCGAGCTTCATGGCAGCAGCACAGAAAGATCAACGGGTGTCGTAGTGACGCAGCTCAGTATACATGTTTTCTTTCCTCTAAATCCAAGCTCTTCTTCTTTGGTTTCGTGCAGTTGGGGAGAAGGTCTAGAATGTCTAACAGAAGAAAGGGATGTACAGATGAAGGAGGAAGAGACGAAAAAGAAAAGGAGAGAGTGGGAAGCCACTCTACAAGGCTAAACGTCTTGAGCAGAAAAGGAAAACAGAAAAACAAGGGAAGATAAAGATCGTTGAATATCTAACAGGGGGGGGGGGAAGAACACATCACGAAAAAAACAAGGGGAAAAGGGGGGTTCTACGCACAAAGGAAAACCTTTGAAAACAAGAAGCTTTCTAAAGTAGAGCACGTTTGATCCACAATTAGAACGTCAGGACTGTTGTGCGCGTTGCAGCCGAGAAACAATCTGTGCAATTTCTGACTCCACAAGCGGCGACACCATCGAAGAACGGCGATCAGAAGACGGTCCTGCTAGCTGTGAGAGGTCATTCGATGGGAGAGACAGCGCCGGACGTGCCTCAGGGACGCTAGATGGCGCCGAGCCCGGCTGCGACTTTTGCATCGGTTTTGTCGATCGTGCAGGTGGGTGAAACAAAGGCACCGGCGGACGCTGCAGAGGGAGACTCGTTTCCGCCGGCGTTGCTTGCGCGGACAATAACGGCGAAAACGTTGCCACATACATGGGCTGCTTGTTCTCTGCTTTTGACGACGCGGACGGCACTGCAGGGGGCGCGACGGCCACGCCGCTTTCTGGTGCATCGACCGCGTTCGTGGAGTCGTCGTCCACCACCACGGCCACCTTCGGCAGACTGCCCGGTTTGCGGCCGAACAAGGAAGTACGCGTCACAAAGTAGCTCGTGTCGGCCGCAGGTGCCGAGGACGGCGAGGAAGAACGATCGAGGCTGGTCGAAGGCTTCGTCTCGCCATCCCCCGCTTGAAAAGCCGCAGGGACGTCCGCCGCATTCAAAGGGTTCGATGTCCGCCGCGATTGTGAAGCTTGTGCACGCACCCGCGAGCCGATTTCGTTTACCCGCTGCACAAGACGCGGCGCTAGCACCACTGTGCGATCGCGTGCGGCGGCCACCGCTGCAGAGGGGTCGGACCGCGTACTATCGCTGTCGTCGCCGTTGCTGCCGCTGTCTAGCGTCTCCTCACCACCCCAGACGAGGTAGCGCTTGCGCCTCCTGCCGCTCTTCCGATACGGACCCGCCTTGTCGGTGGCACTGCCGCGGCTTCCATCTCGCCCTTTAGTGTGTTCTTCGGCAAAAGGCCGTGCCCGGTGCAGCCGTCGCTGCTCGTTCAGCTTCATCTGCTTGAGACTCTGTGTGCGGTTTGCCTGCATCATCTCGCCAATCGTGGTGGCCGCCGTCAGCAGTCGATCCCGCTGCTGCACACACTGCTGGAGGTCCTGTCGCAGTGGAGCCTGCATGACTTCGCGCAGCTGCTCGATTTCACCCGGCGTGGGCCCGTCGGGGGCGAAGAGACTCGGTCGAAAGGTGTACGTGTCGGGGGTCGCGGTGGGGATGGCGTCCTGCCGCGACGGCGACGGCACCACGGGTAGGAAGGCGAACAGCCAATGCACCACACACAGCACAAGGTATACAATCGACAATACGAGCGCGACGTTCGTCCCGGTGAGTCGGGTGTGGGCTTCGTAGAAGTAGCGACTGCCGCAGCTGCGCAGGCGGGCGGTGCACAAGGAGGCATCGGCTGCGTCCAGCACGTCGCACCGTATCGTGTGCCGTCGGCCGTGAAAGCGGAAGAGGACGTAGGCGGCGAAGGCGCACGCGATGGCACTCAACACAAACTGTATTGCCTGCAAAAGGTAGTGAAAACAAGGCCGGACACCGCCCAAGGCGAGATAGCGAGCGGCGAAAAAAGTGATGAGCACGCTGTCCACGATCGCGGCAAAGACACAGCACAAAGTGACGATAAGGCAGTTGCCCGGCGACGCCGGCTTTCCGTAGAGAAACCTGTTTGACAGTTTCGAGTTGAAGCTGTCCGACGCGGTGCCAGCCAGCATGGCAAAACAGCTCCTACTCTCGCTACTACCTATTTCACTACTACTACTACTGCTGCTGCTGCTGACCATGTCGGCGTCTGGCGCGGCACACTGTCTCGTGACGGAGTCAAAAAGGCACGCACCTGTCGTTTTCGTCGCGTAAATAATAAACGCTAGCCCGAAAAAAAGTGTAATAAAACCCAGCGGAACGCCAGCCATCAGACGCAGCCGGACCACACCAAAAAGTGGATGCAAACCTTGCTTTACTACAACGCCAAAGCCCACGTCCGTTTGGATTAGATTTGGGTAAAAGATTCCGTCGAACGGCAGCTTGTTGCCCGCCTTCGTCAGTGGCGAGTTGCTGTCGTCCGTCGTGGCATCCGTCCTTGGCACCACCACCGTCACGTGCTTCTGCGTCGCGGTTGTGGTAGGTCCTGCGGATGCATCCTCGACTTCAGAGAAGGCGTTCACGCGCTGCCGCCACGCGTCCAGCTTTGCCTCCATCGCCGCCTTCTTTTCCTTCACAGCGGCCTCCGCCTCTTCGCGGCGTCGCGTCCGCCGCTCCGTCTGGCGTTCTTGCTGGCGGGTGTGACGACGGTGCTCGTGCCACGCGGCGGCAATCTGACGCACAGGGCGTGAGAGCGTCAATGGGCACCACACCTGCTGCTTTGTGTCGTAACTGAGCGCGATGAGCACGCGACGCAGCGGCGCAGAGGCTTCGTCGCCGTGGGTTTCCCCGCCTCCTGACTCAGCGTTGGAATTGTCGTGGAGCGCTGCGGCGCCGGCGGTGGCGCCGTCACGCCGCACGCGTCGCCGCACCTGTTGACGCTTCGCGCAAAACGACGAAGCTGCCTTTCTGTTCGACGACACAACGAGCACATCCACGCCGCTGTGGTTTAAAAACCGCAGAACGGACGAGAACGGAACTTTCAGGCGGGACTTCGTGACCGCAGAGGACGGCGACACGGCGTCCGCCTTCGCGCCATCCGGGTCACTTTCCCCTCCCCCGTTTCCTTCGCTTTTCTCCACATCTGCCGCGCAGTAGCGGAGCAGTCCGCGCACCAACGCGTTGTAGTGCGCCACGCTACCCCACAAGGCAAAACTGACGGCGAGTAAAACGTTATCGAACACGACGAACGTGTCGCGGAAGTCTTCGACGTGCACTGCACGCGGCGGCCGTTGTCGATCAGAGGTGTTGTTCACCGCCTTCGCGGGGGTTTCTCCCGACTTCTCCTGCTCGGACACCGTCTTAGGTCTCTTCACCCGCCCCGCGCGGAGGGCGGATTGCTGAATAACGGGTAGCGGTTCTGCGCGGCCAAGCAGCTCGTGTCGCAGCAGTCGCAGCTTCACCATCGTGGAGGGCACATCACCCATGGTGAAGGCACCGGTGCAGGCGATATTCTTAACGTCCGACTTGTAGTAGTCGGTCTGCTGGATGAGGGGTGCGAAGCGGACGGGAAAGTCGGCTTCATCGGACGATGAAGCCGACGGGCTTGGTGGCGGCGGGGGAGACGGCACGGACACTGGAGGGGGTGGTCGTGGTGACGGCGGTTTCGGTGGGTGTTGAGGCGCAGAGTTGGAAGAGGATGAATCAGAGGAAGTATAGTCGTTTCTTTTAGGGTGCGTCGCTTGGGCCGCTGCATCAGGGGCGGGGAGAGCGGTGGGGGCTGACGGCTGCGGTTGCGATGACGGCTGCGGTTGCGATGACGGCTGCGGTTGCGATGACGGTGGTGGCGGAGGCGGTAGCACGACGGGCGCGGTAAGCGTTGCAGGCTGCTGCGCTTCGTGCACAGCGGCAGAAGAAGTAGAAGGCTTTTCCTCGTCGGCATTGTGCTCGAGAGCGGAAGGGACCGCCGCAACGATGTTAGACGGCGCTGTCGAGGTGCTGCTGCTGCTGCTACTCGCTGCCAACAAGGCAAGTGGAGTCTGATAGGGGGTCGTCTTGACCGTCGAAGGTGGGTTGGACTGCGTCGCGGCAACCGGCGTCAGTCCTGCCAAGTCGTTGGAGCTGCGTCGCGTGTTGCGCGGCAAATGCACCGGCGGCCTCTCGGGCGGGCTCGGCAGGTGCTGCGTGGGGAACGCGGAGTTCCTCCCATCCGCCCCGCGTTGCGACTCTGAAAACGGGGTCGCCGTGGCGGACGCGTGGGTGTCAACGCTGCTGTTCGGTGACGGCAGGATGGGAAAGCGGAACGTGTTCAGTGACGGCGCCGGCGAGCGATTCGGCGTGGCGCCGCGTGCGGTCATGGACGGCTCCAGCGGGCTGCGATCCACCGTGGTGGCCGTCGTGCTGGCCATCAAATTCGAGGAGCGAAGATGCGGCAGCTGCTGCTTTGTGGCGTTCGCGACGACGCCGCTGCGAATGGCGGAGTGGGGGTCGGAGGGCGCCGTCGTGTGGTCGGCGGCGGCTGGCAGCGTGGGAGGGGGGACGGGGCTAAACGAGTCCCCGAGGCCGGACGCAGAGGACGGCGACGGGACGTACAGCTTCGTGTCGTTGTTGTCGTGAGGGCCCGTCGGCGGGCCGAGGCCGTAGGTGACGGGGCGCGGCAGCGGCGGCGACGACGGCGTCAGCTCCAAAGGGACAACCGACGAGTCTGGTCCGGGGGAGTCGTAGCCGACGGACACCATCAGCCCCACTCCGCTGGCGGGGCTCGACTCGCCGGTGTGACGCTGCAGGCGGCCGCTCTCTAACGACTCTATCGAGGTGCCCGCCCCGGCGCCCTCCGCCATCGCCGCAAATTCAATCGGGTGGTACGAGCGCTTCTGCGAGTCTTCAAAGGCGACGGAGAGGAGGGAGTTGCTGTCCGACATCTCATGCATGTTGTCGCGGGCATCCATCGCGTACATGTAATCAGTGTGGTGCATCCTCGCCGGAACCAGCGAGGAGGAGACGGCGTTGGATAACGTAATGCGAGAGTTGCCGCTGGCGTAGTAGTTGGAGGTGCCCGCCTCGGCGCTTTCCGCGGAGGCACCGCCGTTTTCGGTGCCCGAGGTGGGGGAGGCAGAACCGCGGCGATCGTCTGATGAATTGATGACCTGGAAGGAGAGCGATGGGTAGGGCGAGGTGCCCCCGCCACCGCTGGTGCTGCTTCTACTCATGATGAAGGGTGCACCTTTCATGTTTTTATTATTTGGTATGTGTGTGTGTTGTATGTCGAGGTCAAAGTGAAAGAAGAAAAGTGTGGTTCCGCGGAAATAAGAGTTTTTTTTCCTTTTTAGGCTACGCTAACGTTCGCACAACTTGTGCAGCAGTGGTGTGCTCCGTCACGTACAGCCGCACTACTCCGGGGAAGTGCACCGCCACCCGCGAATCTCCGATAACCTACGAATAAATGTGCACCCGACTGGTCCATAATGAAGCACGCTTATTATTATTATTATCTTTAAAGATGCAAGTAACCGTTTTTTCCCCCAAAGTATCAGCTGATACGCGTGTATGCTTCTGCAAAGAAAAAGATGCAGGAGTTACAATGATGGAGTCGAACGGAGGGAAAAACACCAAACGAAGGAAGCGAATCACAGGAGAGCCTTTGCAGACTCGATGGAGCAAATGGGGAGATAACAATTAGAGCGCTCGATGGAAGTCGGGATGAAAAGCGAAGCAATGAAGCGGTTTGGGCAACAACAAGAAGAAAAACACATGAATACAAACCGCAAAAGAATAAAGAGGATCGCGGCGGTGGGGTGGATAAGAGAATACTAATACCAGTCTACACGAGAAAGGCTTTTTTTTCCTTGGCTACGTTGCACCATTGCCTTCGTCTTTGTCGACGTCTTCAAAGCCGCAGCCGCTGCCACTGCAGCTGCTTTCCGCGCTCTCCATATCCTCGTTGTCGTGGGCCATGCTGTAGTGCGTGTTCCCATACAGGTCCTCCGCAAACTCGAGAAACGATTTGTAGTCTAGCGACGCGGCTATGTAGCTCGTGCACAGCATCCGATATGCGTTCTCCGACGAGTTCCACTCCTTCTGAATTGCCGCAACAAGAGAGGAGAGGACATCCGCTGCCTTTTCCTCTCTCGAGGCGACGAAGTCCTCCGCGATTTCCTCAATCACCTCCGCGTACTGTTGAAAGAGTTGATAGAGCTGCAGACCGCTTCTGCTGTCGGTGTCATCAGCACCGCCTGTTGCCACCAGCGCGAAGGTCTCGTCGTTGTCTTCGATGAAGCGGCGTATGCGCTCCGTGTTTTTCCCTTGAGAGAAGAACTCGTCCATGTCGCGAAGGAGGGCATCATCGGCGTAGTCGAGAGGAGAGTGCTCGCCCTCCTCGAGGCCACCGAAGAAGCTGTTCAGTGCCCCTTGAAGTCCCTTGTCCTCCGACATGGAAGCGTCACAAGAACAAGAGCAACAACGAAAAAGAGCTACAAACCGGGGAATGGGAGAGAACACAATGACAGATGGATGAGTAAGAAAGGAAAAGAAAACACGGTTGAGCACGTTTGAGAGATGAGGGAAAGCAGGTTACAGACCGAGAAAGAGGTGGCGCACTCACATTAAAAGATGGTCTGAGCGACGGAAAAGGGAGTCCGAAGTGTCCCAAACGCACAAGACGGCAAGTGGGGATGTCCTGCTTTGGGAAGAGCTTTTCTCTTTCAATCGCACAGATTAGCCGCCTTCACATCGCGTAGAAACGCACAGCGGTGAGAATCGGCCATGATACTAGGAGGAGTCTCAAAGTGTGGGTTGAAACACATGCTGCGATAGTGACCAGTCATGTGCTGCTCTTTTTCCTTTTCTCTTGCTTTTCACGTTTCTGACATAACCTCTATTACCAAGAAAGACGAGATTTATTAGTCGCGCGCATGTCTGAAGAAAAAAAAGAAGGAATTCAAGGAGGAGGTCAGAGATCGCCTTCAATGCTTTCCGGGAAGCACACAACACACACACGTTGTCCTCGTTCATTGGATCGCCAATTCTCGCTGCCGTCGGAAGCAGCCGTGGCACGACTAAATCGTTAAAGATTTTTTTTTTAAGGTGCTCCACCAACAAACGGAAGTGAAAACACCCTCACGACTTCCCAATGCGCAGTACGAGCAGAGAAGTGGCAGAGGTAACCGCAACGATAAACACACTACGCAGCCTCTCACCTCCTCGTTTCCCCTCGTTTAAGAAGAGCTTCATCTGCTGTACGCACAAAGGCGAACCGGCAGAGGAAAATGTAAGAAGAAAAAACCGTAAACGAAGACCCGTTCCGCTGCGTTTGTGCGCACCCGACAGGCAGCACACGCGTCCGCGTAGCAAAAGTGCGCCTCCTTCCTCCGTTGCATTCTCTCTTCCATGATTTCAGCTCCATCACACGATCTTAGGCGTCAGAACAGCGCACTGCACACACACACACACACATACACACACAGACACTCACAAACAAAAGAAAGAACACGAGAGCTGTAACAAAAAGAGAGGAGAAAACCCTGATTGAAAGCACCACGTGCCATCATGGACAACAACACTGTGAGGCGCTACTGTGTGCAGTTGGAGTGCTCTCGATTGTTCTCATCGGCAATGCAGATGGATGCTCTTTCACCTTCATACTTACCCTGGCCTTCGCACCAACCCGGCTCTCCTTGTTCAACTCCCCTTGATCAGAAAGAGGGTACATAATTAGCCAAAACAAAAAACAAAAATAATAAAAGTAAAAAAGAAATAGATTGATGGGAAGCACTTCGCACGCTCTCCCTTTCCTCGGCCCTTGTCATGTGGAAGACATGTGCCGAAAGACACGAGGAGGAGAAAGAGATCCACGACAAAAAAAAGGACTGGAAACAAACAGACGAAACAAATTCTCCTGCTGTGCCTCCTTTCACCCGCCGTTAGTATCCTTGATTTCGCCTTCTCTCCTCTTTTTCTTTTTCTTATGCGTTGAGGTCACTCAGGTCGGCCGCCGGTTTCTCACCCTCGCCACCCTCTTCGTCCTCCTCCTCTGCCGGCTCTTCATCGTCAGAGTCGCCCTCCATGCCTTCCATACCACCCATACCTCCCATTCCACCCATACCGCCAGCACCACCCATGGCGCTCATCATGGAGGCCATGTCCATGCCGCCCATGCCTCCCATGCCTCCCATGTCCATGCCGCCCATGTCCCCGTAGCCGCCGAAGTTCGCCGCGGCGGCGTTCTCGTCCACCTCGTCGTCCTCGTCCTTCCACAGGTTCCAGTCCGCAGAGAGCCACGCCTTGGTCGCCTTGGTCGGTTCATCGACCAGCCGGTTCCAGTAGCCCTCCTCCTTCTTTATGGCGCATATCTGGATCGCGACGCCGAGGACCTTGTAGGTGGAGTCAGCTGGCACAATCTCCTTCAGCAGGTGCAGCTCGTCCTTCAGCTCGTGTGCCTCGCTGCTCTTCGCGGTGATGCCCTTGCCGGAGATGGCGATGGACTTGTCGGTGAAGGTCACCTGCACGTCGGTGGCGCTGCTCGCCTCCACGGTGATGAAGAGGCGGTCATGACGCTCTGCCCACTTGGTCGGAAGATGCGACATTTTCCTTTTTGTTGTTGTTGGTTTGTGTGGACTGGTATGCGCTGGCTGAAGAACTCACCGACAACGACGGAGAAGGTCGGAGGAGTGAAGTCTGAATTAATTATAAAAGAAATGGGGTGAAGAAACGAGTGTGCGAGAGACTTTTCGCTTGTGGGAACAAATCTGGTGAAGTTCGGAGGAGCAGTGTTCAGCCGTCGTGGAAAAAAAAAAAGCAGCAAAGCGCACAGGAGCAATAACAACAATAAATGAGAGCAAACGAAAACGCAGGAGAGAGAGAGAGACAGAATTACCGGTGCATGATACACCATCACAAAGGAAAACGGCACGGAGAACAGCAGCAGAGTGCGAGTGTTTTTCTTGTAAGTGACCATTACACAACCACAAACGAGGTCTGTCGTTGTACACTAACAAAAAACAGAAACGCTGCCTTTCAATCTCGCATGTCTGAGACACTACTCCCGAGGCTACCACATTGGCTTTGATGATAAGAGAGTGCCGTCTTCTTCTCGAAACGACAAAAGATGTGTCAGAGACAACACCCGCGTGCCACCAAAGGCAGCCTGGAAAGAAAAAAAAAGGTCACCAGTACTCACGCCGCAACCAATAACAACTCTTTTATCCGACGTCAAACACACGTTACGTAATCGGCATCTTTTTTTTTCCCGCACGCAGAAGCGCAGACCATCACTTGGTCTTAAATGAATTTGGCGTATTTTCTTTTTTCTTTTTAATCACCCAGCGATGCTGCGCGTTCACCGTGTGCGAAACCCCCAAACAAAATACCAAACACCCATCCACCTCTGAGGAGCAACAAGAGGCGCTGCGATCGCCCTCGAGACGAAATCAGCACGTTCCACCCATGAAGCGTTCCCACCCACACGTGAATACCTACGCTGTGGCAGCCTCACGAATGTAAAGGATGTTGTTGTTGCGGAGAAGCATCTCGCCCAGCTCCGTGTCTTGCTTGGCATGCTCTACCGCATCGCGAAGTTGAAGGTTCATGAAGGTGTCACAGCTGACCAAGTTGCCCTCGTACACGGGACCCCACTTGCTCTTCACCAGCACCTTCTTGCCTACAAGGCCATGCAGAAATGCTCCGGGGACGTTCGCCTCCATTGCCGAGGAACGCTATGGGAAAGGTGAAAATATGTGAAAGGGGGGAAAACGAAGAAGTCAAGTGAAACAGTACCCCGACAGCAATGGTGAACGATGCGGACTACAGTAAATGCACATTTGCGTGTGCGTGTGTTTGTGTGAAGAAATTGAAGAACGGAAAAGCATGGGAGAATAAAAAGGGAGAGAAAGATGCGTTGAAGCCAATTCAAAAACATGTGTTTTGAATGTGAGGAGGGAGATCACAGCAGTCAAAGGAATCACACACCGTCACTGGTGTCCTTGGTGCCACCCCAGCACAGAGATTCCGCTTCAGGTTGGTTCCTCCCGGCAGGGATGTATCATTCCTGAATGCACGACGACTGCAGTAGAGTTCTGGAAAGAGAAACAAAGAACCACACCTAATGGAAGTGCGTTAGAATATTTGAGGCGAAAAAGTTTTCGTCTTCTCTGATGAGTAAATATAAAAACAACTATAAATAAATACAGGTAGACTAGCTTTGCAGTAGCAAGGCACTGAATTGGTGCTGTTGAAACACAGATCTGAGAGCTACAAAGAAGGACGGCAAACGGGATCCGTCGTTGAGTGAACAGGACATAAAAATGAAGCGCCCAGTTTTTGTTCTTCTCAGTAAAATGAGTTTTTATTTCTCGTTTATTGCCAGAAATCAGTTTCTTTCTTGGTGTGCCGTTAGAGAAGAGACGAAAGAAATTTGGAAAAGCAATTGAATAAAGACGAAAAACGGTACAGAAACACCGGGTTTTTGAAAAGAAAAAAAAGAAAAACGAAAGGAGACTCAAGGGGAAAGGCTCAATTACCTGTCGATAACTGTAAGAATTTTTACACCGCGGTAAAACGCGCCTATAGCGAAGGAAGAAAGAGAGAGAGAAAAAGGAGATACATATCACACGTAGATCAAAGAAAGTGTCGCGAGGCAGGGAGAACCCACTTCTCCCTGTGTGGCAAGTTAGTGACCCGTATCGTTGCCTGATGCCGCTGAGAAGAAGACAAGAAACAGAAAAAAACGCAAGGAAAGTAAAAACCCACAGCATCGAAGAAAAAAAACCTCTGCGCTTTAATACCTCCCTGGTGTTTTCCAGCAAGTGACAGTTGTAGTGGCACACTTCGCTCCATCTAATCAACGTTATCAAACTGTATAACAACACGCATCATGCCACTTAAACGAGTTTCTGCATCTACGCGGGGCCACATAAAAAAGAAAATATAGAGAAAACAGGTTGGTGAAAACAGAAAAAGGGACAAGTTAAAATAAAAACGTTTGAACCGGAACAGAAATAAAAGAACGGGAGACATATGAAGATATAGAGGGAATACAAACAAGGAAGATAAGGAAACATGTCAACTTGGGTCGGCATAGTTGCATACAGAAGCACGCTATCACGGCTTTTGTCGCTGAAGAGCAGGAAGAGATAGAGTTTTAGTACTACCAATTAAATAAATAGGACTGGGAGCTGCTGTGTAAGAACTAGAAGCGTTCGCTTTTGGAGCACCGATAAGCTTTTCAAAAGCGAAGTTACTAAGAATTGCCACAAGTATATATAAAAAAATATATATATATATAAACGCAGAAACGTTGAAAATGCATCTATTCCTTTGTATTACCGATATCTCCAGACACCTGTGTAGAAAAAAGTTTTTTATGCTCTTTTTTGATTTATTTGTTAACGAATTCCATTTAAGAACATTTTTTTTTACAGAGCTCAACCCGTACGCGCACGCAATTTTGCAGCAACTTCAATCTTAGCGGGAGCAAACACTAAGCGGTACGGAAAGCAATCAATACGATTTTGCGTAAGATCTTAAATGACAACGCGGTGCACCACGTGAGTCCCCCAAAAAAAGGTAGTTGATGCACCACTCAAAGCAATGCAATACTTAAAAAGAACACAAAGCGAAGAAAACGGCACCATTTTAGGCAGCGATTCTTCCCAGCGTTTCGCTGCGAGACGTGGCTCGGATCGCAGAAGCCCTTTTTTTTTTACCACGGTTAGCTTCCTTGTCCAATGCCTTCTATGTTGTTAGACACATCATTACCACTGCTTCAGCCTCGCACCAGAAAAAAAATAGGAGAAACCTCTATTTCGAATAGTGAACAGATAGAGAGCCGTTAGGTTTCTCAATTTTCTTTTTTTATATACTACATCAAGACGAATTTTCAGTTGGCAGTGAATGTGTAGGGTTTTTTTTGTTAGGTGAGTGCTTGGACTAGTAGAAGTCAAACTTTGAAAGAGAGGATATAACGTTCTTTTTTGTTGTTGTTGTTTAAGAGCGCTACCTGCTCGATTCGGTGAGCCGTAAAGGAAACAACCAACCATGAACGTCGTTAGACGGAATTGCGTTTTGTTACCGGAACGTCATCGACTCGAGCTTTTGAAAAGGAAAAAAAGGAGTACTGTACACACCTTTTTCTATCCTCTCATTCTCTGCTAGTTATCCACTCTTCTGCTTACATAGAATTAGAGCGATAAATATATATCGGTTACGTCACAGTACGTACATGTGTGTTGTGATGCGTGGATGCGAGCTACAGAAAGACAAATGAATAATAGTAAACTACTGTCAGTTGTCCAATCAAAACAATAAAAAAAGAAAAGAAAGAAGACGGAAAACATCGCGAGAGAAGAAAAAAAAACCACCAACACGGGAGCTTGACAGGAGAGAGTCAGAGGCTCACGTGAGGAGCATTACAGGCTACATAGAGGAAGAGAAAAGAAAAATAAAAGTCAGGAGTAATGAGCACGAGTCCGAACGAGTTCGACTTTATCGAAGGCAACCAAGTTTCTCTAGCGCAATTTGAAAGACACGGAGATATTCCACGGTAATATTAAACAGGAAAAGCGTGATACATTAATAGCATTTATAAAAAAAAGATGAATGAAGATAGCTCGTAAGGTGGACTTTTGAAAGTTAAAAACGAAACAAAACAAAGATGAGGAAGATCATCCGTGTAGTTGTTAGTCGTGCATCAACTCTGGGGTAATATGGCCCTCTTCGATTATACATATATATGTAAAAGGAGCAAAAAAAAAGCCGTAGGCACATTTGTTGTCCCCCCACGCAGCTACCAGAAAATGAACCGAAAAAAAAAAAGCAAAAGAAAGAGGCAAGCGAATTGGTCAATAAGGCTCGCAGAAAGGGGAAAAACAAAGCAAAAAAAGCAAGAGCTTTACTCTGCACAGAAAAGAACAAGTAAAAAACAAAAAAAAAACTCTTTTAATTGCTCCGTGTCAAGCCTTCGCCTGGAAAGGTTCGTGTCCGATCTAGGGCCTAACCAAATCTATACTTCGCTCCTAAACGAACCAACAGAGGAAATGAAAAAGAGGTGCAAACCGTCAAGAACATTCGGAAAGAAGTGGGTAAAAACGGTAAATGAAGAAAAAAAAGCCATTTGCTTCGCTGAGAATAAAGACTGAGGTAGAAATTTCGCTAAAGAAACGCCCAACGCGTTACCAACACACGGTTTAATTGAGGAAGAAATAAAGTAAATAAGTATAGTAAAGCAAACGAGAGCGAAAACCTTTTTCTTTTCAAATCCCATCATACCAAAAAAAAGGGGTGAGAATGTTCTACTTTGCTGATGCAGTCCGGTTTGTTCTTCTTGCAACCAAAGATGGTAAACAGCGGGAAAACAGCAAAACAACAAAGATATCCAATGCAGCCTCTCTTGCAAACCTCTTCCTTCTCCCATGTTCAGCATCTCGTCCAACGGTGTTCGCATATATACATATATATATGCAATCAAGTACCACAACATCTTGATTCTAACGCATAACGGTAGCGACTACCAAAGACACGTGCACATGCGCGCATGAACCACGGTCAGATGGGGAAAATGCTGATGACGTGTTATCAAAGGACAGGAAGAAGACGCTTAAAAAGAAAAAAAAAGTGGGATAATTATCACAAAGGTTAGACGACTGACTTGGACGCCAAGTAAAGACAGATATGTGAAGGAAAAAAAAGAGGAAACAAAAGGGGCTTATTATAACATAGAAGAAGAAAAAAAATGTGTAAAGACCAAGTAATGCAAGAAGAAGAAAAGAAAAAAAAAACATTAGCTGCAACAATTGCGGAAGAAGGAACAACATGACAAACTGATTAGCAAAATGTTTTGTATCTCTGATGCGGCGGATACAGAAACAACAGCAAAAGGGACGAACATGCGAAAAATAGTAATAAAAAAGAACATCCATAGAAGAGGGAAGAAGAGGAGAAAAATGATTTTTTGAGGAGAAAACTCAACGATCATCACAAAAAAGAAGAAGAAGAGCTAGCACAATTGTTTTATACAGAATAATGCGAGCAAAACGCCCACATCAATATACATATATACATTTATATATATACATATAAATGTATGAATTCGGCCAAGAAGTAGAAAATATAATTTTATGAAAGAAACGTTTTATTATGTTTACCAAAACAAATGAAAAAACGAGTTTCAAAAAGAAAAAGAGAAGAAACTCCCAAAAAAAAGGCACTTCATTAGCGCTGTTCTGCGAAACCCACGTAGTTGTATGTCTCTTTTGAAAGAAGTAAAGTGCTCAGACTCTCTTTATGCCATGTCTTTGAATGAAAAGAAAGGAAAAGAAAATGCAACTGAAGGTAAAAAACAAAAAGCGCAGATCAAAACACAGCTTACACTTCACAGGAGTGTCGCTATGTAACGCAAACGGTGAAGAAGAAAAATACAAAAAAAGAATAGTAGAGAGTTCATTTTTTTCTTTTCTTGACAAATATAAGAAAGAGAAGAGTTCAGTCCAGATACAAGCAGGAGATCGGAGGAAGGAAAAAAAAAAAGGACTCCTCTGTTTGCAAGCATCTGTACTGACAACTGAAAAGAGAAGCACACACACAAAAAGACAGTAGATTGCACTATGTGGGCACTGCCTCCCCAAGCACTCAACACACACACACACACACACACACACATGAAAGCTGTAGCAGCAAACAAAATAATAGTAAAAACGCAGATGATCGTTTTGCGGTACAAAACATCACAAGCAGAGTGGAAACCATCATCGGTTGTCTTAAGGCAAAAAGGGGGAAAAGACTAGCACTTTTTTTGATCAGAAATATAAATATACGTGTGTGTGTGTGTGCGTGTGTGTGATGTTGAGTGTCAGCAAAACAAAAGAGCGAAACATAAAAGGATAGTTGAGGAGAAAGCAAAATGAATGTATACGAGAGGGAAACAAACATCAAAAACAAGGAGAACAAAGAAGAAAATAGCATGAAAAATAGCGTGGGAAAGAAGAAGGTTTGATTTAGAGAAAAATAAAGGGAATCCCAAGGTCATGTTGGTGACGATCAACACAAATCGCAGGTGCACTTAGTCGAAGAGTGAAGATGGGATGGGAACCACTCATTATGAGGAAACAATAATCAAAATAATAACGTGAGAAGCAAGAGGAGGGACGAAGACGTGCTCTTATGCTCCGCAGCAACTCGATTTTTGCTTCACTGAGTCGTACACATTTTCACTGACAGTGAAACTAAATATCGAAACGTTCTCCGAAAACAAAAGAAAGATAGAGAGTAAAGATGTGGAAGAGGAGTAGAATACAACTCACTCTGGAACAGGGTATACGTGTATTAAGCGGTGAGAACAACGACAAAACAAAAGCATTTAAGGGGTGAAAACACACACAAACAGATAAACAAACGAGAAGTGTTAAAGTGATGATTACGAGTAGGTTTTCTCAGCGAAGTCACTCAAGGAAGATGAGTGGGAAAGAAAAAAAGCAAAAAATTCTGTTACACTGCTAAGTATTCTTTTTTTCTTTTTTTTATTGGCTTAGCTGTTTTTGCCGTCACTTTTACGTCTTTTGGGGGAAGAGCTGGGGCGGGCCACTGCAGTCACAGGATACACTGGTACAAAACTACGCACGAACGCACCCAAGGCACACACACACACACACAAATGCTTAAAAGAAAAAAAAAGAATGAAGAGTCACATCACCAGATTCCAACAGACGCAGAGAAAAAAAAAGAGAGAAAAACATGTCGAAAAACGAATAACAACGTAATTAAAGGAAGAATAGTAACAGAGGAGAGATGAAAAATCTGACGGATAGATCACTGCAAGCCTACCACAACAGTCCTCGCTTTAACTACGCGAAAACAAACAAACCAACAGAAATTCGATAAAACGAGGCAATACTGGTAAACACGGATCTTGTTCGAGTTGGAAGTCCAATTTTCATTTTTTTTTTAGAGAAAACCAAAGAGACGTCATTCCGCAACGCAGAAATGCTAATAATGATTAAAAAGGAAGGCGCGAAGGGGAAGGCCTATCAGCATCATGGCAGTGCAGAGTGCAGAATTTAGCACGCAAGTGTAGGTGTCCATACACAACGCAGATCTTTTTTGTTCGTTTTGCACTGACACACGCAAATGCATCAGCTCGCCGCGTCAAACCTCTTGAGACGCCTTTTGCTCGTCTTCTTTCTCTGGAAACTAGAACTGCTTTCACGTGCGTAGAACCAATAGTATTCCGTTTCCATTTTTCTTCTCTGCCGGAGTGAGGAAAATGAGTACACATGCCCGTCTATGTGTGCGGGCTGTTGTCTCATCGTTGTTTCCGCTATTCACCATAACCAATTGTGGGCATCTCTTATCAACTGGACGCAGAAAAAAAAGGGGTGCGAAAGAACGGAGTTATTCTTCTTCTTCTTCTTTTTTTTTGAAGGAGATCCGGTCTGGATCTTTTTCACGCTCGTAGACCATTCCAAGCGACTGGCGCACCAGCAACGGTGAAGCTGTTCATGGACGACGACTGACTGTTCGCGTACGGGATGATGTTCACCGCGGATTGCGAGGTGTGGCTGGGAACGGGCGTGCCCGGCTCTGCCGCGGCCATGTACGTCATCACCGCCGGTTCCACTGGGTGGTGGAGATCGGGGTGGAGAAAGCGGCACTTGCGACGGTTGCAGCGGCCGTTCAGGTAGTGGCGGCACACCTCCAGCGAGCGCAGCAGCGGCGGCTCGGCGCCGGGTTCAGCCGTTGACTGCGGAAGCTTGTTGACGGCCACCGTGCTGGACATGGGCACGTACGTTGTCCGCATCTGCGGCTGCTGTGGGGCCAACATCTGCGCCGCCGTGTACATGTCTGGCATTCCGTGCGACTGCTCCATCGGGAGCGATGAGCAGCCGGTGTTGGGTTGAATAAACATCGACATCGGAGCCGCGTTGGTGGACGGTTTGGCAGAAGGGACGAGGTAGACCACCTTGCCGTTGTTGTTCATCTCCATTGGCCGGTCCTGGCAGATGTAATAGGAGGGCCCGTTGGGTGTAAACGGCTGCTGGCCCTGCTGCAGCTGCGGCGGCGTTGAAATGGAGCGCATGTCGGGAACAGCAGAGGCGGCGGGGTAGAGAATGGTCATGGGCTGCATCGGAGGGCGGTTGTACGGCTCGGCGGCGTAGTACCGTACCGGCTCCATCGGCATGCTCTGCAGATACACAAGCTGCGACATGGGAGTCTGCGAGGGGAGGTAGTGTTGTCTGTGTAGGCTAGACAGAGTCTTCTTGGAAACGAGTCAGTAGAATATTTGGGAAAAATTGGCAAACTGTATTAAAAATAAAAATGCTTGTTTATGAAAAGAAAAGGGGCAGGAAAGCACAAACGAAGAAAACAGAGAACGGAATACGGCAGCCTGATAGACCACTGGAACAGCAGCAGCTTCTGTTTTCGCGTATTCGGGGGCGCGGCAGTAGAACAAAAACACACGTGCAAGGCTGGGATAGTGATGTTGCGGGTGGATCAAAAACAGGCAGCAAAAGCGAAAATATTTTTAAAAAAGGTAAACAAAATAAAATAAAAAACAGGGGGCTAGTTTGAAAAGAGGGGAGAAAAACAGACCAACGCGTATCACCGTAGAAAAGCGTGTGAAGGTGACCTACAACGATGTGGAGACGCACACACACACACACACACGAAAAGAAAAAGGGTTGTATCTACTAATACGGAAAAGGGGCTAAAGAACAGATTTGAGCGGGAGAGAACAGAAGCAATCACACCAGAAATTCGAGGTTAAGATGTAAAGAAAAGTCGAATAGAACACCAACACGCGAGGGACAAAGCATGCAAAAATAAAAACCAGCAAGTGAGAGGGCACAGAAACGCCAAATCGAGAAAAAAAGCGCGCGAGAAAAAAAAGTATAAGATGTTTTGCGCAACCCAAAGGAGGTTGAAAGGTGCTTACAAGGAAACCGGAAAAAGAGAAATACAAAAAAAAAGAACGATCTGTTGGCTTGTCCGCACAGAGAGACTGGGAACAGAGGGGGAGAAAACAACAAAAACAAAATAAAAAGAGTTATTGAAATGAACTCAGCTTTATTCAGTTTATTGCTGAAAATGCCTTCGTATTGAAGCTCATATCCGCTTAAATTACGAAGTGAGATGCGCTTTTTGAAGCCACTGAAAGAAAAAACTTTGGCTTTCTGAGATCTTTCGGAACTCCTCTTGTTTTCGGTAGATCCCGTACGTATCAACGGAAGACTTGAGAAGTCACTTTGTTGGTTTCCTGAAACTTTCGGACGAGAGAACTGTGTCGCTGTCAGAGCGTTACACGCCAGAATTGAGCGGAGAACTACGTGAAAGAAAAGCGCTTTCAGAGATGCACCTGTTTTATTCCGGAGTGATCGCTCGCTACAGAAGTGAAAGAGAGCAACAAGGGCGAAAAAAGGGCAGGAGTACAGAAAACGGCGAACACACAAACGGCAAAAGCAAGATGGAGTAAAAGATAACGGGAAAAGGATAAAGCAAATTTCTTTAGGATGTCAAAACACAACTCAGTTTCTTTTTTCCTTCTTTTTTAAAATAGAGGAAGATGTACGAACGGATTGAGCGCAATGGAGAGGGCTTGAACGCGTTTGAGAGTAGTCAGCTAAGGAAAACGTAAGCGAGCTATATGTGTTTATTCCTTTGTGGAGGTGACCAAGTATTCACAGATTTTAGAAAGAAAAACCCGTTTCCATAGAAGAATAGAGAAACCGCAGGGAGAGATATTGGCGAACAAATGAAACACGCCGTGAGACGTCGGAGAAGTTCAGCACGATAGAGACGAGTAGTGAGGGCTCGTCGATTTATGCGAGGGGCACACCGGAGCAGGGGCGGAGACGTCCAACGCGGCCTCTCCTTCCCTTTCTGGGACAGCGCTGTCCTTTCTTTTTCTCCATTTTTTTTAAATGCACCTTTGCTTGCGAAGACTGCGCGAGACAGTTCGAAACAGGTACTTGCGAATCGAGATGGAAAAAAAAAGAGTACGGATATTCAAGGGCGGTTCTTTGCACGTGCTTCGGTGATTCAAATCCTTGACAGTGGGAATTATCTATGCGAGCAGGACGAGGAGACACACACAACAATGGTAAAAACAGCAGTGAAACCAAAGCTTAACAAAAGCAAAAAAGAAAGGCACCGTGTCATGTAGAAGCCCACTGCGGGAGATGACAACAAAGGGCAACGCACGCGGTAGAGAGGGGGCACACGCAGTACAACTTACTAGTGTTCATCACGAGGTATGAAAGCTGTAGAAGGCAGCCCGGCATCGTGTCCTGTCTCTCGCACCATTCGACTGCGCTGCAACTGACGACGCAGCGCGACAGCCGCCTTGTTCTCCGCCCGCACCGACAGCAAAAACTCCGTCAGTTCGGAATGCAGAAGCGCCTGCTGCTGCTCCACCTTGGGGTCGCAGAACGCAGAGACGAGGCTGCCGCTCTCGAAGGCGCGCTGGCGTTGAAGGTGCACGATTTGTTCTCGATTGCGCGCGCGGAGACGCCCTGCGAGACGGCGAGCGAGCTCGTCGTCATCCACGAGTAGATGCTGGATCTGCTGCTCCGTACAAAGTCCATCTTCCTCTTTATGTCCAGTTGCGTTCACGGACGCAGGAGCGGCCAAGTTGGGCATCTTAGAGCTCTGAAGCAGACGCGCGTAAAAGCAGAGCGGGTACAAAGACTCGTCGAAGAACCTACTGCTGCCGCTTGGCGTGCTGTCCGATGTCGCATCCGCTCTGCTTCCCTCACCCGACGAGGGTGACTCGTCGTGTTGTGGCGACGGTGGCGGCAAAGGCACCGAACACGCGTGCCGCTCAAACGGGTTGTAGTCGACAGTGGCGTCGATGAAGGACGGCGGGGCAGCGAAGAGGCAGTGAATTCTTTCGCCCCACAGCGCGTATGCCTCCGGGGCGGTCAGGTCCACCGAGGAAGCGGACATGGAGAGGACGCAAATAGGATCACCGAGTACGTGGATCCAAATCTGCAGGAGAGAGAGAGAACGCAACGTGTCACTCCACTAGCGGTTTCACACTGAAGCCAACCACGATGTGTACTTGTATGTGTATGTGTGTGCGTGTTGCTGCTTTGCTGTCTGCATGCTTGTCTTCGGAAGAATATCATTATTATTGTTTTTTTTTTTGCCACAAAACATAGGAAGAGAGAAAAAAGATGTTGAAGGCCTTTTAGTGCAGCGGAGGACGAAGCAATCCAATAAGGTAGTATCAGTTACACCGACAGCGGCATACCAACACAGCAAAGTAGGGCGAACGCACACACACACACACATCTATAGAAGAAGAGGCTTTGATTGGTATGGAAATAAGTTTTTCCTGCCAGCTTCCATTTGATGAAGGGCAGGCACAAAGACGCAGCCCATTATTTCGACACTTTTCTGAATGCAACATGGCCCATCACATGAAACGTGGACAGGACCGCCCAGACAGGGCGAGTGCCCACTATCGGGCACTTGTCTCGCTTTCTCGTATATATATATATAGGTAGTCATAAAGTGAAGTGCGCGAACCGTTGCAAAACGGTGGAAGAAGATTTAAAAAAAACCTACAGACGCTATGGAAGGACCAACAGTGTCGAGGTTCCTCACCCACGTCTGCACGACTTCCCGTTATCAAAACTTCTTTCTCGGTGTTTCGGCTTAACAAAGCTAAGTATTTGTCAAACGGCCACATTTATCATTTCGCTATACTGTGAAATGCACGGAAGTGCGCGAGGCAGATCGCGGATAGGTGAGCCAGTGGCTCTTGAGAGAGCTGCCTTAACACCACACGCGCATAGCACAACATATACTTGTGTTATTGTTTTTTTTTTCCTACCTACAAACCTATTTATAATTATACTTAATGTCCCTTCCCGTCCTATCGATACAAACTCTCAACACTTTTCGGCTCCGTAGTACTTTTCAAGACAGGAATCGACGTTTTACAGAAGAAGGGCATAAACAGACACCCCAAAAGCAAGGCCGTTGCATTTGTGCAAATATAAAGAGGGGGAAAAGCAACAACAAAGAAGCCAGTGAAACACGAGTTTTCTATTACATTTTTCCATCTTTCCCGCAGAGTATATGTGTAAACGAGGAGAAACAGAAACAGAACGGAAAACGCAAACCAGAAAAGCACTTCCTCAAAGCCCGTAATCCACCTTTCTGCAGACAAGCGGTAAAACAAGTCAAGAACGTACGCTCACCAGAACGAGGGGAAAAGAACAGCTCTGAAAGAAGGAAAGAAAAAAAAAACGGTGCACGATCCGGAGCAGCGGGCAACGCGCTGCGCTATGAACCACAGGTGGGTACGTAAGTTCAATCAAGACACGCTCCGTATCTTCCGCGAACTCGAAACACTGAGGTGCGCGTGCGTGACAGCAACGCGAGCCGACACGCACAACGAAAGCACTCACTACTGCCTTCAACATTGCTGAATGTGAGCACAAACACTGTTGCTTCGAGGAGAGGCGATCGAAGCAGAAACCCGATCACCTTCTTCCCTGTCCACACCACCTGTACACTTTCCTTCCTTCTAGGAATCACCACCCTTCTCCTCACAGCGTTCAGCGCCTTCTCTGCGTCGATTTTACTTCTTGCCGCTGCCACCGCTGGTGCCCATGCCGAGGGCGGTCTTGTACGAGTCGTAGATCCACCACTGCAGACCCGTCAGCGTACCGATCATCAGAATACGAGTGCCCAGGCCCTTGGTGCAAATCGTCGTGTAGCCCATCTCCTTCGCAATCTGGCCGTAGCCCTTGCCGGCGTTGCTAGCCTTACCGCGCGCAGACACCAGAGTGTCAGCAGGGTGAGAGACAATGGCGCAAATAACACCGGCGAGGTAACCGGAAGCAAAGGTGATCGAAAGCTGAGTGGCCTTGCTGTACTGCTCCTTAGGCTTTGTGAAGACGTACTGGTAGAAGGCGCGGACGACCTTCTCAAAGAAGTAGAACTTGGCCATCGTGTAAGGGATCTGGCGGCACCACAGCGGCGTCAGCGACTTGAACGGGAAGCCACTGGACGGATCCGCGCGCATGGCGGACATGGCGGCGAACATGCCGGTGGGGAAGGTGCCTTTGGGAGAGGTCTGCACCTTCACCTTCACCATCTCAAACGGGCACAGGCCCATGTCGGCGAAGAACTCCGCGGAGGCCGAGCCGGCGAGCCAGATGAGGCCCTGGTACTTTTCAGCGTTCTTCTCGCCGGCGAGATTCGCGTAGAAGTCCTTGAACACCTCGTACAGGCCGAACTTGAAGGCCCCCTGAGTGGAGTAGCCAAAGAAGGTCGGCAGCCAGCCCTTCAGGAGACCGGTGGCACCAGCGCCCTCCTCCGCAAGGATCAGCTTCATGCCCTGACCCAGCGACTTGAACCGTTCGGGGCTCACCTGCATGTTGCACTTCACAACATCGAGGGGACACACGGCGGTGTGGGTGGTGCCACACGCGAGAACGCCGCCACCGATGCACTTGATGTAGTAGTTCGTGTCATGCGGGCAGGAGGGGTTGACGTAACGCGCGTCCCAAGCCTTGGTCTGAGTGGCCATTTTTACTTATTAGCGGCGTAGGTGGAGGGAGAAATAAAGGTATAAGCAGTTGAAAGTAGCAAGGGACTACGATACGAGCGAAGAAGGCGATTAGCTGCTCGAGTCAAAATAGCAAAGAGGGAGGAGAGAAGGAAGTGGAGTAGAAAGACGATGCTGAAGATGAAAGCAAAAAAAGGAATTAAAAGATAGTTTGGTGTTACAAAGATGCGAAGGAAGGCAGCGACTCGAATCACGCGTTGAACGAAATGAACGTAGACACAGGGAAAAAAAGCACATGTATCTCTCTTGTCAATCACCTACTGCACGTAAAACTCACAACACTTTGTGACTGTGTCACTGCCAACGGCAAGACGGCTTTATCGTAAAAATCGTACCAATCACCTTTTTTTGAGTATATGTGTGTTTCGCTTTGCAGTTTTGAGTCACCTCTTGCTAAGTTTTACTCTATTTGTCTCGCTGCGTCACGGACGTTTTCCCACGTCATTCAAAAGCTACTTTCTTGTTGAACTTCGCACACACGTACCCATGCTGTTCCGTGCTGCTTAACTGCTTTCCTTCCACACAGTTTTCTCGTGCAGGAAACAACAGTACAAACACAGTAAAAAGAAGAAGAAGAAGCGAAGACGCGTGAAGTAGCCATGAACAGCGTGGATGCCGTAACGCAGCGATTCATAAAAAAGAAAAAACCAACAACAGTAGAATCCGGAAAAACAAAAACATCAAAAACAACAAGGGTATCAATAATAGTAATAGTAGTAGAGGCTATTCGACCACTTTTCAGAGAGCCCATTGTACCCCTCCCAAAGCGAAGAGAAACGACACATCAGAGAGAACGGCGGTGTGTAGGGCTGCGAGTATGGTCTGCGTTCCCAGAGACGGTTGCATCTCCCTTTTTCTGCTTTCGCCAATGCCTATATATATATATATATACACACTTTATTTTCGAGAGACAACACGTAAAGCAGCGCAACGATACGCCGATGATGAAAGAAAGGAAATAAATGAGAAAATGATCCTGTTGACTGTTTTTTATATATTATGAAAAGGTGATTTGGTTTCTTTTAAAAAGAGATTGCTTTTACGTAAAATAACGCGTAACGTATCGTTGACTGTCCGCCACACTAGAGACAACGGAGGTCTCGCCACGGTTTCAATCTCTCGCACGCCGACATTGTTGGCTGGTTCTTTTTTTTTTTCAATGTGTCTCTCACAACACAACACTTCTAGTAGATCTGTGAGTGAGAAGTCAAGGGACGCGCACGGAAGGATTTGCTAAAGTCACGCACATGCACGACAGAAGATAAGACTCGTGGCTTTCTTGAACTTCTCAGGATCATCACATTGTGGACGTAGGCACACTCTTTTCCTCTCAGCGCGGCAAAAAGAAAAAAGATCAAAATAATATAGATAGCTTTCATCCGTTTCTTTCCAATGTCGTCTACGCCGGCCGACACTCCTCCTCTTGCGTCTGAGGGAAGAAAAGGGAACACCAGAACGGCCGTGAAGACCAAAACAACAGACGCCACCCAGCACCGTGAAAAACGCAACCGCGCAGGCTTGCCGCATCGATCACGGCGGAGGCGCTGAGGGACAAACACACACGAATTGCACGAAAACAGCGCTCTTTCTACTACCACACTGGACTGAGCTACATAGTAGGACGCTTCGTTAGACTTCAGACGAGGAAAAGAGCAAAAAGAGAGTCGAAAGAGAACAGAGAAATTCAGCAGAGTTTCTCACACACCTCTTTCGCCCCGTGCGGGCGATGACACCGAGAGCGGAGAGAGTGAACGTGGGAGTGCAGGATGCTTCACATCTCCTACTTCTTCGGGAAGACACGCCTGCGTTGTCTGGCGTGCGTGCCTGGGCATGCTCTGCCTTCCGTGTGCTTGACTGTGTGTGCGTGTGTGCGTGTCTGCGTGGGAGGGAAAGAAACAAAGGTTGTAGATGGAAGAGACCTCACTCATTTTCTCAAATGCGAGAGGTGCGGAGTGTTGACAGCAACGATGATGTGAAAGAACGAACACCGAGAGAAGACGCGCGATCTGCAGGCACCTGCTCACAGCTTCACACAGAGAAAACAACAACAAGAAAAACCACGAGAGAGAGTCAGCTCACTACTACAACCTATAGAAAGGAATGAATATAAAGCAAAATAGGATCAGGAATGCGTGACAACCTCCAAAACTCGCAGCATTTATTCATCTTTTTTTTTCAGCCACAAAGTGGTGATGTAAACCCTGTGCGAGAAAAAAAAGAAACGTAAGATCGCTGGGGGAAACGTGCTGCGAGACTGGAGCGTTGCCGCACCCGTCCACTTAGAAGGAGAGGAAAAAAACGAGAGAGAACATTTTGGGTTGTGCGTACGGTTTTAATAGAAGGCAGATGGGTGGCAACCGCCAATGCGATACAGCGAGTTTCAAATCTGCGTAACTTGAAGACGTCGGCGCATACACACCCACTCACGTGTATACGCAAAAAAGTAAAAGCACGATGTTGGAGATCGGATGACATGCTGCTAGTCCGTAAGACGAATTGCCGCTGTCCACGTCGATAAGCAGCATTGAGCATCTTCCTTTCGTTTAGGCATCGAGATGTCTAGTGGCCGCTGGTGCCCATGCCGAGGGCGGTCTTGTACGAGTCGTAGATCCACCACTGCAGACCCGTCAGCGTACCGATCATCAGAATACGAGTGCCCAGGCCCTTGGTGCAAATCGTCGTGTAGCCCATCTCCTTCGCAATCTGGCCGTAGCCCTTGCCGGCGTTGCTAGCCTTACCGCGCGCAGACACCAAAGTGTCAGCAGGGTGAGAGACAATGGCGCAAATAATACCGGCGAGGTAACCGGAAGCAAAGGTGATCGAAAGCTGAGTGGCCTTGCTGTAGGAGTCCCGCGGCTTCGTGAAGACGTACTGGTAGAAGGTGCGAACGATTCGCTCAAAGAAGTAGAACTTGGCCATCGTGTAAGGGATCTGGCGGCACCACAGCGGCGTCAGCGACTTGAACGGGAAACCGGTGGACGGATTAGCGCGCATGGCGGACATGGCGGCGAACATGCCGGTGGGGAAGGTGCCTTTGGGAGAGGTCTGCACCTTCACCTTCACCATCTCAAACGGGCACAGGCCCATGTCGGCGAAGAACTCCGCGGAGGCCGAGCCGGCGAGCCAGATCACACCACCCCACTCCGTCGTAATCTTCTCCCCTGCCAAATTCGAGTAGAAGTCCTTGAAGAGTTCGTAGAGTCCAAACTTCCCGGCACCTTGAACGGAGTAGCCAAAGAAGGTCGGCAGCCAGCCCTTGAGAATGCCGTGGGCGCCAAAGCCCTCCTCGCGGATAATCAGCTTCATGCCCTGACCCAGCGACTTGAACCGTTCGGGGCTCACCTGCATGTTGCACTTCACGACATCGAGGGGACACACGGCGGTGTGGGTGGTGCCACACGCGAGAACGCCGCCACCGATGCACTTGATGTAGTAGTTCGTGTCATGCGGGCAGGAGGGGTTCAGGTAGCGGGCATCCCACTTCTTCGGCTTTGTGAGAGCATCGGTCATGGTGGATTAGGGTGAAGCCCGAACAGGGAATGAAGCAGTGAAAAGGGCGAAGGTGAAGAATCGTGGACTCGGGTAGATGGGCTTCAAAAATGAGGAAAGAAAGACTTGTAGGGAGCTTTTCGATAGTCGGAATCACTTGATATTTCCTTTGCACGTAAAGCGGGGAAAGTGGGGCGAAAAAAAAAGAACCGAAACGATTGATGTCCGGACATGCACAAAGATGCGGAGAAGCGAAAAAGGAAGCGAAAATAAATGAGTGACCATTACGCAGTGCATCGAGAATAGACCTGTGTGTTCAGACAGTTCGCGTCATTCTCTCTGCTGTTTTTCTTTTGTTGTTCACAGAGGGGTCTCCAACTGCGACTACTTATCGCTGATGAAAAGACACAAGTTTGAAGACGATGAGCTCGTAGAGGCTTTCTCTTGGATATGTTGAGCTGTCTGCTGAGCTCCCCTTCCTTGGTTTCTTAAAAAGATTGCCCACCCCCTTCGTGTTCGAGCAAACACTTTCCATTCTCCTGTTTGTGCCGGGGTACATCATTGCAATCAAAAGACAGTTGACATAGCTTGCATGTGCAACAAGGCATCGAAGTTGCAGCGCCTGATCGGCGAAGAACAAAGGAAATCCCAAGCGTTGTAATGTTTGCGTGAACAGTGAGTCTCGTTTTTTCCTTTTTTTGCTTTGTTGAACGATAGTACGTGACACGACAGGTGGCAACAAGAGCGACAACGAAGGAAGGCTTTACAGTGCCATGTAAGAAGGAAGAATGGATGCACGAAACACGAGTGGAAGCGAGTTTCTGCCTCCGCACTTCAGGCAACGATTGACTGATCCATTGAGCAGAAAATAATGTGATATTTTTCGCTTCTCGTGTTCACAAGCAAGCGCTACGCGCGTAGGCGCGCCATGTTGATGTGCGGCGGCTGGTCGATGAAGAGGTGCTTCTGGTGCAGATTGCGCCAATCCGAGGACTCCATTTGCAGAATGGTGCCATACGTCTGCATATCCGCATCTTCGTACTCCTCCACGAGCGAGCCCTCAAAGCCGTCCGGGCGGAAGAAGCGAACCGTCACGTACGACACGATCACTGTGCCAAGGATCAACACGACGCTGCTATAAAAAATAAAAGGACCGCCCGTCATGGCCATCGCGATAAGAAAGGTGCTGAAAACGATGGGGACACAGGACCAGATCACCGCCGCCACGTTCCCACCTGGGACCCGGTACGGACGCTCCAACAGCGGCTGCGTCAGGCGAAGCTTCAGGAAGGACGTGAGAATGGCGATGAGACGCAGTGCGTAGAGCACCTGATCGAGTTGCACGAGAGTCTGGAAGGTCAGACACACCGACAGGATGCAGGTGATCGTCGTGTTCACCAAAATGGCGTGGACCGGCGTTTTGTACTTCTCCGAGTAATGCTCCACCCACTTGGAGAAGAAGGATGGAAAGGCGTTCAGCGTACCCATGCCTGCGATGGAGCGGGAGGTGGTGGCCAGGAGAGTCGTCATCAGGCCCAAGGTGGAGATGGCGCCGCCCACCATCACGGTGGCCGCCATCGGGGTCCCGCCGACGGCCTCGCCGACCTTCACCCAGAAACCATCGCCCCACTTATCAAACGGAACGTGGTCCAACTTCTGCGCGGAGGCACCGGCGAGAATCGGGGGGATGTACGTGGCGAGGGCGGCGACAATCATGAGGATGAGCGCCCGCACAAAGGTCGGGTTGGGGTTCTGCACCTCCTCGATCACGTTTCCGGCGGAGTCAAAGCCAGAGAAGTTCCACGCCACGACCGGCAGAAACACTGCCCAGTTTATCTTTTCGGGAACGTAGGAAATGCGCTCCCAGTTGAAGCCGTGCGGCAGCTGGAGGACAAACATGAGAAAGAAGGGCAGGATCGTGACAATCATCACCGCCACGCTGAAGGTGCCGACGAGCATGACACCAACAATGTTGATGAGCGCACACATCCACAAGAAGAAGATCTTCAAGAGCGACTTCTCCACCCAGCCAAGGTGAAAGAGCGTCGCGCAGTAGTCGGCGAACACGGCGGGGTAGAGGCTGTTGTCGACCGAGTTCAGGAAGGCGGTCCAGAGCACCGTAGTGAAGGTCACCCACGGGGGAAAGGAGCAGTTGACCCACATAATTGGTCCGGCGTTGGACGGGATGGAGCAGGACAGCTCCGCTACGCAGAGCGAGACGGGGATGCCCCACACAAATGGAATGAGGCAGAGAAAGAGAATCGACAGGAGCGGGCCGCCGGCGCTCACAGAGTCCTCCAGACCGTAGCCGCCGCTAATGCTTGCCGTGTAGATGACGCCGAGCAGTGTGAGGGTCGTGAGAACGGCCTTGGGGCGGGCCTCCGTGTCGGCGCGTGGGCTACGAAAGCGAACGATCGGTGACGCGCTGCGACCTCTCGAGGCCGCCAACGAGGCAGTCGGATCCGCTCCTCGCCGCATCATGCGTGTTCACTCGTGTCGGTGTGCTTATGTTTTGAAAGCTGTTACGTTTGAATGAGGTTGGTTACCCCAAAAGGATTTCGTTCACCACAATTAGGTACAAAAGAAGGTACGTGTCATAACAAGAAAAACAACAACATCATATTCTATTGTTTTTGCCGAGCCGAATGAAGAACAGGAAACGAAACGTGGTGCAACCAGAGGATTAGAAAAATAAGTACGTCTGACAGTTATTGTTAATGGACCTTTAAAGAATGCTCTTGATTTCCACAACAACAACAACACCGAAACACTCTTTTGGAAGAAAGAAAGACCTACAAATGTGGTCGATAGATGTTTCCAACCCACTAGTAGTATCCGGTCATGGAAGACCACTCGCTCAGCCGGTTGTTTAATTGAAATCCCTCGATTAGCTGGAAACGCAAATGCTCCTTCCTTTTCTTTTTCCTGGAATGAGTGTGTGTTTGTAGTGTGGATCGGGTTGCCGTACGCAGCGGAAATAAGAGCACGAGAAGAGAGAGAGCGAGAGACAGGAAAAAGGCACCGAGAACGTAGGTAAGAAAGAAACGAGAGCTGTCAGATTCAGCTATGAGCGGCCAGAAAAAGGAATATTATCCAGTCCTCCCTCTTCTCTTCTTACAAAACCGCTGACGCGACATGCAGGTTGCACTAAGTGCACTCGGCCTGATATGTCTCTCACGTTTTTTGTGTGTAATCGTTGCGCGTGACTCAAACACGTTACTTTTGGAATGTTTTTTTTTTTTAATTTTAAAATAAATACGCCACGTAATCGAAGCTCAAGGGAGACGTTGAAAGGACACGACAAAACTAAAGGAGTAAGAACGGGTAAATCAGTATACTTATATATCAATAGAGCACGAAAGAGCAAACCAAGACAAAATAAAGCATTCCTTTCAAAAGAACGCACCAGATCCAGAGGAGAAAGCAGATCCACCACCACAAAGACAAGGAAGAGACACCGAGAAGAAAGAAAGAGGAGCAGAGATCACCTGTACATGACAAAAATGGAGGGCCCTCAGCGGTGACACATGGGACCACCCCCGCACCCACACCCACGAATATATATGCGCTTACCTGGCAACGTGTAGTTCTTTAAAGGAAGTTGATTCGTTAAGCACTTGCGCATCGCAACTTGACAGCAAACGGGAAAAAAGTGTTAAAAGGCGCAAAAAAAGAGAAGAATTGAAAGGAAAAGAAGGAAGGAGAGGAGGAGGGAGGGGTAGAGATGAAAAAGAACAAATATATTGATCACAACAACGTAGATTTGCCTGACCAACGTGTAGAGAAAAAGACAAGGAGCAAACAAAGAAAACAAAAGGTGCCACTGATTATGCTCGAGAATGAAAGGTGAAAGGTTTGGAGTCCGAGCACCGTGAATTGTATTCAGAGGCAGTAGCTAGTCAGTCAAGAAAAACTTTTCAGCCTATAGTCACCTTTTGAAGCAAAACTCAAAAATCTTCTGTGCTCCTTGAACTATGTACGCGCCAGCAATGACTCCCCAAACCGGCCACGGTAACTCCGCCTACTTCTCTTGCGCTCCTATGGTGGAAAGTCTCTGCTGTTCTTCTTTTTCCTCTTAGCGTCCACGCAGCTCGGCAAATTTGGCCTCCAGGTCGTCCTCCGCGGGTTTCTCCTCTGCCGCCACCTGTGTCGCCGGGCCGCCGGTCTTCACCTTGATGTTATCCTCGAGATGTTCACGGATGTTGAGGCCGTGCTCATCCGCAACCTGCGCCATGAGGTTGTTCACCTCGTCCTCCGGGGTGGTTGTCGCAGTGCTCTGGCCAATCGCCCCCTCCATGTAGGCCGACGTGACGTCCATCGTCTCGAACTGCTGCTCGAAGGTGTCCATCAGTTTGCTGATCTTCGCCGGGTCCATCGACTTGAGCACCTTATCCATTCCCTTCACCATCATGCCCATGTTCTTGGTTACCATCTGCATCTTGATGGCGGTGTCGAGGCGAGCCACAACGGCGTCCATGCGGGCGGCGAGGCGCAGGTGGTTGAGGGCCTCATTCTTTTTGCGGATGCTGTTCTCTGCGTAGATGCGGGCGCCCTCCATGTTGTTCTTCTCCATCGCCTGCTTGCACTTGTTCATCGCCTGCTTCTGCTCCTTCTCACAGCGTGTGGCGTTCTTGGCGAACTGCTTCGCCGTGAACTTCAGCTGGAACTGAATATCGTAGAGTTTGTCGGTGGACATGATGCGCAGCGGTGGGTGAGCGAGTTGATGTTGAAATCTAACTACCAACGTGGATTTAAGAAGTAAATAAAAAGAAGAAAATGCAGCGGCAGCGACTCCACAAGAAAAGAAGCGCAAATCAAACAAAACAAAACACAAAGAAAATGCGAGACTTCAGTCGCACCAAAGGGTGAAGGGAACGTACAGGACGAAATGGGCGTTGGGGAGAGAGGGAGAGAAGTAGAGAAGAAGACTGTCAGACTGCTGGAGCGATTTATACGCGTCGCACTCGTAAGACGGGGACCACGGAGCATAACGTCCGAGCAGGCGGCGCTGGTACAGCAAGTTCTGACGTCTTTCTTTCCCTTATGGAAAGCGTCAAGTGCGGCAGTTTGCGACAGAGCGAGCAAGAAAAAAAAAGATGTGTACAATTCACTATTTGTTTGTTACGACAGCAAAACAAGTGGAGTCTACAGTACATATTTTAGCAAAAGAGAAGGTCTTTCCACGGCGCAAACGGTATTTCAAAGAGAAGCAACGGGGATAAAACGCAGTCAGTCTCTATACATCCAATATATCTAAATGCGCTTGTGTGTGTGGGTGTCGTGCGCCGCAAAACTGTTCCTTCGTTTCCTTATTGTGCATTGATAGCAGGCTCGTTGGGCTCACCGTCAACTGTGGACGTCTCCGCGGCTTCCATATCCGTGCCATCGTCGGCTTCGACGTCGTCTGCGTAAGACAGACCGAACTTGTCGCACCACTCCTCGATCTCACACACGATAGGGTGGCGGGGACCATAAAAGCGCTGCAAGCCCTTCCGTGCCGTGCTCAAGTACCGCTGCGCCTCCTCCTCGTCCTCCATCCACAGCAGAAAAAGACCGAGGACAAATTGCGCGCGCACCGGGCTGGGGTGCTCCTGTTGAAAGCGTTCTTCTTGAATGCGGCAGATCCCGTGCAGCATCTTCGACGCATCCATCATGTTTTCCCTGCCAAAGGCGTGCGCCGTTGCATAGCACGCGTGCCGCAGCTCCGCCTCCCGCTCATGATCACTGTATTTGAGCTGCGACTGCATCTCTGCCCGCCGTGCCACGACGTCATCGAGAGCGGCGATGAGGTGCGTGTACCAAATCTCCTTCACCGCATCGTACATCGACATCGCACTCTCCATGCTCGCCTTCGCCGCGAAGACGTTGCCCAGGTCGAAGTAGCTGAAGGTGGTGAGGACGTGCTGGGGGCCGTGCAGTAGGGAGAGGTAGTAAGTGGCACAGCTCAGCTGCTTCACCGCCGCCTCCAACTTGCCGTCCGTTGCGTATAGCAGACCAAACGCTTGGTGTAAGTCCGCCTTCATGGTCACCGTCACATCGTTTGGGTGCTTCAGCATGATGTACTGGGCCAGCGACAGCATGTCCTCGGCGTCTCCGTAGAGCTCGAGAAACTGCTTCGTGCGGGCTAAGTGCAGATAGGCCGGGATGAGCTCAATGTGGTTTGGCTTGTAAAATCGCTCGCGTAAGCGCAGCACCTTCACACCAGCCTTTTCGGCGGCCTCAGCGTCGCCTTCTAACAGTAGCAGCCGGCATCCTTCCTGTGCTTTGTTGAGTAAGGCCGCTATGGCGGCACCGATACGCTGCCGGTTGACCGCTCGCACCTCCAGCGCATTCACGCCCGTCGCAGGGGTGTCCATGAGAGCCATGAGCTCCTTGAAGCGGGTCTCGATGTTGCGCCAGTTCACGTCGGTGATGTCGTACTGGCCCTTGTCGTAGGTGGCAGCGTGCGAGGTGTCGACCTTGGCGGTGGACGCCCGAGACCGCGGCGTAGAGTAGGTTGACATGGCAAGTACAACGCTGAAGTGAAGCAAATACTTCTGGCGGCGATAGTGGTATTGGTGTTATAGGCATTTTACACGAGAAAGGAGGAGAAAAACAGATAGAGGGATGAGTCGCAAAAAATCAATGGGAGTCTCCGTGACACTGCAACATCGCACATGAATGTATTTGCTGCCGCATGTTAGCGTTCCTCTCACCACAAGCCCAGACCTATGCATGATTTGGTTCCTCTCAAGAGTTTCGTGGCGGCTTGCTCCTCCCTCTAAAAAAGGAAACAGAGATGGTAGAACGCAGAAACCCGCTGATGCCCTCTGAATCACTGCAGCTGGCTTGCACACCGCCTCCACTGAGATGCTACTCTTCAGCATCAGCGGCATGATGCGACGACGACTTCGTTTTGTGCAAGCTCAAGGGCAGCGGTTTCATTGCCTTTTCCGTATTTATTCAGACGATCTCTTTTTTTGTTTGTTTGGTATTTGTTGCTTTCTCATTAGATCACTACGTTGAACCTTCCTGTTAGCGGCGATGACGCATCATTTTTGTTGACTCGGGCTGAGAAAAAACAAAAATGATAGTAATAGAGTTCAGCGTCGCCGGTCAACACAGGCGCTTAGAATAACACAACGGTAGAAACGCGTGACACACGGAGACCCTTCACTTTCCTTTCGGTGTCTCTTCTTTCTCTGTCTTTCCCCATCTTTGGTCACGTTACAAAGTGCACCAGTCGGAAAAATGCCGAACATTGCTTTTCAGAAAGAAGGATGTCCCCCCCAAAAAAAGGGAGGAAACCCTGTAGAGTTGGGCAAAGACGAGGTCCTTCCACAAGCTGACTTCTGTTGAGCAGACCCGATGCTAATGCGTACGAGGACCACGAATCGACAATTACAGCGCTTTAGTACACTTGGCAGCCCCCTCACAACTTAAACTGTTATTGAAATGCTTAGAACCTAATAGTAATAAAAAATGACTTAGACAAACGCACCGCTTCACAGCCTACCAACTAGGTACACTGCGCTTCCCTTTTAGTCGCTGTCGCTGCCCAGCTTGACGCTCTGGTTCTGCGAGCCGAGAAGGGGGGCGCGGGGACCGAACTGCGGCGCACCGCCGCGCCCGCCACGATCGCCACCGCGCCCACCGCGGAAGCCACCGCGATCGCCGCCACGGAAACCACCGCGATCGCCGCCACGGAAACCACCGCGATCGCCGCCACGGAAGCCGCCACGATCGCCACCGCGGAAACCACCGCGATCGCCGCCACGGAAACCACCGCGATCGCCACCGCGGAAGCCGCCACGATCGCCACCGCGGAAGCCGCCACGATCACCGCCGCGGAAACCTCCGCGATCGCCTCCGCGGAAGCCGCCACGGTCTCCGCCACGGCCGCCGCGGAAGCCGCCACGGTCACCGCCGCGGCCGCCGTAGCCCCCGTAGTTCGACTGCGCCTCGGTGCGGGTCACTTGATGAACCGGCTCATCATCGTCATCTTCCTCTGCCGCCGCGGGCTTGGAGCGCTTTTGCACTGGCGCCTCGTCGTCATCGTCGGAGTCGCTCACCATGGCTGCCTTCTTGGCGGCCACCGGCTTCTTCACGGGCTCGTCGTCGTCGGAGCTGTCACTGTCCGCCGCCGCCTTCTTCGGGGCCTGCTTGGGCGACACCTTTGGAGAAGTCTTCTTCGCAGCAGGCTTTTTCACCGGCTCGTCGTCGTCAGAGCTGGAGTCGGCGACAGGCGCCTTCTTGGCCGCCGGCTTTGGCGACGCCTTGCGGGAGGCCGGCTTCTTCACGGGCTCATCATCGTCGGAACTCGAATCGGCAACCGGGGCCTTCTTGGCTGCCTGCTTGGGCGACGCCTTCTTGGCGGCGGGCTTCTTGGGTGCCTCCTCGTCGTCGCTGTCGCTGGAGTCCACCACCGGGGCCTTCTTGGCTGCCTGCTTGGGCGACGGCTTGGGGGACGCCTTCTTCGCGGCCGGCTTCTTCACCGGCTCATCATCGCTGTCACTGGAATCGGCAACGGGCGCCTTCTTCGGCGCGGGCTTGCGCACGGGCTCGTCGTCGTCGGAGCTCGAGTCCGCGACAGGCGCCTTCTTGGCAGCCGGCTTGGGCGACGCCTTGCGGGAGGCGGGCTTCTTCACGCGCTCCTCGTCGTCGCTGTCGCTGGAGTCCACCACCGGGGCCTTCTTGGCTGCCTGCTTGGGCGACGGCTTGGGGGACGCCTTCTTCGCGGCCGGCTTCTTCACCGGCTCATCATCGCTGTCACTGGAATCGGCAACGGGCGCCTTCTTCGGCGCGGGCTTGCGCACGGGCTCGTCGTCGTCGGAGCTCGAGTCCGCGACAGGCGCCTTCTTGGCAGCCGGCTTGGGCGACGCCTTGCGGGAGGCGGGCTTCTTCACGCGCTCCTCGTCGTCGCTGTCGCTGACGGCTGCCGGGGCCGCCGCTTTCGCAGCGATCGTCAGGGCGGAGATGCCAATGGCGCGAGCGGCCTTGACGGCCTTTGGATTCGCCTCTTCCAGCGCCGCGGCGGCGCTCGTGTACTTGGCGTCTTTCAGGTAGAGGTAGATGTGAGCCGTCAGCTCCTCGTCCGACACACGCTGCGACATGATTGAACGGTGGTAAATATCTGGGAGAGAGAAAAGAGAGCAGAACGAATCAACGCACGCTGCAAATTGAATGTGTGAGGTGGAAGCTCCTTCGTTAGGACGGTTTCACTGGTTGAGGGTGTGTTTAAGCACAATTGTGGCAACAACACCAAAAAAACAAGTTTAAAACAGCGTTCTTCTATTCTGAGTTCTCGTAGTACGTGGCGGTTAAAGGAGCGGGTGTTACGTTACAGTAGTCGATGCCACATAAGAAAAAAAAATCTCATTCAGTAAAAAAAAGCAAATGAATGCGGAATGCGTGAGAGAGAGAGAGAGACGGGGGAAGCGCGGTGGGGAGGATATCGAATCGCAGAAAATGTCGGCACACCACCGACAGTTCGCATTTCATGAATCCGGCAAAAACCAAAAAAAAGGTGCGATCAGAGACAAAAGCTTCCCAAGAACAGTGCCGGACGATATCGAGTCCATTTGGTCTACAGTTGAATTGAGAGAAGAGAAGGTGCTCATTAGTTTTTTGTTGTTGTTGCTGAACGGATGTGAAGAGTAAAAGACGTTTTCCAACTACAACGTCAAAATAGAGAAGGCGAAAGTGCCGTGAGGAAACCAACAAACAAACGAAAAGTGACAGGACTATCTTTGCGTTCATAAGAATTGTGGCCTGCTTTGCTGCGTGGCGGCGAGGTCCTAGCACAATCAGCAGCGCTTCTTTTCAGATGACTTCCGAAAGGCGGAGAAGAAACAAAAGCAGCGGCGAGGCAGTGATTATTCTCGCCTATCCATCATCGTCGGTTTTTCTGCACACGAAAGTCGTACCGTGAGTGTTTCAACTTGCGCTCGTGCCGCGAGCTGGAGACGCCGGCCTTAACAGGGTGCGGGGTGGTGGCCCGATTAAAGATTGTCTCCTCCGGCCTTCCTACGTAATAGGGCTTCGTGGACGTACCGCACTTCTCGCACGACTCGCCTTGATAAACACGCTGCGTCGTCTTGGTGACCCACACGTGGTGAGAGAACCATGCGTTCTGGCACACGTGACAGCGGAACTTCCCAGTGCGCTTGGCGAGTGGTGGTGGTGTGAACATGATGTGTCGCGGCCGTAGCCGGAGTACCAAAGAGGTAAAGCGCAGCATGTTGTACTCTGTACGGTTTGGTGTGTTTGGGGTGTGCCCATTTGGGTGCCATAAAAAAAAAAACCGATATGGCAGTAGACAGAACGAAGAAGCGGGAAACGGTTACATGGGTTGACGATGGCCACAACACACAAAAAGAAAAGCGTTGTGGGGAAAGAACTTCTGAGTGACCAAAATCGATTTCACCCTGCGATGACATTGAGAGCGCTGCGTTAGACAGAAAGGGTGAGTCGTGCTCCGGTGCGTTTCTGCCTTTGATAGCTCCGTGTGCGTGGACGGAGAAGAAAACATACATGCGTCAAGCGACTCTGTCGAGCGATGGTCGCGCAAAAGGCTTACTGCGTGTCTCTTCAACATCTGAAAGGGTAGCACTCTCTTTTTGGCAGCCCTAGCTTGTGGAAGCGCAGGTTAGTGCTATCTTGAAGTAGAATTATGTATAGAGAGCGAAAATACGTGAGCTGTTGTGCGGGGTAATCATAACAAGAAACTTTTAAATACTGATCGTCTTGCGACTGCAGTAACCCCTCCTTCCCTCTATGGCCCCATCACGACAGAAAACGAAAAGCGGCAGCAGGAATGGGTCATCTATGGATATCTTTTATGGCGTGGATGTGAAACAAATGCAGCCTAATGATGACACTTCGGGAGGTGGAAGTGAAAAATACGAGCAATCGTTTGCTCGGCCTGGCGGTGGCCGCCTCCCATGCACTTTGCTACGAGCAGAGAAGCGCTGCCTCCACACTCTCCATCAGCCACGCAAAGCCTTGATTCTTGGCGAGGTACTGCAAAGCACGCAGCTCACCTTCAATCCGCGCTGCTTTGCCAACCAGCGGGCCACAGCAGCCCTCCGCCACGTAAGTGGTGGTCATCTCATGACACTTGGAGCACACAAAGTCCTGCTGGTTGTACGCGCGCAACAGCTGGCTCACGTGACGCACCAGCGAACCTTCCACGGCACTGGCGGCGATGGGGGCCTCGCACTCTGAGCACGTAAACGGAGCTGTCGGCGCCTTCCGCTTGGCGAGCAGGTCAATCGAGATGTGACTGCAACAGAAGCTGCACGTGAGGGACTGCAAACGGTAGGTAAGAAAAGGGTCAGACTGAAACTGCGCGAGCGGGGAGAAGGGGCTGATGCCGCACAGCCGCATGCAGTTGTTGCGCACCGTTCCCACCGCGCCGTTGGAGGGGATGAGCTCCAAGACGCGACAAATGCACTTGGCGTACTCGAGCGCCACGGCACTGCTGGACCAGAACGTGAGAGAGCCGTTCTGTCTTGCGGCGTCCTCTTCGACGGTGTACAGGTCGCGGGTGTCGGCGACGCGCTGGACCTCATCCATGATGGCCGTTTGAAGGTCACCCTCGCACAGCGCCTGCGAGCGTTGCAGGAGTCGGCGCGCGAGGTGGTCGTGGCGGGTCGCCAGGGTGACGGTGTGGTCCTTCACGGTGTCCTCGTATACTGCCTGAATCGCCGCGTGCAGCTTGAAGAGTGTGTCGACGACGCGGTCGACGAAGATGGCGCGCACCCGACTCGGCAGGCGGCTAGTCATGGTGAACTGGTGACTGAGCTGCAGGTCCGCACGGGAGGGGCTCTCGCCTTCCCTAATGCGCACAGCGGCTTCGGTGGACACGTAGAGCCCGGCGTAGTTGCGGGGGTCGAGCACCACGTACGGGCACCAGTACCGCACCGGCTGCAGCGCCAGCAGCATGAGCATCGGCTGGTCCTGCAGCGAGGTGGCGACGAAGTTCGCAAAGCTCACGGCCTCTTGAATAGAGTGCTTCGCCGTCAGCACCGTCACCGACTCGCCGTCCACCTTCACCGTGCGCCCGCCGAGCTTCGCGAGCCGGAGCAGCACGCCGGTCAACGCGCGGTGCGCCAGTCCGCTCAGCATCTCCACGAGACGAGGCTCGTAGCAGACCGAAACCGGGTCGCGCAGCCAGCGCGCCACGTTGTTCATGAGGGTGTCCGCCAAGGTGTTCTCCACCGCCTGCCCGAGCAGGTCCGCGACGAGGTCCCGCAGAATGTTGAAGTGGGTGGACACGCCCCTGTCGCACAGCACGCGTGCATTTGGGTCATCGCCTTCCTCGATCACCTGCGAGAAGAGCAGCGCCACAACGTCGAGGCGGGAGAGGCTGAAGTCGACGCACCACGCCGGGTAGCCGCCGGCCATGCACACCGCCCGCGGACGCTCCTCGACGGTGTCGAAGGCGACGGCAGCGTCGCTGCTGCACCACAGAACGTGGCTGCGGCGGTGCAGGGCGCGGGTGTAGAGGACGTCGAGCACGTGGACGCAGCTGTCCTGCGCGATGTTGCAAAGCGGGATGCCAGACATGCGACTCAGCGCCAAACGCTCTTCGACCCACAGGAGAGAGGCGAAGAAGCGCTCGAAGAGGCGCTTGGAGAGGAGCCGGGCCCAGCGGAAGGGGTCACTCAGCAGTCGCTCATCCTCTGCTGCACCGAGGACGCGGAGGTAGGGCAGGCCGGTGGGCAGCGCGTGCTGCTGTAAGAGTATGGCGGTTGGCTGCGAGCTCTGCAGCACCGCCAGCAACGGTGCACGGGTGCTTTCCAGCGCCGCGCTCAAATGCTGGTAAATCAACCGCCACGCCCCTCGTTGATCCACGGCGGTCTCCGCTGTCACGTGGATCGGCGCAGGCGGGTCCGTGCGAAGGCGTCGCGCGCCCTCCTCGCAAACCGTCGTCCAGTTAATCGACGGCTTAGGCGCTTCCGCGGGTTGGATGAACACGACGAGCGCCGAACTCGTCTGCGGGTACACGACGGCGATGAGGCCGCGCTGCTGTTCCGTCACGGCTTGAAAGATAAAGACGGTGCGGTCAGCCACGCCGCGGCCGAGGTAGTTCGAGTAGGAGTTCATTTCCATCTCCTCCAAACCGAACATCTCCCGCTGCGACGGCGGTCGGCGCCGGGCGTTGCGGAGGTGTCGGCCAGCATCCACAGACGCACAGCAGCCCAGCTGCTCAATGAACAGCTCCGTGCGAGAGCGGTGCTGCTCGTAGATCTGTCTTACCCCTTCCATCATGCGAAGCTCGTTCAGTCGCCTCTCCCCCTCCTCGCCGGGTGTGATGGCTACTTGATACAGGCGGCCCGCCACCACATGGCGCGGCAGCACGCGGCCGTTGAGCTCTACCGCCTCAAAGCCGTGCAGCCGCAACGTTGGGTCGACGTCGACAAGGACGGTGCGCTGCACCTGAACGCGGAAGGAGTAGAGATTCTGATCGAGCGCGGCAAGCACCTGCACGACGCCAGGATCTTCGTCGGTTTCGCGCACCTCCATCACGTTCCACGTCGTTGCCAGCGCACGGGACTTGAGGTCGATGAAGTGGCTGTTGAGGCCGCTCACTACCGTGGCGGCCGCCCCGCTCGCCTCGCCGTCCAGCGACACGTCACCAAACCCGTTTTCCAATGCCAACTCCTTGCGCAGACGCGCACGTTGTAACCACGCGTCTCTGCGCTGCGCAAGCCACCGCTTGCTGCCGGCCTCCGCGAAGAAGCCCGCATCCAACGCGACGGTACTCTTCGGCGCGAAGTACTTTTGCTTGACATCGTGGGCGAGGGAGTCGAGCTCGGCGTCCGCCACGCGCTGCTGCCGCTCCACGTCGTCCTCCGACTCCACCTCGACCGCTGCGTCGTCGTCGTCGTCCGAGTCGCCGTCGACGGTCGCTGCGTTCTGCGCACGTGCGCAATTTAGCTTTGGCTTCGTCGGCCCTTTGGGCTTCGGCGCACGCCCAGCTCCGGGGCTCATCATGTCTTCCAAGTCTTGCAGTTCTCTGCCTCCTCCTCCGCCATTGCTTTTGCGAATACCCTTCACAACAGTCACGTCGTCGTCGCCCTCGATGTGAAGTTCGTTTTCAGAAGTGGCCGTGACCACAACGGCGGCTGCTCCTGCAGATGCCGTGGCCCCTTGCCGCTCTTCCTCGTTACGGGTCTTCGCCTTGGCGAGCATGCCCACCAAGGACACTTGGCGGTAGCGGGAGTTGAGGTGTCGAATGCGCTTCTCCAGCCAATCCGGGTGCACCACGCGCGGTACCGGGTTCGGCAGTGACTGCAGCGCCGCCGGAATCGACACGATCTTCTGCACACACGCGCTGAAGCGGGCGGTGTAGTAGTCCCAGTCCAGCAGCGCCTTCAGATTCAATTCGGACGGCAGCGTCGTGTCGCCGGTCCATTTTCGCAGAAAGTGCGTGCGGATCGCCGGCTCAGCGCGGAAGATCGTCACGGGGATCGCCCGCTCCGTCACCGGTCGGCCCGCCGGCATGCGGGAGATGATGAAGTGGCAGGCGAGACCCTTGTCCTTCACCATTTGCGGTCCGAGGAACTCCGCGATGCGTCGCGCCGTCGTAATGGCGAGCGACTTCTGCGCCTCCGGGTACTCGGACAGGCGTCGGCTCATGTTGCTGCTCTCCGTAATCTTCTCGAGGATCTCCTCGGGGTCGTAGCCGTCACCTTTCGACTCGAGGAGGTCCAGTGCCGTGTTGGCCACGTAGGCGGCCGAGGCGTAGGCCTCCGCCAACGTGGTGCCGTCGAGGAAGCGGCGGAACACCTGTGCCTGGAAGTCCTTCACCAGCATCAGCTCTCCGCGGCGCTTCAGCTCAAACCCCTTCAGCTCCGCCATGCTGCCATCCGGGTTAAACACGGCGTACCGCTTCTTGATGCTCTTGCCTTCTTCGCGGCTGGCCGGCAGCAGCATCGCCAGGTAGGGGCCGTCAACCTCGAAGTAGATGGAGCACTCGTTGTGCGTCTCGTACACACCGGGGCTGACTAAGTTCTGGTACTGGGGGTTCGAGTAGCGGTCGTGCACCATCTTGTTGAGCACCACACAGGGGTAGGAGAGCGAGATCTTCGACTTGGACGCGTTGGAAGTTTTGATGGTGTAGTTCTCAGGAAACGTGTTCGGCAGACAGCACCAGATGCCATCGGTATCCAGCTCCAGCGGTACGCCGATCTGTTGCACCAGCGAGCGTGCCATCTGAATGAGCGTGGCGCCAAGGTAGGTGACGATGCCGGCCATCTCCATACTCGACCAGCGCGAGCCCTTGCGCATCACGTAACCGTAGAAGGAGTTCAAGATGCACTTGTGGGCCAGCTGCAGCGACTCCATCTGCACGCAGCGGCTCTGACACACCTTCCGCGTATCTACGTCGGTGGCTGCATCGAGCTTCTTCTTCCATGTCTTCAACGCTGCCTTGTACTCGTAGCGGCGGTCGCGAAAGAGGCGGACGGTGTCGACGTAGAAGGAGTTCTCGCGCTGGCAGACCACGTTCGACCGCATCACCTCGCGCGTTTCGTGAATTCTGCCGTACGCCTTGCGGCTGTACTCGCTGAGGCGCCGCTTCAGCATGTTGAACTGCGTCGAGTCATTCAGCTTGTGAAAGGCCTTCGGGCCGTCTTCGTCATTGTCGTCGTCGTCCGAGCCGTTGTCGCCGTTGTTTCCGCCGCCGAACTCACGCCGGAGCAGCGCGTCAGCCGCCTCGCGTTGCTGGTGACGGGACTCCTGCCGGTATCCACTCCCGCCGCTACTGGCATTGAAGCGACCACCTCCAATGCCGTTGTTCCTATTATTATTATTATTACTACTGCCGTTCTTCTTCCAGTCGTCCTTGCGCTCGTAGGCGGTGCCCTCCAGCACGTTGCCTTTCCGATTACCGTATGCCTTCTTCTGCACGGCGGCCAAATTCGCCTGCTCAATGACGCCAGCCGCGAAGGACTCGTTTTCAAGCTGCGCCTTTACACGTTGGAACTCGTACCGGCCTGCGGTGAACAGCTCTGCCCTCCACTTCCACGACATGACCCGCTTGCACTGCAGTTCGTTGTTGGGGGAGTTGTAGCAGCAGCCCGCGCAGACGTCTGGCCGCGCAATTGCGTAGGGCTGCAGGCGATTGGTAAGGATAATATTGGGGTACATCGCACCTACGTCCAGGTGGTAAATGAACGGCTTCTCTTGCTGGTGCGGGTGGTCCCGCAGTGCGGCGAGTTTTGTGAGAATGCCCGTCTTGATCTCTTCGAGGTTTGTCACTTCCTCCATCTTGACGCCGTTCTCGACCTCCACGCAGAAGCGAAGGGCGTTGTCGACGTCGTCCATGAGATTCTGGTAGGTGTCTGGATTCATGTTGAAGGTCATCGGGATGTCGGAGCGATACACACCACTGCGCAGCGCCTCCACGCGACCGCCAATGTAGGTCTCCATGTCGATGAGGTGTCCCTCGTAAAAGCGCTCACGTACCAGTTCCTTCTTGTTGGGGAAAACGACGTTGTTGGCCTCCGCCTGCACCATCAGCAGCGACTCGCACAAACCACCCGAGCCCTTCCGTAAGACATCGTCCGGGGACATGGGAATAATCGTGGCGAGCGAGAAGATAAAGGGGTGGACGTACTTTTGGTAGAGGTACCACGTAGACACGGCATCAGATACCGAGTAGGACGCCATTCGTTGTGGGTGCGATTGGGCGAGGGGGAGCATGTTCTCTGGGTCCACCTCGATCGGCTCGTAGCCGAGCTTGTACTTTGTCACGGCCTTCAAGCCCTGGCTCCCCTGCGGCAGGTAGGAGTCCCGTTTCACCCAGTAAAAGCAGTCCAGATGTGGGATTTGCTGATTCAGAAAGGCGCCGTCGGCCATCTGCGTGAAGCCGATCTCCTTGCGCATATTCATGCCGTGGTAGAGCGCGCGCGCGTGGATGAATGGGAAGTCGAAGTAGTCGCCGTTGTACGTGACGTACACGTTGGGCTGGTACTTGTTCATTTCATCAAAGAAGCGGCGCAGCGTGGCTGCCTCGTCGTCTTCGTTGAAGGTGTCAAAGAATCCCTCGTACTCCGGCTTCGGCGTGTACTCGAAAGGCGCGATGTCCTCGGTGACGATCTCGCGGTTGATAATGAGGTAACCGCGACCGTCCAGCATGTACGAAATCATGTAAATCTGATCCACCTCCGGTTGTGGAAAGCGCAGCGGCGCTTTGGTCGTCTCAATATCAAACGCCACCACACGCGGCATCGCCGGGGCATAGCGGCTGTCGTCGCACCGCCGCACGCTCGCCTCCCCCTCCACCACGGTGACATCGTACCAAAGACCCACGTAGACCTTCATGTCGATCGCCACCCGCATGTGATACTTCACGTCGTACTCGCGGATGTCCTGTATCCAGTCCATCCACCGACCGCCGCCGTTAGCCGCGCTTTCGAGGGCGTCCTCCTCGAACGTTTTGGCCATAGCGTCGCCGAGAGAGCCGCTGAACAGGTTTTGTAACGAGACGTCGGTGGCGCGGGACGAGTTGCGCTGCACCTCCTTCTCCAGGCGTCCCCGCACTGTCGTGAGGTCCTGCACATTGCGGAAAACCACCTTCAGGTAGACGCGCTTCCTGCCACTCAGGTGATTGATCAGGTCCAGATCTTCCTTTTCGATGGGGGTGATCTCGTGAATGAGTTGGGGGCCAAACACGGACATTAAGCCGAGCTCCACCTCGCGCTCATGTCCCTCCACCGCCTGCACCAGAATGTACGGGTTGTAATGTAGATGAACATAAAACGTGTCGCCTGCTAAGTCCTGAAACAGCAGCACCAACGCTGCCCGCTGCGCGCCCTCGCCGCTTACGCCGTCCTCCTCCCGCACCGTCTCGGAGGTGGGATAGTAGTTGAAGAGCCACCCTTCCTTTGTGCCGCTCTCCAGGCGGGTGGACATGCTGACACGCCAGAGAAGATGAAGAGTTACAAATGATAATAATAATAATAAGTAATTATAAAAAGGCTATTGAAGGAAACAGCCACGCAGCGTTAGCAGCGCACTTTTGCCGCGCGTGCCGACTATTTCGCTCTTAAAGCCGCAAAAAAAAGGGGGAGGGCGACACCAGCAGAGGAGGAATTATCAGACAAGCGCATGCAAAATACGTGTATTTCTATGTATGTGAAGGAGTAGAGGACAAGAATGAACGACGACGTTTTCTTGCGTTTTCCTGTTTAACTTCTATAAGACTGTTATTTGCATGTATCTGTGTACGTCTATTAGTGTTTCTGATGAGCTGCCGTGTGTCGGCGTCGTTGAGGGCAAGAAAGACGCGGTGGAAGAAGAGCGGAGAGGAGAGGTGATGCGGAAAGGAGACATAAAGAAAAGCGTCAGGACTGGAGAGCTTTTTTTTTTGTGCCATTACCGCGTCGTTTTGCCTTGCTTATTCAGAAGAAGAAGCAGCAGCAGCACGGAGTCGCGTTTTGCAAAGTTGCAACGTCAAAATTCAGAAAGCACGGAAGGCGTGAGTTATGTAGTGCCACGTACCACCTCATTTATATATCCAACTATTGGATAACTTAAGTTGACCAATTTCATCGGTCATTGTAGATAACATCATCGCATGCGTCTGGTTTTCTCGCGACCTGAAGTCAGAGGACAATAAAACAAGGAGAAATGTTGTTGTGTTGGTTCACACAACGCTCGTCCTCTAAACGAAAGGAATGGAAACCAAAGAGCTTTTTAGCTTGAATGAAAAATGCGTCTGCTGTGGCAGCAGTCGTCTACACATAAATTTGGCCACTTTTACACTCCGTAAAGCACATACAGAAGAACATGCAAGTGAGGAGAACAGTGTGCCACCGAAAACACCGCAGGCGACGTTGCCTTTCCTTCTCCAACAAGGAAGAAGCCGCACTGCGGCTTGGCAAGCATGCTTCATTACTTGCGAAGGGCTCACCACAATGGGATCTACATATAACGACGACGAGACATAATAATAAAAAAAGGAAAGACAACTGATCCCAAACAACAAAAAGAAAACCGCTGGATGGCACTAAAACCATTCATAATGCGGATGAGTTCAACATGCGCACTACTAAACCTCTTGGAGCACTAACGTGGAGAGGTACACCAGTAGCGTCATGTTACCCAGCAAGGAGGAGCCGCCTTCGATGGGCCGTCGCAGTGCGATCACCGCAGCCCATAGCGTGGCCATAATGGATAGCAAGTTGAGAAGACGCAGCAGACGACGTAGCAGCGGGTAGCGGCGGCCAATGTCTCCCAGCACATATCCGCCCCCTTCCTTGTTCGCTTTACCCGTCCCCATCGCACTAACCACAGAGAGGTCGGCATCAGCGCTGGCCTTTTCCCCTCCACTCGTTTCGCCGTTCCCCTCCTTCGTCCTACTCGCGTGACGCAGCGTCTCTTCGTGGCGCAGAACACAGAAGATGGCGACGTAGGCCAAGGCCTGGCACGCCTGCACAATCCCGAAGATAATGAGCTGCGGCCGACTCGGGGCGTAGCGCTCCGCATCGAAGATGGCGGCCGGTGCGTGTCTCAGCATGACCGTGTTGCGGATTGTCAAGACAAGCCCATTGAAGTGCGAGGGAAAGATGCACGCCTCACAGAAAAAGAAACACACGAGCCGGTAGTTGTAGCCCGGCCGCGTCCATCGCGGTAGCATCCAACTCACCGCGTTCACCAGGGCCATGCCGACAAGGTCCACGAAGCACAGCGGGAAAGCAGGAAAGACGACCAGCAACGTAGTCGGCATCACCCAAAAGGCGGCAAACACCACAGCGAGGAGGAGTGGTGCGCGGCGGCAGAGCGGCATGAGCACCAGCTTGCGTATCGGATAGGTGGCCACGCCAACGCCCGCCATGAGGGTAAAGCCCACGACGAGAAACGCACCGGCGAAGATGAAGCCGAGGTACATGGTGCCGAGCTGCGCCGTTATGGTCGCCCACTCCGGCACGCCCTGCATCGACACCCAGGAAAAGCGGCAGGTGCGGTAGTCGGGCCACATGCCGTACAGCACGACCAGCGTGATCTTCTCCATCACCGACATGCGCTGTATCATGGCCGCGTCAGAGATGTACGGCGGCGGGTCCGTTGAGAGACACTCCCGCAGCGCCAAGGACGCCCAGGTGCCCGTCGCCAGCTCCAGCACCAGCCCCCCCACCACGATGCCGGTCATCGGACGCAGCCAACGGATGCGGCGAAATGGCGACCCCCGCCACATCCGCGCGCGCATCTCGGGCGTGGCACAGAGCTTGTCATCCAGCGCACCCATGGCGAAGAAGAGCGCAAAGAAGACAACGATGTAGGAGCCGCCGAGACGGGCGATGCCGGTGTACATGGAGAAAGACGCCAGCCAACGCTGCGGCCACAACTCCATAAGCCAGCGCCAGTACGCAGGGGAAAAGATCGAGGCCTCCTCCAGCATGCTGTAGGTGGGCAGCAAAACGTCTGGCCGCGACGCTTTCTTCGAGTCGCCAAGGACGTAAACGAGGTAGGTCTCGTTCAGTAACGGTGGGTAGGTGCTGAAGGGCTTCCAGGCGTAGGTGAAGTTGGTCTGGCTCTCCACAAACGGGCCGTAGAAGTACTGCAGCTGGTGCTCCGGCTCATCAGCGGCGAGGAAGTGTTGTCCACGCAGGGCGAGGTAGAAAGAGTGCAGCGAGCCACACATCACAAGCGGAAAGACGTTCGATTTGGCTGGGGTATTTACCTGCAAGTGCGGCTCCAGCACGGCGCTGTCTATGCCACGCACGAGAGCAAACCCCGGTTCCGTACGCACCCGGACACGACTGCCTACGTAGTGGGGGCCAAAGTACCTTTCATCCCGTGCGTCGACCATGCCAGCGATGTCAATCTTATCGTATTGAAGATGCGCGTGTGCTGTACCGAGGCCCTGCTCGCGGCTCATCAACATGCAGAACCGTGGCCAGAGGAGAGTGGGCTGCCGGCGCTTCTTGGAGCGCCGGTACACGGCAAAGCTAAACGCCGTCTGGAGCGTCTTGCCTGAGATCAGACTTGTTCCCTTGTAGGTGGTGGGGAGATGCAATTGCGTGGCAACCTTCGACACCGCCTCGTCCGGCATCACCGGCGTCTCACGCACCTGGTCGTGAAAAAGCTGAATGTTTGGCACCAGGACACGATCCGGCGAGAGGGTTGTTGACCCAATCAGAATGTTCAACGCCTTCGACCCGTCGTAGTACCCGCTGGCCTCGTCTGCCTCGTCGTACACGGGTAGGTCGTTCAGGTCGATCGGCGTCTTCCCGTCGACGCAGAGCTCCTTCAGCTGCTCGTCCATCGCGCGGACCACCGTCTCTTTGATGTACTTGCCCGTGAGGGAGTCCCGCACGGAGTGGAGGAAAAGGATCTCGTCCTGCTTCGCGGCAAAGCGGTCGTCGATGAGTGTCTCGACGACGGTGGGAAAAAGCCGCTCGCGGGTGAAGGACGGCAGCGTGTCCTCCCGCCCAATGTAGACGCTGGCGTGGGGTAACAAGGCCGCCTGCACGAGCGAGTCCGCCGCGTGCTGCAGGAACTGCAGACCGTAGACCAAACCGCGGTGGTCCATCGCGGCCCCGCAGCCGCGCAGCGTCTCCGTTGAGACATCGCGACGGCACGCGCCGTCCTGCACGAGCGCGCTGCGGTTGACGGCGGTGCCGATGGGCCGCGGCGTGGACCGCTGCAGGTAACCGGAGATGGAGGGGACGACGTCGTCGAGAGTACCGCCGTTGATGGCGAGCAGGGTGAGGTTACGAAGGCGGCGGCGCAACGCCGGTCGAGGCACCGCGCGAAGGTCGCGCAGAACGCGATGTGGCGTCTTCTCATCGGCCACTACGCTTGCCCAGTCCACAGCGCTGTCGTCGCGACGCTCGTCCTCCTCGCCGTCGCTCGGACGCGAGGCGAGTTCGGAGGGGTAGCGGTTTAGCACGGCCCCATCCAGTGCCTCGTACAGCCCCACGCTGGCGTGGTCGAAGAACAGGGGCGGGTAGTGGGTGGGGGTGCCCACCAGGACAATCCCCGCATACAGCTGCGGTGCCATGATCGTCGCCAGTAACGCCGTCACGCCGCCGAGCGACTCCGCCCAGACCCAAACCCCATGATCCCGCACCCGCTGCACCTCGGCGCGGACCCGCTCCAGGGTGGAGAAGCGTTTCGTCAGGTATCTCGCCTGCGCGCACTGCTTCTCGTCTGCGGGCAACGAGGCGTGGGAGCACACACTCATCGTGTACTCCTTCTCCACCTGCCTCAGCACCTTCCCCGCTGCCGCCGAGACACCGACGGTGGCGTCCGTCGCGCTGTGCCGCAGCGGATGATCGTCGCTGAGGCGCTCTTGATCGAAGGTGAGGGCCGGTGACGCGGTCAGCACCTCGGCATACGTTTTCAAGAAGCCCGCCACGATGAGGTTGACGGAATGATTTAAATAACGTGCCTCCTTCAGTACGATGGTCGCCGTCTGCGTGGATGACTCCTCGAGGTAGTCCACCGAGAAGAGCTCCACCCCCAGCATCGGCAACTCGTCGCGGACCAGCTCTGCCTCAATGCGGTGCTGCACCATCAACGGGATCGGTGTCCCTTCCGTCAAGTCATCCAGCAGTCCGCTGTCCTTGTAATCGTGAAACATGCGTCGCTTCACGTTGGTGCGGTAGTCGCGCATCGCGTTCTGCCGCAGGCGGGCATTCGACTCGTAGACAAAGCGGGCAAGCGAGCGGGCGCAGTAGTAGGAGCCGCCGTTGCCGTGCACGTACACCATCGGGACGCGGGTGTAGACACCACTGATGCGCGGGGACGCGTAGCCGTCGGCCATCCAGTCGTAGGTGCGCCAAAGACGGTAGTAGTGCTCGCGCATGGCTGGCGCATACGCAGACACGTTGAGCTCCGTGAAGGAGGGGTACATGACCGGGTTGATTGTTTGAGAAGGGGTGCGGTAGGTCTTCACGGCCCAGTGGTAGGCGCCGGTGCTGAAGAGAGAGACGACGGCGAGGAAGAGCACGTAGACGCTCCAGGAGAGGAGCCTGCACATCATACGAAGAAAAGAAGGCGTCATTTGGTCCAAATTACTTAGAAAAAAAAAAGAATGTAAACAACACACCGAAGAAACAGCACTGTGATGAATGAGTACTTCGGTTTGGGGAACAGAGAGAGAGAGAGAGAGAGGAAGAGAGGCAAAGACGAATGAAAGGTCGACTGACCTAGAAAGAAGCATTTTTCAAACCGTAATCTACACTCCAGCAGCGCCTCACTTTAACGACAACCACAACAAAGAAGAAAGACATCGCATGCTGGAATCACTTTTACCCGGCGCTTCCTTTGCGACTCACCCTTCTTGATACTGCCGCTCGTTGCTTCATCTCGCACCTGAAAGATGAAAGACGATAGAGACACCGCCCGTACAGAGAGCAGCAAGGCCGAAGAGGAGCAAGCACAACGAAGAAAAATCACACCACACTTCTCGGTTTGGATAAGCGTGTGAGAACGCAGCGTGAAACGACCAAGAGTTAAAAAAAAAAACGATAAAGAGCGTAAACCAATAAAAGCTACAAGTACACGTGGTAGGTATACAGTATGGGCTCCTTTTGTTTGTGTATGAGCAGCAAGTCATGGAAGACAGAATGACAGGCAATGTGAGCAAGAGAGCGAGCGCGCGCAGGTGAGGATGCTCAACACACACTCAGTTACTGTTTCTAGCCTGCGTGCTGGGCTAGGAAAGGGGCGAGCAACAACAACAGCGTTTCTCAGGCGTGTGCGCGACCGGTGGCGGAGGCGACGTATACCTTTCCTCCGGACTTCTCTGCCTCCTCCTCCAGAATCTGCGTCTGCTTGTGCTTCAAAAAGATGAGAGCTACAAGCGTGATGATCTCCTCATCCACCATGAAGAAGGAAACCCAGAGCGCAAACCACAACACCCAGTAGTGCAGCAGCGTCTCTCGCAGGCGCTCCCAATAGTCCAAGGGGGGAATCGGCTTCTGCACACGCAGCTCAAACACCACATCCGCCGCGCGGCCGTCCTTGAAGATGCCGGCTGCCTCCGCAAACGTCGTGTGGCTTTCCCCATTCGGCTTGATAGTGACCGTTTTCCACATCTTGCTAGAGTCCACCTCGGCCATCGTCAGGTTGCCGTCGCTCTTGATCACGTCCAGGTTCATCAGTCGCTGCGCCTCCGTCTCGGTCGTAATTTCCGATAGCGGCAGACCCAACGCAAACCAGCGTCGCCCGCCAGATTGAGAGAAGCGATACTCGCCGGTAAGGCGGCGCTCCAGCAGCAGCAGTTCGCGCAGAAGCTGGTCCGATTCGGCCGTGGTCGTCTTCTCCTCCAGCAACGTCTCGTGCACCTTCGAGGTGATCGTGGTGTCACGTCGGACATCAAAATTGTAGTGGTTTAACACGTAACGGATCCCCTCACCTTCCAGCTGGGTGACGCTGATGACGCGTTCGTAGAAGCCAGCCGCCATGATGGCTTCATGAATTTCTAAGCGTCGACGAGGGTCAATGCTGTCTTTGCGGTACAGCTGCGCGCGGAGTTCGTCAACGCTCTTCGCAAACTTGCCAATGGCGTCGCGCTGCTCATGCGCGGTACCTATGTTGCTGAGGGACTCGATGCCTTGGGTGAGCTGCGGAACGTTCAGGTAGGCCTTGCGTTCCTCGAGGGCTGCCGCGGCGGCGGTCACTTCATCTGCGGTGAGAAAGTGCGGACCCTGCACCTTCACTTGCGGGACGAGGGCCGTGAAGAGATGCACACGAGACAGCAACGTGCGACGAAGCATTGGATACTACGAGCCCCCCTCCCCTCAAAAAAAAAAACCTCCCTAGCTACCAAGGGGAAAACAGAAAATAGAGTTTCGTCGCTTGAGCGGAGATGAAATGAAAAAAAAAAGAGACAATAAAGCAAGAGAAGTGGATAATACCTACAATAGTACCTACACTAAAAAATAGGAGCAACGGGAAGAACAAGATTGGTTCATCTATAATTATCGTTGCGCGTATATACTACCGGTTTTCTTTTTCTTCTTTGAAACGTCGACCGTCCAATTGCATCGTTGAGAGTTCAGAGGGGAGGAAGAGACAGAGTAGACAGGAAAACAAGAAAGAAAAGAAACACCAACAAGAGGGAACCGCGAGAGGTCACGCTGTAGAATACTTCCTTTTTCTTTCTGCTTTCAGAGAGTCGAGCAGCGCAGCGCTACGCTAGTGAAAGAAAGCAGCAGATTGCGTGCACGCAACGGTAAATGCTATGATCGGCAGTCAAATTTGACACGGTCGGCGGAGGCAGTAGCCGCTAGAGAAGGCGGTAGGCGCAAACCCAACTAAACACCGAAGCCCGAGAAAGAAAAGAGAACACAGTTTTTTCTTGTTTTCTTGTGTGTGATTTAGCACGGTTGCTTAGTAGAGTTGGAGTATCTATACATCGTAAAGCCATGGCCTCGAAATCACAGCCGGCGGGAAGAGAATTATTAAATAATGCATCGCGCATAGGAGTAGTGAAGATTATATATAGGTATTAGAGAAGAGGTTTGCGGTGACTTCCACGGTCGAGGCACGGTACATGAATAGATCAGCAAAAAAAGCGACCTTCCCCGCCGCCGCTACTCGCTGTGCGATCTATTGAGCGCAAGCTCCTGGGAATGAAGAGGCATTTCCTATAACCAGCGCTCGTTTACCAGTTTTGTCGCGACCAACCCACTCCAGCTCACCGCGCTTAATCGAGGGCAAAGAGATACCGGTTGTGAAACGCAACGCCAAATAGCGTCTCGGATTGCTTCGTCGCATTGAACTCTTGCGACGACGGTGGAGGAGGAGCAGCTGCAGTAGTAGACTTCGCCGGCCCACTCCCCTTTGACGCCGCGGGTGCGTCAATAGTGCTGGCCTCCCCGCTGTTCTTCGGCGCCGGCTTTGGCCGCGGTTCAAGGGACAGTTTCTCGCGAATGTAGTCGATGAGAGCGTCCAGCATCGGCGCAGGCAGCTTGTCCAGCAGCACGTCAATCGAGTCGCCTTTGCGCAGGCGACCCTCGAGGCGGTGTAGCATAGCAGGAAGCTGCTCGCGCGGCATCTGGTCGACCTCCTCGCGCACCACTGGAGGAATGTCGCCGGCCTGCACGGCTGACAGGTTCTCCACGTAGCTTTTCCGCTCCTCCATGACGGCGGCCTCGTCCTTCTCTTGTTTTTCCCTCTGGGCCTTGGCAGCCGCCCACTGCCGCTCACGTGCCTCCTGCGCACGCCGCCGCTCCTCGTCCTCAAGCTCGGTCACATCGCGCTCCGGCTTTGTCACGGCGGCCTGCGTCTCGTCCGGCAACGACACGGCCACGCGTAGTCTTAGCATGTGAGTCTTGCGTATGTACTTCGCTTCCAGTGCATCGTCAGAGACCGGGTAGTCGAGCGTGGCAGTGAGAAACGGCGAGGCCGGTGTTGTGGTGGTGCCTCCCTCGCCTTCTTTGTTCTCCATGACCTCGTCAATGTAAAAGCACTGAATTTGACGCCGATGAATGCGCACGTCCACCTCGGCAATCGTCTGAACGCCAGGCAGGAAAAGCGACACAACGTAGCGCGCCGGTACGCTCTCCTTGAAGTAGGGGTTCAGGGCGGCCTTTTTGTGCGTCGTCCAGTCGTAGGCGCCGTCCGCCACAACGCTCTTCACAGCAGCAACGGCAGAAGAGGGAGAGGCGGTGACGCTGTTCTGTGGGAGGCCATCACTGGGCCCACTCGTCTGCTGCTCGTCGACAGCACGATTGCCAGCGTTTGGCTGCTCGACTTCCTGCACCATCTTCCCAGTGCCCCGGGTCCCGTTTATCTGCGACGGGGCGGTGGCACCACCAGAGCTGGACGGCAGCTTGATTTCATCGCCCATCGCGTTGGGGTCTTTGGGGGTGGCGGAGAGGCGAATGCGCTGCGGCTCCAGCGTGCCCTTGCACTTAAAGTTCAAGTTGCGGAACTCGTCTGCGTTGAGGGTCGGCTCCGACTTTTGCTTGATCCACTGCATGCAGAGGGCGGCGACAAAACGGCGAAATTCGTTGTCCTCGCCGCAGCGCGCGATGGTGGTGGGGTTCACAATAACGTCGTACACCTTGCAGGGCTTCCCGCCCTTGTCCTTGTCCGGTCTGGCCTGGCCGCAGCTAATCGGGATTCGATAGCGCACCTCGCTGTCGTCTTCGCCCGCCGCGGGCTCCATCGGCACCGGCTCCGCGATTCGTGCGTGTTGACACACGTTGATGAACACCTTTGAGCCGCCCGCCACATTTGTTTTGAAGCAAAACCCCGGCTCCGGCAGAACAAACATCCACTGCCCGTTTTCGTCGCTGTGCACCTGTTCCAGATCTTTCTTTGCCTCATTCGCCGTTTCAGCTTGCAGACGCGCCTGCAGTGATCGCAGCCACGCCTCACGCTTTGGGTCACCTTCCTTGGGCATGGAGGCAAGAAAGCTTTCGGCACCGCCACCCCTGCTGCCGTCGCCCTTTCCGGGTTCGCCCAGCGCGCGCTGGAAGAGTTCTACAAACTTCTGATTTTGTAGAAGCTGCTGAGCCGCGGCATTGGGGTCCATGTTGCTGCTCGATTTATGATGTGGATACTGTTTTAGAGGCCTGAAAGGATGAGCAGCAAAAGTGTGAAGCAGCAATACAACGAAGCAGCAAAGTCAATATCAGCAACAAAATAGTCACAGCTTCTTCGCGGTTCACAACAGAGAACACTTGCCCCCATCCAGGAAAAGAAAATGAAGAGACGACAGAGTAGTTCACCATGGTTTAAATACTTCCCCGTCGCCCAACGCCGCAGCAAATCGCGATTTTCACTTCTCCTTCGTTTTTTTACTCTGTAGTGTTGGCGCGCCAGCCTCTAAAAACCCGCTGAGTGCATAGTACCTGTTGAGCACAGTGGGGGGAGGGCTTGGAGGAAAGCAGTAGCAGGATAGAAGCTGAAGCCCGTGAAGCGTATTCGTGAAAGGGCTCAACACCAATTACCCTCTTACCAAAGCTGCCCAGCAAAGATGCGAAGCGGCTGTGTGTGTGTGTGTGTGCTTGTTCCGTTTATATTTCTTTTCTCTTCGTGTTCACATTTATGCGAGCTGGCATAATTTTCTCTTTTCATTTTTTACGATCGTAGGCCGGACGTTGAATCTAGAAGAAAAGACAAAAGAAAGAAGTCATTTTGTTGTTTGTCGACCAGTATTGCCATCGCAAATATTATTAATAATATCGGGGGTTTTTTTGTTCGCTTTGCCAAAAACCAAAGGTAAAAGAAAACAAACAAAAAAATGCGGCCGTCACGTGTAACGCTCACCAACCTTGTACGTTAGCGACTATGCATGGGTTTCCGACGTCTCACACGGAGCATGCGTCAAGGCCGAGAAGCACCGACACGATTCAACGGCGAGCAGGGAAGAAAAAAAAAAAGGAAGTGAAAATCATTTTTAAGGCAAATTGTGGGGACCGAAAGGTGAACTACACTGATAGTAGGAAAAGAAAAGGCGGCTACGCAGCAATACAGCCGTTGCGGTAGCGAGAGAGTCGAACACACGCAACAATGGTAAAAAAGAAAAAGCACTTCATCTTTCTAAGGAATCACGTTTTAGGGAAGCTAAAACGATTTACAAGAGCGCTTAAACAAACAAAGAAATTGCAAAGGAGCAAACGACAGTATCGTCGGCTAAAAAGTGCGCCACGACGAATCATGAGTGGCAGAAAAAAAAACCCGGACCGATAAATCCTTCGGGAACGAAAACAATGAAGGTGTGGGAGAAGAGCGATGATTTAATAACCGAGAGAAAAAGACTCTACTGTCAGAAGCCAAAGAGCAGGAAACATCAGAAAGAAAACAGTGGAAACCACAAAACGCACTTTTTGTTCGCTGATGCGAAACCACCTTCTTGAATGTTGGCGGTGCAAACGACGGCGAAGAAAAAAAGGAGGAAAAAAGCTGTCGCTACAAGGCAGAAGTGAAGCTTGGCTACATCCGCATAGACAATGTAATGTTTATAAGCATCAGTGCCGCTGCACTTAGATATCTTTCGCAGTAAAGGGGTGAGGATATTCACCAGAGAGCAACAGCGGTAAATATACTCTAGCACTCTCCTTCCCCCCTCTCCTTCATTTTTTGGCACTCTTTTTCTTTTCATGGACACCTGTGAGCATCATAAGCGTTTTTGCCTTTGGCTGCTTAAAGACCCTTTTTCAGCCACTTCGGCGGGTCCGATGAAATGCCAGCTGTGGATGCCCACGTGCTTGTTGAAAAGAAAATGGCAATGAGGATGGAGCGCGGAAATCCTTGGAGAGGTTGGGAAGCTGATAGGCTGAGAGGCTGAGAGGAAGAAGGAAAGGAAAGAAAACAAAATAAGATCGAACATTTGATCGATGAAGGTATAACTAATTTGAAAAAGAGAATTTAGATGAATAATTTACGTAGCTTGCGCTTAAAGGAACGAAGAAAGTGCGCTACACTTTGCAGAGTTATGACCGTTTCACATTATACAGGATGAAGAAAACAAATAATAATAAAGAAAAAACGCGGAGAAGGAGAGGAAGCTTTAGCAGGAAGAACGTAAAAAACAAAACGAAAATGCCACTTTCACCTCCGGTGGCGATGTTATTTAGAAACAAACCTACCACTTGCATTTACACGCGAAAAAGAAGGGACCGAAGTTGTGCGCCGGTTACAACGTGTGGATGTGCTCTTGTTGTAGCGGTCGCCTCATCCAACTTCTGTGACGACGCGAAGGCGCAGCAGTAATAGGAATAACCGTAATAAGTATTAGAGAAACGCAACAGAAGTAGTACGTACTTCAGTTGCCATAATCAACAGGAGATCAAAAAACAAAGGAGGAATACAGAGGCACTTCGAAAAGACTCCACCTACAAAGGTACACAGAAACAAAAATAGAAAAGAAAGAAGAAAAGAAAGCTGATAAAAACACGAACGAACTGGGAAAAGAAAAGAAATAGTTTTGATGCCGTCACAAAAGTCTAGTTTAGTTAAACCCTCAACTTCTAGAGAGAGAAAACAAAAGGATCAAGTAACGCGGAAAAAATCAAACGAAGTACGCCGCTCACCGCGTACAAGCCTGAAACGAACTAGCGTGAGAGTTTGATGGCCCCATCGGACAGCACCTACAGAAAACCAAAAAAAAAAGCGTAATGAGTATAACTTACAAGAAAATACGGACGTAGTATTCGGAAAAAAAAAGGGATTGTCTTCGTCAAACAAGGTCGATAATTCCAATTGTTGAAGGTCTTCTTTCTTGTCTTGTCTTGGCTTGAAGTCGGCACCAATGACGGTTCTTTCGAGACAAAGAATCAACAAGATGGGCAGACGAGGACAAAGTGAAGACCTGAGCAAACATATATATATATATATATATGAGATGACGAAGTCAGAGAGAAAAGAAAAGAAAACCGATGATAAGTGGTATCGCTATTCGTGCCTGTAATAAGTATTCAAGGAAAAAATAAAACGTGAGAGCAGTAGAGGTGAAGCACTACAAGGGAGGGAAAAAAGAAGAGAGGAAAACAGGTAGAAGAAGGAAGCAAAACAACAACAACGAAAACGTATTGCGAAACAAGTTATCCATTTATGAAGAGTGAAAGAAACGAATGGCCCCCGGGAGGAGGTAGAGAAAGAGAAAGGGAGGGGGAGAGAGAGAAAAAAAAAGGGAAGTCCTACATCTATCAAGGACAAGGTAAACAAGACGAAACAGAAGGTGGAAAATGCGGTGTCCTGCAAAAACGTTTTTTCCTTCTTAATTTAACCCGTATTCACCACCGCTTGTCTTTTCTCATCGTGGAAACGTATATATATATATATATATATATATATTG